TTTTTTTAAAATAAGAATTATTATAAATAAAGTTTACTTAAATAATATTTAATAAATTTAAACCCTTAATTATTTATTATTTTTTAATATAAAATAAATAATATTTAATAATAAGTTTATAAAGATAATATAAGAATATTTCTTAAATATTAACTTTTATTTTAAATTAAGAAAATTAATTAAGTTAATAAACTTAATAAAATAGCATTAAGCCTTTTTTATTTTTAATTTCTTTAATATAAAAGGAATGCTTTATAAATATAAAAAGCTAAAAACTTAGCATATTATAATTTTTATAACTTAGCAACTTTTTAATTTTTAAAATATTATATTTTTATTTAAAAAGCCTTTATATTATAATTAATTCTTATTTATAAAATATTAATAAAGGGAATTAATAAAGAATTATAAATTTATTATTATATTTATTTATATGCTTAATTATTAAATAATAGCAATTTTTAATAAAATTAATAGCTATTACTTATTATAAAATAATCTTATATTAAAAAATAAAAATAATAAAATAAATAAGAATATTAAAATATTTATTTATAAATATTTAATAGCTATTTTAAAAAATAAAATATAAGATTTTAGCAAAAAGTTTATATTTAAATTAAGATAAATTAATAAAATATTTTATAAATAATATGCTATTAAGTTTATTAAAAATTATTTTAAAGAAAATTAAAAAAAGAATAATTAAAAGGTATAAAACTAAGCTAAGGCTGCTTTAATTAAAACTATATATCTTAAGATACTTAAAGCTATTATTAATATTATTATTTAAATATTTATTATTTAATTAAAGCTTAATGAAATTAATAAAGTTATTTAAATACTTATATTAATTCCCTTTATTAAAATTAATAATATAAAAGTAATTAAAGTAAAAAATAAGCTTTTATTATAAAGAGAAATTATTTAATAATATTTATTTAAATTATAATATATTAAAATTATTATTAATTAAAAAAAAGGTATAAGGAAAATAATATCTTTAATATAAATTAATTTAATAACTTAATTTTAAATATTTAATATATAATAAGGTATAAACTTTTATATAACTTAAAATTAGCTAAATATAACTTTAATTAAATAAGCCTTTAGCTTAAGTATTATATTATAAAATATTTTAAAATTAATAAAAAATGCTTATTTTAATATATATAAAGATCTTTTTTACTTACTTTTCTTAATAATAAATATAAATAAAACTTAAAGTATATTAATTAATTTTAAATAATTAAAATAATAATAAAATTTGCTTAAAAATAATTTAATAAGCTTATAAATAAGTTAGCTAAGTAATTAAATATAAGGCATAAGGCTTAAAAGTAAAAGCTTTATAAAAAGTAAAAGTAAAAGTTAATAAAGCTAATATATTATGCTTAATGCTATAATTAAAAGAAAGAATAAGTTTGCTTTTTATTTTATAAAAATATTTAAATCTTTAATAGCTATACTTATATTAATTATTAAAATAAACTTTAATAATTAAAAAAATATAATTAATAAATATATTATTAAATAAATCTTAAGAATATTTAAAGCTTTTATAAAAAAGTAAAAGTTATAATAAGATAAGTAAGTAAGGAATTAAAAATAATAATAATAATTTAAATTATAATAAAGTAATTTTAAAACTTAAAAGCTTAATTAAAAATAATAAGATTTTATTTTAATAATCTTTATAATACTTATTATAAAATGCTTAAAAAAGGGTATATTAGTAAATATAAAGAAATATAAAAAAAAGTAATATTATATTAAATTTTAATTAGCTATAAAAAGCTAACTTTTTTGCTTTTTTAAATATTTTTTTAAAGAAATTAACTTTTTTCCTTTTTTTATATATTTAATGCTTTAATTAAGCTTTTCTTATTTTTAAGAATTTTTAAAATACTTGCTTTTTTCCTTTTTTAACTTCCTTTTATTCCTATCTTCCTTCTTTATTATATTAAAGCTTCTTCTTAAGTTATCCTTAAAAGGGTTTAGCAAAACTTATTCCTTATTTATTTAAGTGGCTTGTTTTTAATATTTATAATTTTTTTTAATAATATTATAATAATTTAAAGTTAATGTATATATGCATTATACTTACCTTAATTTATACCTTTCTTAATTATATAAACTACCCTTTTTATTACTTTTTATTTAATAATGAAAAGCCTTTAATGCTTTAAAATAATAATAATTAAATATATTATATAATTAAAAGATTATAGGTTTAATTTTATTGCTTTAAATTATTAAAAAGGTTGTTATTATTAAATTCTTTTTTATTATTTAATAATATTTACTTATTACTTTTTTGCATTATTAATACTTAATAAAGCGATTTTATAAAATATAATTATAACTTATAAATAGCTTTAATATTTAATAATTAGTTAATATACTTTTTATTTAAATTAAAGTTAATTTAACTTAATTATTTTATATTAATGCTAGCCCTTTATTTAATTACTTTGCTATAAGTATTAACTTGCATCTTTTCTTACTTATAAGGTTATTGCTTTTTAATGAAATGCATTAATTATTAATTTAACTTGCTAGTTAATTAAAATAATTATAATTAAACTAAGTATATAATAAAAAGGTTATAAGTTTAATTATAAGTATATTAATTAAGCATTAAGCTAACTTATAATTAATATACTTTTTATATATACTTTTTATTTTAATTACTTAAAGTAATTACTTTTTTAATATTATATATATATAAAATATTACCCATTAAATAACGTAAAAATAAGGTTATTTAATATATAAATTATATTATATATATAACTTTTTTTAATAAAAATATAAATATATAAAGTTAATTATTTAAATGCTAAGTATATTAATATAATGAATTATTATTTTATATATTAAGTATATTTAATTGCTTTTAAAGTAAAAACCTTTTAATAAGCATTTAAAAATAAATAATATATTATTTAATTTATTTAATTAAGCTTTTTTTTATAATATACTTTTTATAAATATATGCCTTATAATTATTAATATATATTATATTATAATTAAATTATTATAATAAACTTAATTAATAAATATAATAATATATATTATTAAAAGTACTTAAGTTACTTATATATTATAATGCTTATAATAATAATTAAAGCTTAAAAAATATATATATTATTAATATATATATTAAAGTATATAATTAATTAATTATTTAATTAATTTAAGCTTGCTTTAATTTAAAAACCATAGCTTTTTAAAAGTAACCTTAAATTATTTTTATATTTAAAATAATCTTATATATTAAATTAATAAAAAACTATTACTAATCTTTTTATATATATTATTAATCCTTATAATATTAAAAGTAATAATAAATATATTTCTTTAAATTATTAAAAAATGCTTTAATTAAATTAAAATTAAATAAATATAAAAATAAATATTTAAGTTAAATGCTAGCCTTATTATATATTTATTAAAGGTTTTTATAAAAATAAAAATTAATATTATTTATTATTAATATTAAGTTAAGCCTTAGAAATAATAATATTTTAAATAAAACTTTATTTTTAATATAATTAATAAAGCCTTAATTATTTATATTATCCTTATATATAAATAAATTAAATATGCTTATAATTATAAATATTAAAAATACTTAATATTATATATTATAATTTTTATTATTATTAAATATAAGTTTTTTTAACTTAATGCCTTTTAATAATTATTTTATATATTATAGCTTATTTTTTTTATTTATATTAAACTTATTAATAAAGATAAATTAATTTATATAAAGTTTTTAAGTTTTAATAATTTAATTAACTTAAATAAGATAGTTTTATTAAATAGTAATTATATTTATAATCTTTTTATTTTATTTAATTCCTTTAAATATTTAATTAATAATGCTTTAAAAAATAAATAAATTAAAGTTATTTAATAATTATTATTATATTTTATTTTAATATAAATTATTTTTTAAAGTAAGATAATTAAAAAAGGCTTAAGTAATAAAAATATATATTAAAAAGGGTAAATATTTAAAACTTAAATAATATATATTATAATAAAAATTAATTAATTAAATAGCTTTATATAAGTTGCTTAGCTTAATAATAATATTAAATATTAAATTTTTCTTTTTTAGCTTTTAAATTTATTAATTAAAGCATTTTATAATTTTTATAATAATAATATTATTTATTTAATTAATATTTAATAGCTTTTAAATTATATAAAGCTTTAAGGGGGTTAGGTAATAAGATATGGTTATAAAATTATTATAAATTGATTTATAATAGTTAAAATATATAACGTAGTAAAAGGCATAGCATTATAAGGGTTATGGGATAAGCAATTATGCTTAATAATTGGAAAGGGCACGGCATAATAAGTGCATATAATTTTTGGTGTGAGGTGTTATGTGCAGGCCACTAACGCCAAAATGGAACGTTTGATTGCATATGAGAGTACGGGACAACGGATCTGGATTCGCTGATCAACCCAACACGACCTTGTTCGAGTCCCCAAACTGCAGGCTCAGTTCACGTCAGCGCGGAGTAGCAGGTGGCCAGGTACTATGGCACCGTAACCCCCCGCAAAGTTTGCCCGAGTGCACATGGGAGCATGCAGCTGTACGTCTGTACAACGCAGCTGGGCCCAAGACTCCGGTACGCTTGCTTTCAGAACTGTCTCCTAGAGACAGAAGTGCGATGCTACTGGGCCATGAACCGCAATTGCGACTACTATGAGGCGCCGTAAATGGTTGGGAAGTACGGCACGGAACAACACGTGAACATCCGATCGAAACAAGCCGCGGGTTCCGAGGCCCTGGCCCATGGGATGAAGGAACTCTTCCGTACTTGGGATGGTTGACGTTGACGACTGCGACCCTCCATTTCCCGGCACTTTGAAATCGAAACATCCGGGCCCAGCAGAACATGTCTGCAACCTGTTGATCCTGCAACCATCACCATGCTACCACAAAGTTATCCCGCCCACCTTGAAGTATAATGATTAATCCTGTGCAGACCTTCCCAGGCCTCCTGGCAGCCGCCACCTGCATCCTGCTGGGCTTGGCGCTGCTGTATCTCATCAACCTAAACCGCCTCCTCAGCATCACCCCTGATGAGGTCAAGAAGCTGGCCGGTGACCGGTGGACCGACGACCAGGTCAGGAAGACCTACGAGCGCCTGCGCCAAAACCAAATCACCACAGCATCCTACGCACCACAGCTGCCTCCAAAGTTGAACAGGCGCTATATCGTGACCGGCGGCTCAGGTCTGGTCGGCGGGTACATCGTCCTGCAGCTGCTCGAGCGCGGCCAGCCGCCCAACACCATCCGCATCGTCGACTTCCAGCAGCCACACAGGCGGGACCAGCTGGACCACCCGCTCTTCGACAAGATCGACTTCCAGAAGACGGACATCTCATCTGCGGAATCTGCCGATGCCGCCTTCAGCAAGCCCTGGCACCCGTCCGCGGCCAAGCTGCCGCTGACCGTCTTCCACACGGCGGCGGTGATCATCCCGTCCGCGCGGTCTCGGCTCGTCAACGGGTTCTGCGAGGCCGTCAACGTCGGCGGCACCGAGAACGTCCTCGCGGCCGCGCGGCGCGCCGGGGCGGACGTGCTCGTCAGCACCTCGAGCGCGTCCATCAGCATCCGGCCCGTCGAGCTGTGGGTGCGGCCGTGGCGGTGGGCCACCGGCACCGGCACCTGCCCGCGCGGGTACTGCCAGGCCCTGGAGGAGTCCGACTTCTTCCGTCCGCTGCGGAGCCACGAGGAGTTCTTTGGGAACTACCCTGCCTCCAAGGCGAGGGCGGAGAGGATCGTGTGCGGCGCCAACGGCAGGGAGTTGAGACGGGGTGCATCCGCCCGGCCAATGGGGTGTATGGCCATCCGACTGACAACACTGTTGGCGGTCCGTTGAACAGCCAGATCTGCCCGACGTGAGTCCCCTTTTTGCCCTCCGGCGGAAAATCCGCCACGATGAGTTCAAGTTCAGTATTGACTGACATGTCCACAGCTGGGCCAGCCACGTTGTCCAGAGCTTTGTCCATGGCATCAACTGCGCATTAGCACATCTGCAGTTCGAGTCAATCCTCGCCGAGCAGGGCTCTCACTCATCGCCCCAGGCAGGCCGCCCGTTTTGCATCACGGACCCCAACCAGCCAATCTACTACGGCGATCTGTACGGCTTGTTGTCCAAGTTGGCGATCACGCCCTTCAGGCTGGTGTCTCTGCCCCCGATGCCATTCGTGCTCGTCTCATACTTGGTCGAGTTCTACTCGCTGTTGCCCTACCGCCTCCCCAGCAGCCTCGCCCGTTTCATCCCTCCGCTGTCCGGGGACATCAAGCACCTGCAGCCCGGCCTGTTTTCCATCTGCACACACCTAGTTGCGGATAATGCAGACGCCGGAATGGCTGTTAGCGATGGTGGGCTGGGTTACCGGGGCGTGCTGACGACGCTCGAGGGTATGTGCCAGGAGCTTGTGGACTGGAACCGCGAGCAGGAGGAGCACGCGACGCAGGCGGCGCTGGTTGCGGACGGGGCCAAGGGCGTGAGGTACTTCCATAGCAGCGTGTCGCTGGCCGAGCAGATGCAGAGGGTGGGCCTCGTGGGCAAGAATGTGAAGATGTAACAAAGGTGACCCGGCACACAAAGACGGCTTGGGCTCTTCTGTCCGAGAAAAATCATGATTTTTAAACATTAGCCTATCAAGAAATAATCGCTCATCAATACCCATCATCCTGTACCACGTGTTGAAAGACACTCCCTCAGCTGCAGCACACACTGGGCTCCTCGATCCCTGCTGCGCCCTCCTCCTCGCCCGAGCCGTCCCCGTCGATGATGTACTGGCGCGTCATCCAGTCACAGAAGAACTTGCCCAGCCCCCCGCCGATGATGACACAGATGATGATGTACCCGTTGTACGACATGACCAGCAACATGACGATATACGCCAGCCCCAGGGCGGCGGCGTGGATGACGGCGCGGAAGAGCTGCTGCAGCGGGCTCACGCGGAAGACGACCGCCCTCCCGGCACCACCCACCCCGCCGCCCGCGCCCGCAGCAGTACCTGCGCCGCCTAGCCTCTTCCAGGCGGCGGAGGCAGGGGTGACCTTTGCCGTGGCCCCTTTCGACGGGCTGCCCGTCGCCGAGGACGACGAAGACGAGGGCGAGGGCGAGGGCTGCGGCCGCTGCGGCTGCGGCTGCGAGTACCCCAGCCTGGCCTGCGCGGCGCGCGCCTGGAACCCGCGCAGGATCCAGTCGTCGTACTCCTTGCCCACCCGCCGGAGCGCCTCGAGGATCACGACCAGCAGGATGGTGCCGATGCACGAGGCTGCGAAGGCGCCGTTGCTGCCGACGTGCCATGATTCGGCGAGGAAGCACGAGTCTATTGTGTACCAGTTCCATAACATCTGTATTTGGGAGAGAAAATGCAAGTCAGTCATTGATGGATTGATTAAATGGTCGTGGCTATGCATCGGAACATCTGGAGGCGATATTGAACATTATCCAAGTCACGAATGGGGGGCAGCCTTACCGACGAGTTACACGTCGTTGTTGACATGCTCATGTGATCCATCTTGTGTGAGTGGACTCGCAATTTGCTGCGAGGGCCGAAGATCAATCAATCAAGGTTCGGTTGGAGGCGAGTTGCTGCAGTGAGCACTGGCAGCCTGGACCTGCAGGAAGTGGGTGGGCGCGTGTGTCTGGAAGCGGGCGGCTTTGAGGTCTTGTCCCGTGTGTGCTGCGTTGATGGGTAAACGGGTGAAATGTGAAATAGATGAATGAATGGCCCGGCACGTCGGTTCGGAGGTCAGGTCATATAGTGTGTACCCGAGAGAGACGGAGATGAGCCCGGGTTTCTTTTGTGTGATGCTGTGTGTGCCCGTCCCGAGTGCTGTCCGTGTTATCTTTATTGCACCGTGTCCCCTCTCGAAGAAAATCCCCTCAACATGCAATGCACAACCTTGGAAAGCCGATGGAGTGATTATTGAGCAAGTTTACAGTCCGACGACGACGTTCGACGACAGCATGCAAGCCAACCTACATACATACAGCCTTGAGAAGATTTCCAGGAATCGGCAAGGCAAGGAAAGAGGCATAGGTCCGACGATGGAGTAAAAATGGTGGCATGGCAGAGAGAGTTGCCACCCACAGCACATGTCCAACCCCATCCATTCCCCTCCCCTCTCCCGCTCGGTGAGCACAAAGCTGATGCCAAGCCGTAAACGTGCTCAACCCAAGCTCGTCCACGGCCGCGGCCATCCCTGAGCTAAAGACGGTGATGGTGGGGGCTGGACGTGCCAGACGTGGGGCCATTCTGGGGACTGTGCCCAACTCAGAAGGCAGTGTGGGGCACCCCGGGACAGTTTTCACCAATCAGAGGGCGCCTGGTCGGGGGCGGGAGGTACCGTGGGCTGCCGTGACGAGAAACTTGCTCAAACTTAAGCCTCACGTTGGACCCACTCCACCTGCTCTTGCCTTCTTGAATTGGCCCCGACTCGCTGCCAGGACTACTGCCAGGACTGCTACTCCAAGTCGCAGTGCTCACGTTTCACGCACTGCTCCTCTTCGCTCCTTCATCCCGGCCTCGGGAGTGGCGCCCGGGATTCACTCCCACTTGGCCCACGGCCGGATCTCGTGGCCTTACCAGGCGTGGTGGTCCCGTTCTGTGCTTCCTCCCCCAAGTGGACTCGAACTCCCTTTTCGCTGCTTCCATCTGCTTGCACAGTCATTCCGAGCAATACGGAAGGAGACGCCGGGCCAAGCTGGCCAAGCAGGCCTCTTCCGATTCTCGACATGCAGCTCGAGGAGAAGACAAGAAGCCAAGCAGGAGCAAGTTGGACAAACCTGCTCAAATGAGGATTTCTCAAATCTCCGTGTTGTGATGAGTCGCGCACGAGCCCGCGAAGCTCCGGAAACTTGCTCAAACCACCGGGGCCACTGCTGCAGAGGTGCTGCCATGGTGGGTCTTGGCGGTCCGCCGGTGCCACCAAACGACCTGCTCCGGATTTGCACTCGCCTCGTGTGTCCCTTTCCATCTCGTAAGAACCTTGAGGGAAGACACCTGCAGTGGAAACATGCTCACATTTGGCATTTTATCCAAACATTGGCGGCGTGACCCCGGCGTCTGGGCGGCCGGTGGACCACATCTGGATCCGAATTGTCGGGAAGGGGGGTCCGTTTCGAATAATATGCCTGCCTCCGTGTCGCCATTTCTAATCCAGCCTTTTTAATGTTTCTGTACCACCTCCGTCTTTTGGGTGGGTGTGTCGTGTCTGTGTCATTGACCATTGCCGATCCCACCTCAAAGTCCACTGAGCATCGGAAATCGCTGCTTCAGCATCTGTGTAAACAAGGGTAGAAGTATCTCCCTTCACAGATATTCGTGGTCGCAGCTGGACGCACACCCATCCAACTAGCCACTCAGGAACGCCTCCGAGAGGCTAGACGGACGGACGGACAGGCAGACAGACTCACAGCCAGGATGGACGCCTCGCAAGGAATAATCGCCGCGAGGCATATCCAGAACTTCTCTGATGCCGACGGCTCAGTGCTCGAGCCTCATTGGGGCTACGCAGATCGGATCCTGCCCTGCAAGAACGACGCCGGCTCATGCGCATACCTCGACCTCGTCTATCACTCACACGACCTTTCCATGCTATACTCTGGCATCTTCTGGGCCGCGATCGCCGGGATATTATTACTATGGGGCCTTGGGCGACGAATCTTCCCATCACCGACAGCAGATGAGGCCACCACCTCCGGCGCAAAGGCAGAATCACAGGGCACGCAGACCATCGGCGGCATTGAGAAGTTGAAGCGATCTGTCTCGAGTTTCCGCCGGACCTACCTCCTCCCCGACTTCGCGCCACGCATCCTCGGCCATGTCACGCGCCTGCAGGTGCTGGTCCTGTTCATTCTCGCGGGCTACCTGACCATCTTCTCCTTTGTGGGCATGGCCTACCAGACCTGGATCACGCCCGTCAAGACCTCGCCGGGCCTCAACAACACACGAACCTCCCTGGGCCCCTTTGCCGACCGCATCGGCGTGCTGGCCTACGCGCTGACGCCCCTCTCGGTCCTGCTGGCCAGCCGCGAGTCGCTCCTCAGCGTCATCACCGGCATCCCCTACCAGAGCTTCATGTTCCTGCACCGATGGGTCGGCTACATCATCCTGATCCAATCCACCGTGCACACCATCGCCTGGATCATCGTCGAGGCGGCCCTGTACCAGCCCCAGCCGGCCGAGTGGAACAGGGTCGCTGGGGAGTTGTACATCCAGTGGGGTTTCGTCGCGCTGGGGCTGCTCGTCCTGCTGTGGATCTTTGCCACGCCCTGGGGCATCCGCCTGACAGGCTACGAATTCTTCCGAAAGGCACACTATGTCCTGGCCATGGTGTACATTGGCGCCATCATCGGCCACTGGATGAACCTGCAGTGCTTCCTTATCCCGGGCATCCTGCTCTGGTTCTTCGACCGTGTCGGCAGGGCGGTCCGCACTGGGCTGCTGCACTACCGCTGGGTGCCCGCGAAGAACAAATGGGGCTTCGAGTCTGCCAAGGCGAGGATCACGCGGTTTGAGGATAGCGACAGCGGCGACGTGGTCCGGCTGGATTTCGATCATGTCCAGCAGCCATGGCAGGTCGGCCAGCATTTCTACCTGTGCTTTACTGAGTCCTCAGTCTGGCAGTCCCACCCGATGACGCCGCTCAGCCTGCCCCTGGCAGACGACACGGGGGCAGTGAGGCACTCGTACGTGATCCGCGCCAAGAAGGGCGAGACGAAGAAGCTCGCCGACATTGCAGCCAAGAAACTCGCAGCGCTTCCCACAGGGCCACCAGCAGAAGGAGCAGAGCCGACCACATCCGTGGTACTAGCAGGCCCTTACGGCGTGGACATGATTTCGAGCGTGACACCAGAGACCAACGTCCTCTGCGTGGCGGGCGGCACAGGCATCACCTTCGTGCTACCCGTCCTGCTGAAGCTCGTGCGCGAGAAGCCGGCCGCCGGCCGCAAGATCGAGCTCGTGTGGGCGGTCAGGCGCGACGTCGACGCCAAGTGGGTGGCCGAGGAGCTCGAGTACGTCAAGGAGGCCGGCTGCTCGCACAGCCTGGACATCAACGTCTACGTGACGCGCGAGAAGGAGCACCACCCCTCGGTGCGCCGGGGCGCGGGAGTCGGAGGCAAGAAGGCCGACGAGCCGCAGGAGAAGGTCTCGTCCTCTGCGTCGTCTGCGACGGGGGGATGTGACTGTAACGACGTGACGCACCACCACCCCGACAACACTGAGATACCCGAGGCGAGGAGGCCTCACCTGGACGAGATTGTGCGGGGGTTTGTCGGGTCTGTGGCCCGCGGGTCGACGACTGTCTACGCGAGCGGGCCTGGCGGCATGATTGGGGACCTGAGGAAGGTGGTCGCGAGCTGTAATGCATCGGGGACCGTGTGGAAGGGCGATGCGAGGGGGGATGTGAGGCTGATCTGTGATGATCGGTTAGAGTAGACCAAAAGTTAAAAAGTCGTAAAATTCAAAATACCCAAGTTAATATGCATTCAAGTCTCACTGGCTGTGACGAGTGGTTTCCAATACTGTCGCATCGTTCAACAACCTGGTCAGAGGTCGACTTGATGACCCGGAATATCGGGACGTCTGGGGGCTTACGGTCCAATGAGCGCAGCTACCCTGCCATACTAAGAATAAGTTGCATATGCCCGCATGCAACTATCTTCGTCTATCTGCACTGGCTCTATCGGGATTGGCTCGCTGGTCTGCACTACTCGGTTCCTTTGAACAAATCTCAGCGACATCGACAGCTGATAATGAGAATTAGAGTAAGAAGTAAAAGCGAGACTAACTCTTAGAATGAATCTTCGTAACCTTCCGTCACCTCGTTACATCCTTCTCTTGGATCTGCACTGATTATGATCATGGCCGCCCGCCTGCTCCTCACCGTGCTGGCATTCACGTCGCTCGCCTCGTCGCTCGGACCGCCGTGCAAGGACCCCATCGTGCGCAAGGAATGGCGTACTCTTTCGCGCTCAGAGAAGGGTTCCTACCTCGATGCAGTAGAGTGTATCACCACCAAGCCATCCCTCACACCCCGATTCAACAACTCCGGCGTCAAATCCCGCCGCGACGACCTCCTGTACACCCACATCCAGCAGACCTTCTCCATCCACTACGTCGGCCACTTCCTGCCCTGGCACCGGTACCTTGTCGCGACGCACGAGCACATGCTGCGGGGCCGAGTGCGGCTACGGCGGGGCCTAGCCGTACTGGGACTGGACGCTGGGACCTGGACACCGGCGAGACGTTCGCCAACTCGCCAGTGTCCGACCCGGAGCCGGGGTTCGGCGGGAACGGCCCCTACGTCGAGGGCCAACTCGTCGGATCCGTCTGCGGTGCCTGGCCGCACGGGCGGCGGGTGTGTCGTCGACGGGCCGTTCGCGGGGAGGGACGACTTTGTCCACCTCGGTCCGGCGAGTGGCGTCTCGTATAACCCGCAGCGCCTGAGGAGGGACTTGAGTCCGGGCTTTGCGAGGCGGTATCTCGGTATGAACCAGACCGAGTTGACGCTGAGGCAGGGTGACTTTGGCTGGTTTGCCAGGGGTGTCGAGGGGGGTCCTAGTTTTGATGCTTCTGGGATCCATGGGGGTGGGCATTATAGCGTTGGTGGGACTTATGGTGAGATCCCCTCGGTTTCGGTGGAGTCTTTCGTCAAATTAATAATGTGTTTGCAGGGCAGATGGGCGACCTGTATGCCTCGCCGGCAGATCCTATATTCTATCGTGAGTCAGAGTTTCCTCCCTTGATTGTGTCGACCCCAATGCGATTCCAGTGAACTGACCATATATAAAAGTACACCATGCCAATCTCGACCGCGTGTGGTGGTCGTGGCAGAGCTGTGATCTGGAAAACCGACTTCAGGATATCTCTGGGCCCATCTTCCTCATGGACTATGACAACATCCAGGGTGGGAACGTGACGCTGGACTTTGAGATGACCGTCGGAGTCAGTGCTCCCAACGTGACGGTGGGATCTGTGATGGACATCTCGAGCGGTGCCGGGGATGGGGTACTTTGTTACACCTATTCTGATCTCTACGCCCTCCAGACCTGATGGCGTTTGCCACGGTGAACAACACCTAGCGCAGAGCTGTTTCCAGTATTGATTAGCCGCAAGTATTGCGCATCTCGGTCATCGTTGACGAGCCAGCTCAGTGATGCGATGAATGCACTATGGTAGCCTCGTGCATCAGAGTAGTTTCCCTTTCAAGAGGAACTCGAAGGTCAGGCGCCTGAAGACGGTCTGCGGTATCGCGGCGCCGAACCTGATGACATTGCAAATGTAAGCATCACGCCACGAAGTCTGGCACACCAAGCTGAATCACATACCCATGGCACGCAATTATGTCCCTCAGAGTCTCTGCGAGAGTTTGCAGGGCCTGGAGCTCGAAGCCACCGAAATGTGGCTGGGATCGGATGAGGTTCCAGGCTTGCACCGGCGTGATCTGGTCATCCGATGCGCAAACCTCTGTCGAGAGGGCCAGCAGGTTTTCCAGCATGGTTTCGGGAAGCTCGTGCTGGTTGATCGACTCTGGTGACACCGGGGACGTCGTATTTGACGGACATGTTATCGCGCATGCCTGAGCCGATAGCGTGAGTGCGTGGCCGGATGGATCTTCTGGCTTCTCAGGGTCGCCATGGAGGTGTTCGAGACATGGTCTTTCGAGTCTATTACGACGTACAGAATGATTGTGTCAGCACGCGGACCGAGCACAAATGTTTCGAGCGGGGAAGGGGTTCTTACGCCAGCACGAAATCCATACCCAAAGCCACGGGGTCAACATCGCCCAGCCGAGCGAGAGGTGGTGCCGGGCTGGACATGTTGTCGGGTTTGGGACTTCTCGCTTCTTTTGCCTGGGTCGATCTAATTATGTCATCCACTCCCTCGACTCCATGCTCTTCAAGCTTTCCAACCAATTTCTTGATGGTGCCTTGAAGTCGTTCGTTTTCCAGGACCAACTCTGCTTCCCGTGCCTTGCTCTTTGCGACTTCCCTCTCGAGAGCTTTGGTGTACGCCTCTTTCCGTTCGCGATAGGTCCTGGTGCCAATCTGCATAAGCATATTGCAAAAGATGGACAATCGCAGAGTTCTCCCTTACTGCTGTGCTTGCCTGACCTGGGCGCGGCGCTTCTCCACGCGGTCCTCCTTCGGCGCTGGTAAGTCGGCACATGTCAGCAAGTAGACTTGATATGGCTAGGAGCGTGGACTCGGGTCACGAACCCTGCGGATTAAATATACGGAATATATTATTCGTCATAGCGGTTCGTCTGGCCTTCCCTGCAGTGACACGTAGCGTGATCGAGGATCGAAGCGACAAGACTGCTTGGTGCAAGCGCTGGATAGAATTAAAGATTAGCGATCAAGAGAGAATGTGAAAAGACGGAATCTTGGATTTGGAGCCCCGAGGCCAGACAGAGACCGGATAGAGGGCCATGTGATGTGAGGCAAAGCAGCCGGGTCAGCTTTGCCTCGGCCGCCCCAAGTGCCACTGCAAAGCATCAAATCAGGGCCACAAAGCTTGTATGATCTTCAATGTCAACGTTTCGGAGGGTTCTGCCCAATGAGGGAAACGGATAACCCTCCATGATCAACTCATCAGCTGCGCACCCTACGTCAGGCCCTTCAGCTGTTCATGGAACGTCTGGGGTCAGCCTGAAACCCCCCATGACCCTTGACACCCTGGGTCGCCGCCCGTGGCCAGTGCCAAGAAGCCGTCCCGATCGGGAAATTCTGATTATCGCTGCAGCCCTAAGTAGGGCTGCCTGCATCTGTGACGCTTCATTGAGACTTGATGTAGGCTTGGTGTTGGAATGTCTGGCTTCTAGATCGCGCCCTCAGCCCACATTCTGTTTTGTCAGAGATGTTGTGATCAAGGGGCTTTAACATGGCCCATTTTAAAGGTCTCTCATTCCCACAAAGGGAAATACTGATCATTGAACAATCAGGCACACTGTGGGTGGTCTTGGGCTTGGTAAATGATAGATCTCTGTCTGATAGGCAGACGTTAACACATCAACGCCTATGGTCATGTTCTATAAAGATATACCAGCAGTTCATCCTTTCTGGTGATCTTGATCTGTCCCTCACCATACACATCCTTCAACGTACCATTAAAGTCGGGCCTCACATTCATTCGATATCTTAGCAAGACACTCTTTTGGTATTCTACTGGATAGATTGCCCCCAGGTCCTTGGTAAAATGTTCGTTTCTACTCTTGTCTTTCTAATGGTGCTTGCGCCTTCCACAATGCAGGTCGCTGCGCGGCCAGCCAAGCCTTGCGGGTCAAAGGGCGGCGCTGCAAAAGCCGCCAACGGCAAGGCTATTTACATGCTGAGCAACCAGGCATCCAACTCTGTGGTGGCCGTGCCCATCGCGGAGGACGGAACACTTAATGAGGCGGGCGGTTCATCGACGAACACTGGTGGTTCTGGCGCCAACGGTGTTGACGGTTCGACAAACCAGCCTGCTATGCCGGACCCTCTGTTCAGCCAGTCTGCCTTGACTGTAGCTGGGAATGTAAGTCAAACGCCTCTGGATTCTCCAGTGCTTGTTTACTTTTTCAAGGAGCTAACACTTGAGCAAGAACCTGTTCGCAGTCAATGCCGGATCCAACACTCTCTCCATGTTCGCCATAGACGCCCAGGATCCCACGAAGCTGACCATGGTCGGCAACCCCGCTGATCTGCCGGGCGAGTTCCCTGTCACTGTGGGAGCATCAGCAAAACACAACCTCGCCTGCGTGGGCATGTCAGGGAGCACCGCTGGCGTCTCGTGTGCCTCGTTTGACGCCGCGCAGGGTCTCGGGGCGATGGACGCCCTCAGGCCTTTCGACCTCGGCCAAACCACACCGCCTGTGGGCCCAACGAACACAGTATCGCACGTGTTCTTCTCCGATGACCAGTCGACATTGTTTTCGACGGTGAAGGGAGACCCGACCAAGAACAACACCGGCTTCTTGGCGTCCTTCCCCGTCAATGCAGCCGGTCAGTGCCAAGCTGCATCCGTCGGCGCGGAGGGCGCGCAGGATTCGCCCAATGGGACGGCGGTCCTTTTCGGCTCTTCCCCCATCGCCGGATCATCTGATCTCTTCGTGACGGACGCTTCGTTTGGTGCCGCCGTGCTGAGCACGCAGCAGGCAGCCGGCGGCTCCGCGCAGGCGTCGGGGGCTGCCGAGGTCGTGGGCAAGGGGGCCATCGACGGCCAAAAGGCCACCTGCTGGGTCGCTATCAGCCCGGCCACGAAAACAGCCTTCGTCACGGATGTCGGTGTCAACCACTTGGTTGAGATGTCTCTGGCCGATGCGAGTATACTGGGGGAGACTGACCTCAGTGCCAACGGCGACCCTGGTCTGATTGATCTCAAGGCGGCTGGCAACATGGTTTATGCATTGAGTCCTGGGAATGGAACCACCAACGCTGCTGTGACGGTGATGGATGCGAATACCAAGCAGCAAGTTCAGCATCTTGATATGACATCACTTGGCTTGGATGCAAATGCCCAGGGTATGGCGGTCTTGGAGTGAAGTTCCAGGCAAATCTGGCATGAACTGGACGTGATTTCCAAGAGACTTTTGGAACATGAAAACCTACGTTGAAATCCATTCCCTATTCCAATCACGCAACACTTTGGGGTGTATGCAATGATCCATAACTTCGATAATGCTTATTACATGAAATAGTATTTCACTGCGTCAGTGAAATGGAACGAAATTCATTGGTCTAGTTGTGTTGTTGCTTGAAGCTCAAGTGAAGTTGTCTGTGGTTGCGGATTTGGCCTCATCCCTCAGACGTGCCGCATATCTTTGGCGGGCGGGGCATGAACATTTCATATGCAAGAGTTTTCACAGACAAAGGCATTGTATACAATACAGCTTCCCTGTAGATGAAATAGAAAATGTCCAGGCACCCTCTTGAGCAGCTCAGCAAAATTTACAAGCTTGGGCCATTCCAGCAAAACGCTGTGACAAAATGATGTAACTACCCAGGGAGTCATCTACAAAGGATGTAAAACGACCTGCTACACACAAATCGGAAGTCTGCATACGCACTTCTTCACAGGAAAGAATGCTCAAGAAATTGCACCTTTCAAGATAGCGACCAATAACCATGGGACGACAGAATTCCAGTCAATAAGAAATGGCAATTTGTTATGGAATACGGATGTGACTTGCGCCTTCCCACTTGCAGTGATTGAAGGTATCTTGGTATTTCTACCGTTAAAAGGGAGCAGGCTCTCAACTTCGGCTGCCATTTCCCATCCTGTAGAGTCAACAAACAGCCAACGTAGGACCGCCAAACGCGACCACCACTCCGACCAGGCAGCAACACATGGGAATCATGGCACCAAACAAGGGCCCAGATGATCCCTACCACCACAAGTTTCATTGTGGTGGCAAAGTAAGTGACACACCTGCCTCTATCCTTCCCGTTTGGTTGGAAATGCTCCCAGCACGTGCTTACCTCAACATTGCAGCATCGCAAGGGCCACTGGTGCTGGACCGATGCTGAAATCAAGAGCCTCAAGCACCAGGCGGGTGTGCTGCACCTCGAATGGCCTAGCATCGCCAAGGTTAGTGTTCTGGTGTTCCGTCCGACTTTCGGGATTCGCTCCCAACCTTGATGACCTGGGGAAAGACTGACCCCCAATGTTTGTGGCAGTCCTTCAAAATCGACGGCTTCGTCCGACACGACGCACTGCAATGCTTCAAGAAGTGGACCGAGTACAGGGACTCGACTGCACAAACACCTATCAGGTCCACGACACTTCAAGAGAATACACCGGCTTAAAAACAACAATTTTGGACAGAGCCGCCAGGAGCGCAGATGCAGGATCCACTTGAGCAGCTTTTCTCAAAAAACAGAGATGGAAGAAAGTTGTGCCTTGTCCCCGATCCATACGGGACGGCCAAGCTCTTCTCGCTTGGGCAAAAAAGCAAAAGGGGGCGATGGGATATATCTAAATCTGAAAAAGGTACCTGGAATTTTTGGGGACAGCACACAGAATCAGACGGCTAGCCAATAGCACTTCGAATTGGGTAGGAGTGCGGTAGCATTATCAGGATCGGAAGAGCCAACCAAGCCGGATTCAGTGCACACTTTCCAAATACTTTCTCTTACCTGACATTGATTCGACAAATGCAAAGCTCTTTAAACTGTACGCTTTCATACGATTGACAGTGGTGATCAAACATGTAATGGTGCTGCTCATGACCGGCTGCAATCGTAAAGGCTCTCCACGTTATGTCGGCTTGCGAGGCACTGGGCGATACGACCCTGAGTATCAGACCAAGGCTTTGAAGCCCATGTCCAAAAACAGACATGAGAAAGATACACAGCGCCAGCTCCACTCCTTTTGCCGGATATCTCCCAACTCACTCACCAGAAGAACCGGCTCCAGTTCCACTCAGCTCTCCCACAGGCCTATGATGCAAGAGTTTCATTAGGCGTTGGTTGCAATACCCACTCTTAGTAAGCCCCAGACAGCTGCAGGCTGTTGGACCAACGTTTCCTCCGGGCTTCCGGCTCGCTTATTTAAAGTCACTGATCACTCATAAATTCCCGATCCGGGCACGACAGGACCTAACACGTCCAACAGCACCACAAAAGCCCTTGGGACGGCCGTCCTCCACGACCCTTTCACCAACCCCAGCCGCAGAAAAGTCGACCATGGCGCACAACCAAATGTTCCAGTACTCCCTCGCGCTCAGCCTCATGGACGGCGTCGCGGACAAGGGCCTGCCCATCTCCGAGTTCCTCAAGCACGGTGACCACGGCCTGGGCACGTTCCGGTACATGAACGGCGAGATGATAGTGGTTGATGGAGATGCATACCAGATGCTCTCGGACGGCTCTATCGTGGATCTCGACCCAGAAGGGGACGCTATCCACCCCTTTGCCCAGATAACGCGCTTTAAGCCTGAGATTATCACTCAGGCTGCTATACCCAGCAAGGAGGAGTTGAACGGGATTGTTAGTGGCCTGGCGTGAGTTCCTTTTTCTTTCTGTGGTGCAACAGCAGATTTTGAACTTGCTTCGTCATGCGATTTGGCGGTCTTTCTCCTTACAAAATGGTGCGTCCTGTAATCAAGAGTAACTACTAATCTGCTTTTCCAGCCCGGAGTCTAAGAATCACCTCCTGGCTATGCGATTAGACGGCGTCTTCAAGTCCGTGACCGTTAGGACGGCGGCAGGACAAGAACATCCGCACCAGGGCCTACTTCAGATCGGCAAAAACCAGGTCTCATTTACCTTTGAGAACGTCCGGGGTACCCTGATAGGCTTCCGGCAGCCTCACTATCTGCAGGGCATTGGTGTTCACGGGGACCACCTCCATTTTATCACGGACGACAGGAAGCGCGGTGGTCACGTTCTGGCCCTGCAGAGTGACGGCGAAGTCGAGGTGAAGGCGGCTCAGATGTACACGATGACTCTGGAGCTGCCAAAGGGCGATGAGGATTTTGACAAGGCAGACCTGCTGGGAGCTCATGAAGATTTAAAATCGGTGGAGGGTTAATAGCTGGGAGCATATTTCACCTCGGCGGATATCATGGCGCTGCATCTGGAACGGATCTTGGACACTAGCCAAGTATTGTGTATATATCCCATGCTGTGGATTCCCGGGCCTCAATACCTGTCTTTCCCCCCAACAGAAGCAACATCGCCCAACTCCACCCCCTCAGACGCCCGCCCCGACTCGGCAGTCCCAAGCGCCGCGAAGCCCGGGTCAAGCGCCTCCTCGCTCGCCGTGCTCTGCACCGTCATCGTGATGGGATACGGGTCCGTAGCCGTGGACCGCTTCCACTTGCGCAGCCGCCTCTCCCGCGGCGTCTCCGGCTGGCCGCCCTCCCTGTCGGGCCAGAACCGCTGCGTGATGGTGCGCGGGGCGTTGGCCGCGGCGCCGGGGCTGACCTTGGCGGCGTCGCGGGACCCCTTGTGCAGCACGAGGCGGACGAACCAGGTGCTCACTATCGGTGCGCAGCCCGCCACTATGCCGATGACTTGCTCTGCCAGCGCGAGGAGGACCACGATCATGTAGATTACGGTCGTGTCTTTGCCGTCGGCCATGGGTACCTGGTAGGCGAGACGGGCGATGCTGGAAAGGGGCGCGAGTGTTCTTCGAGATGCCATGTGAGTAAATTGTCATACGATGAGCGTGCGGACGTTGACAGCCCCAATGAAGAATCAAGGTTTGACTCACCCGAAGGCAAACAGGGCCCACACAGCCCACTTCCGCCTGCGGCTCATATTAAGCCGCCATACTGACACCATGGGGATAACCAGTACTAGCAGATCGCTAATGATGTTGATAATCGATGCCGAGATCAAGACCATGTACTGATTCACGCAGCTGCTCCCATATGGCTTGTGGTATGGCACACACTGCAGCGCAAGGGCCATGATCAGGCCGACGGTGTAGAGGAAGTTGAGCCATACAACGACTTGGATAATCCACCAGAGCGCACTTCGAGTCACGCCCTTGGGGAAGAAGAGTCGGACGTATAGTAGCAGGATGGAGAGCTTGGCGAAGAACATGCTCGTGCGGGCGACCATCTGGAGGTCCTGGAAGATCTCGACGTATCGCTTGTATTCTGCGAGGGGCGTGTCTTCGTGGTGCACTGTATTGGTTGCTATTAGCACCCGGGCATGCACGGGACAAGGGGACTTCGAACTTACATCCGCCGCCATGATGCATCATCAACAGCATTAATGTGCATAACACGATTGTACCCATCCAGGCGAGGAGCATGGACCCTGATCCATCGCAACAAGTGCTCGTCAGCTGGAAGCCCAGGGGAAGGACGCAACCTGGAATTCGATTGGAGTTGGACTTACAGTCATCCCACCAGAACTGCTGGTACACCGTGAATCTGGTGTACAGACGGGTCCCCGTGAACAGTGTCGACAGGGCGATGAACAAAACACTCACTCCTATGATAGTTTCACTGGCGATAGGAGCCCGCGCCCGCGCATCGTCGGTGATGTTATTCGGAAAGTTCTCGGCCATGGTTCGAACATATTCGGGGCTCATGGAGCCCTCGGGCCCAGAGACGAACGACAGACAACCTGCGGACTTTACTGATGAGATAGACGATGGTCTTGTGAGATCTCATCGATCAGCGTGTGGCCCACTATATAGAGGCACTAATCCAAAAGAGGCACCAAGGTCGTCCCCCACGGCATTTTTCGGGGGTTCGACGCCGCCTGGGAACACCTGCTTAATGCGGTATCTTTCTTGCAGACCGGTGGTGGGTATAAGTAATGATAATCCACACTGCGTGCATCGCGGGCGGGTAAGGCTCCACATCCTCTTGCTTTTGCTCGAATGTCAACGTTCCCGCCCCCAACTCTGCAGGACCTCTGCGTCAAGTCCATCTAAGCAAAGGTTAGGCAGGATGTATCTGAGTATTCGCAGAGATTGCCTCTAGAGGGATGAGCTCCCGGTATGAAGGATCCATAGCAGCTGTGGATCCACAGTCCTCCAAATTTATCGCAGAGATATTCAACAATGCAACGTTGGCTGCTGCGAGGACGAAGGACGCTCACACCCTTGTCAGTCCCTCTCCCCTCCATTGTGAGCTATCAACTCGCATACATTGGAAGCTTCCACCCTCACGACCACGCCCACCTTAAACCTCGGCTTTGTTCAGCTTCTGCCTGTCGCCAAATCCATAGTCGCCAGCGCCCTCCTGCACAGCCAACATCGGAGATTCTCAGGCGCAGATGCCTCACCGTTCACCATGCAGTGTAACGACACCATACCCCACTGCTCACAGCCCGATCTTAGCTATGTACATGCAATATGATGGAGCACTCACTGCGATCCTAACTCCCTCAGCTCCCATCAGAGAACTAGCTACGGGACGGAACGTTCCCCTGATCCTATCATGCAATGTTTCCGCATGTCTGTGCGGAAATGCGGGTAGTCTTGGTGACCACTGCAAATTGTAAGGGTCGTTCCTACACTTGATAGGGAATAGCACCACGGAGGTTATAGCCGTTGGGAGTGTCTGTTGGTTGAAGATGCAATCGGAGACCAAGAAATTTCGATCATCCACCGAGGGAGGACCCTGGGACTTGCTGAATCCTTCCGGCCCACAAGATGCATGTAACGTCTTCCTTTAAATGCATCATCACATCACGATTCCGATCATCCTGGGTTGTCCCTCACGATCTGCACCCGACTGCCTGCTCTGCTCTCGTCTACACAGTAAGCGCATCTGGATTGCATCTTACCGAGCCACTCGATCGGTCGACTCCCTCTCCCTCTCCTCATCTCTCGTCAGCCTACGTGTCTGCTGCGTCTGCCTACCTGCCATACTTGCATTTCAGCTGACCATCCTCACTCCCCCTGCTAGAGTACTATTGACCACCAATACAACATTGCTTGCCCCAAATATTGCCCACCATGGGACTCCTCTCCACCACGACGACCCTACTGGCTGCTGCAGGCGCGCTGCTCTTGCAGCCCACAGCGGTCCTCGCATTGCACTTCAACATCACGGCCCTGGGGGCGGCCAATAACGCCTCGACGCTCGAGTGCTGGCAGATGGACACGCCCTTTGCAATCTCGACGCAGCAGGGCACCGCCGGCAGCGCGCAGCTCCAGCTGGGCAACACGAGCGCCATCTCGTACAGCGTGCTGCCGGCGCAGTTCGACGCTGGGGTGCACAACGCGCCTGCGAACCAGTGAGTTTCCCCGATTCCCGACGTTCTGTCCCCAAGTTGTGCTATTGGCTTGAATGCTCCGGCCTGCACGAATTGCAGTGGGCTGGCTCCAGCTCTTCGGGTATCTGTACCGAGCCCGGGTCGTTCGGACGATGTGTGACATATCCGTCGTGCTTGTCCATTGGCACGGGGCCCAGGGGGCTCGCAAGCCCGTTTTCTGATCCCCTTTAATCCCCGAAGTCATGCAGACTACCATGCTGATCACTTCCTCCTAGATGGGTCATCTTCCTGTCTGGCCTAGCTTACATCTCCCTCCCGGAGGACGACACGACCAGCGTGTACGTGTCTGGCGGGCAGTTCGGCCTCATCTTTGCCGCCGACACGTCCGACGTCAGCGCGAGCGGTCACGCCACGGCCTACCCTGGAACCACCGAGACGATTGCCATTCAGATCCCCACCGAGGACGGCGAGATCCCGGACCACTCGATCTTGCATCCCGGCCCTTGCACTGCGAACGACACCCTGGGCTTGCTCATGCTGGGTGCTGGAAGCGGCTAACTGAGCGTTGTCTGTGCCGAGATACAAATCACTTGGTCCTAACGGGGGACTGCATTGCACCCTACCGTCACGGGACATAGGTCGATAGTAATTGATAATTCAGTTCGAAAGTGCCCACAAAAGGAACTTTCAAAGCAGATTACCACCATCCTGACCGATAGACCTGTGCCAGCCTCGTTCAGGATGTCTTGACTATAACATGCTCCCGCCTCAATCACAGGCTGTGGTCCATTCGCTGTTCTAGTATGCTGCTATGCGTCCCCTACAAACAATCTCATTGGAAACTCAGAGCTCTCGTCTGTCCAGAATGGATTCAATATCCGGAATGGATCGCCTCGTCAGAAGCGACTTGGGTTATTCACAGCCGCCCGATCCTTTCAAAATCTCGCACACCTGCTGCTCGCTCACTACCATTGTGGTCCAGAACATAGAAACCAGCAGGGATCAAGTCCCACCAGGTAATCCAAACATACGGAGCCCTTGGAATTCTGGCAGCGAACGAACGGCTTGCACCAGGTTCCCCCATGACTCATCCTTGGTGCCCTTTGTGTCAACCTGTCGTTTCACGAATAATTCAGCCCCACGGTCATTCAGGATAGACAATGGCCATATCATATGTTCACACTCACATTGGTAACGATGCCTCGATAGTGCCCGTGAATCGCTAGGAGCTTCTCATCGTACTCGTTCCATCGTTTGTCAAAGAGCTCATCGTCGTCCGTGCTGTTCCGCCGGCGTCTGACGAATCTCTCTTTTGCGAAATCGACGTAGCAGTGGAGGAGAATGACACGCGAGGGTGCCTTGACCTGTAGACACACAACGGACGTTAGCAATGCAACTCTCAGCAAGCACAGGCGCCGAAGATGGGGCGGCACCTACTTCCTTCTCGAAAGCCAGCGCAGTCTCGATGTCTCGTGGGAAGCCGTCAATGAGCCAGCCGGGGCTGGATGATGACTGCCCATCAAGCAGCTTCTCCTTGATCAGCGGGACGATGGTCTCGGGCGGAAGGAGCTTGCTCTTCTGCACGTATTTCGCTACCTCTTCCGGTGGCAGGCGTCCGTCGGCCTGGGCACTGACTTCACCTGGCTGAGTTTCAGATGCATTGGCGTTGCACAGCTGCCGGAGGTAGTCCCCGACAGAGAGGTGTCTGAAGCTGCCAGGGATCTGTTGACAGATGCGGGAGCAGAGAGTGCTCTTTCCGCTACCTGGTGGGCCGATGACAAACACGATGGGGCCGGGTGGGATTTCCTGGTCAGTCGAAGCATTGCTCTCGAGAGGTGGCTTTTCTGTGGCCATGGTCGAGGTGGAAGGAGAACGAAGTGTTGAGATGTGCTCTCGCACAGAGTGACTGTTATTCGAGAGCTGAAGTCGATGGCAGTAATTCAGATGGACTCAATATTGAACGTAGCTTGACTTTGAGAAATGATTCATCTGTTTTCGGAGAGAGTGCACCTACTTATATTGAAGCGACCTGCAATGTTTGTCCTCAAGTACTCTTCATAGCTTAAACGCTTGTGAGACCACACGCAGGACATCAATGTTTGCGTGTGAGTAACTACATTTTTGGCGTTTGCCATCTGCAGTGAAGCAGGTCTGGAATGCCTCGCAATCGCACAATATTCAACACCAAGCATGTATGACTGGTTGTCATTGTTCTCAAACCGTGGAAATGTTACAGCGCAATTCATAGTTGACCAACCTAGATTTGCTTAATTGTTTGGGAACTGGACGCGAGGTTCAAGGTTCACAGTATCACCGTGTCGGTGGTGACTACATGCCTACACGGCAAAGACTCATCAAGGGCAAATGCTTCTCAAGATGAGGAAACGTGTTCGTTATGCTTTCAGGTGCGATCAACTCCCAGGCAACAAGATACAGAGCAGTAAATCAGAGCAGCAACTTCGACCAGTACAAATCTCATGCCAAACCTGCCCGACTCTCCATCCGGTACCACCCGCGTGTACCCGTCCCATCGACATCCACAATTTAGAAGTTGGTAACAGAGACCTCAACACCACCGGAAGCATAGTACTCCGCGGCAGGGGAGATAGTGGAGGCGCTCAGGCTGGTGTTGACACCGAGGACGACCCAGGCGAGGAAGCCGTCCTGGATGCTGTCGCCGAGCTGGACGTAGTTGAGGAAGGGGTCGGTGGTGCCGTTGGTCTCGGTCTCGGAGGCGATGACGCGGTCGCCGGCGTTGGCGGTGTTGGACTGGGTGTTTGTGTTGTAGGGGTAGAGCAGCTCGACCTGGTCGCGGACGGTCTGGTCCCAGAAGGTCTGGCCGATGTGCGAGGCGGTCAGGTCGTAGACGGTGCCGTTCTCGCGGACGGTGGCGTTCTCGTGCAGGATGGTGTGGATGTGGACGGCGCGGCCGGCGTAGTGGCCCGGGAAGAGGGTGTTGAAGGAGGCGACGCCCTCCTCGTCGGTGGGCTGGAGGCCGCGGAGGAAGGTCTTGTCGAGCACCGAGGTGTCCTCGGTGTTGCCGTTGCCGGTGTTGGTGGTCCCGGAGTAGACTCCGGTGGAGTTGCAGCTGAAGATCTCAAAGTAGGAGCCGACGATGGGCTCGCAAGTGTTCACGTCGATGATCTGGAAGTCGTAGTGGACGGGGACGCCCTCCTGGTCATCGACGAGGTCCTCACGGACGTACTCGCCGGCGACGTAGTAGGGGCCACTCTCACCCTCGGCGGTAAGGATGCAAGGAGTGTACGACGCAAACACATCTGCCTCCGGTGTGTTGAGAGTGAAGCCAGTGTCAGTCGCGTTGTGGTCGGTGGCAAGGACAGTGGCGAGATCGCGAGCCTTGATGTTGCGCTTCTTGACCAACTCATTCCTCTTGTTGGCACGGCGCTCAATGGCGCGGTCCTCGAGCCCACGGGTCTTGAGCTTGGCTGCGCAGTGCTCGAGGTTGCGAGAGGTGTGCTGGAGCATGGCCCGGCGAACAGCGATTTCCTGGTCAAGGTTTCCGTGCGCGGAGACGACTCCAGCAGCCACAGCACCGGCAATGATAGCAGAATAACGCATTTTGGCAGTGATTTTCAGTTGGAACGACCTTGTAAGAAGCGCAAGAGCGAAAGAAAAGATGTCAAGTGAGAGACTGGAGTTGTTGCGATGGGGGCGATGGTGATGGAGGATTGTCAACGAGGAACGTCATGTCGAGAATCTGCTCTCTTTATGTTCATGTCTACATCACTAGGTTGAATTCCTTTTGCAACTGTCTTCGATCTCCTGAGTCCTCAGCCACACTGTTGCTATTCGCACACGCCGGTGATCATCACAGCCAACATGGGTGTGATGGCTGAGAGAGTGAGGGTTTCTCAATTCACCATCCCACATACAGATGCGAAGATCCATAGAAGACGAACCGCAGGGCCAACAGCCAGTCAGGTCAAAGGTGTTTCCAGCAGATGTCACCTACACGCAAAAGTCTGACGCGTCAGGTTGTGAATCTGAATCCACTACTTCACTATCGCGGGCTATTGTGACGAGGAACAATCCCGAACAGAAAACTCCATGCCAATCAAAACGAATGAATTACACACAGGGTGGGAAAAGGGATGTGGGGAGGACTCCAGGACACGCGTAAACAAGCAACGGTATGTGGGAGTGCCAAGAGTGCCACCCGTTCCCTCACATTAATATGGCTGCCAAACGCACATGGGTCAGAAAGTACGCGTACAGCCTGCCACTATAGAGTGAAAAGAAGAAACAACAAAGTCCTGGTCATCCTATCGTCTACGTATGGCATTCGAAAATTAATGGGCTCACACAACGCAGATGCTCCTAACTTAAAGTAAATTTCTGTCACTGTGCTGAACGCCCTTCGAGTCTAGTCGTCACCTTGACTGAGTGTGCCCTGATCACGATGGAGGTGTTCGGCTGATAGAATCGTCAGTGGCTACCTAGGTAGTATGGGTCCTGAGGGGGCTTCCCCTTGTAGCAGGTATTAATGCATTGAGTGCCAACTCATTCCGTGCCTAGGCGTGCCACCAAAATTTACTAGGTATCCTGACGGAGCCTCCGTCCAGTCCAGATTTGGGATCCTCTACCCCTTGGCTAATCGTCCTTGACATCTCATTCGGTTCATCCCGAACAAGCCGACGCCTGGGGCTGTTAGGAAGGCGCTTCGAAAATGCGCCCACAGCCCCACACGCTTCCCAGTCCAGTACGCGTACTGCCGTGGGGAGGACTTTGGGATCTTTTCCTACCCCTGCCTCGGCTTGTCGTATACTCGTATTCCTTGCCTACCGGGACGCATTCGCTTGCAGGCAGCCTCTTCCGTCGGTTACCTATCTACTGAGTTGAGCCACACTCTCTTGAGACTGTGTCGTGACGCCAATGAGCGTCCAAGGTCCATGTGTCCTCAACATTTTTGCTGCCTTCACTTGGGGAAGCTGAGAGCTTAATTATTAGCTGCAGGGGAAAGCAAGGGAATAAAAAGCACCCAAATAAGAACATCTCGTGCGGAATAGCCCACAGTTTTCGAACTCTTCACGATCTCACCCACATGCGTCAGAGGACGCTGGCCAAGAACCCGCTGTCTCTTGGGGGATCAAGCTCGTATTCGTTTACAAAAGACACCTGAACAGTTGAACTGCCCGCGCGGTCTTCCATGACGAGTTTGTTCCATGAGATGTCCAAGTTGAGCTGGAACATTACCGTTCTTGATGACACGTCCGTAATCTTGCTGTCCAATACGCGGAAAACTTTGAAGCCCAGCTTGCGGCTCGCTTGCTCACAACCTCCTCCTCCCAAAGCTAAAACACCCGGGATGTGGAAAATAGTGCGTCACAACGTATCCGAGTGGAAGATGGCACGACGCCAAGAGAACTCGCTGGACCCATTGGGAACCACTGTGGTGGCCATGTTTCCTCTTGGTTCGTGATGAAGAGAACTTTCCTCGCCGTCTCCTCCCAATCAAGGGAACTGGATACTAACTTCCAATGCTGACGCCGCCTAGATGAGCCAATCTTGAGTCATCAGCTGCGTCGAAGCCGATTCAGCCCTCTCCAGGTCCAAAGTGTGCTTCTGATTCCTAGCTAAAACGCCGATCCCAGTTATGTAAAAGGAGATCCCACATCCCGCATACCCGCAAATCGGTGGCCACCTCACTGGGTTCTTGCTCCCAAAGATAGCACAGCGCATGTGTCTCTTTCCCCTTTCTTTTCCGTGTCAAAGCAACAGTCTCCGGTATTGTCATGACATTGAATGTTTCGAAAAAGGAATGTATCACCCACACGTTGACATCGCCGCAGACTGCTAACGGGAGGCGTTTCTAATGAGAATAGCTACGACGAAAACAAAAGACTGGCGCTAAATTCCACGTCCTGATTATACCACCACCGTTTCCCTCGAATCGAATACAAAATCACTGAGCTAGATTAGTCACCCGCGTTGCTCTGATGAACGGACCCTTCGTATACCCAATAATCCAGTCGTTGAACGGGTAGTCTTTCCGTTGGCGCTGCGACGCAGTCAAACTCTCGAGCCCTGATACGCCCTTCTCCCCATCTCCCGCGCTCTCGATGTCGTACTCCCGCAACATATGGAACAGGGCTGTTTGCATGGCGACGTAAGCGACAGCTTTTCCCGGGCAGGCCCGCGGCCCTTTGATAAATGGAGTGAACGCCGCATACAGCCTCGGGTCATGGGGTCTCTCAAGCCATCGCTCGGGTCTGTACTCGAACGGTTGCTTGTATATCTGAGGATCACGGTGCAGAGAATAAGTCGACGTTGCAACACTCATACCCTTCGGTATCGCCACTCCGTCGATGACCATGCCTCCCGATCCTGTTTCCCTGGGGATGCTGCCAGCTTTTGGAGGACTGAGCCGCATAGCCTCGTCAACACAGGCGCGCAGATACTTGAGAGACGCAAGCTTTGACTCGCTGAGGCCATCCGGCCCCAGGTCGAGCCTCCTGACTTCCGCTGCCGTCTTTTCCTTCGCGTCTGCATTCTGCAGCAGGTAGAACATCGTGGCTGCGGTGGCGAAGCGCACGGCGTCGCTCCCGGCGGCGATCAGCAACGAGCTCTCCGATGTCAGATCGGCACTGTCGTGGAATTTCGCCCGCATCAGGTGCCCAAAAATGTCCTTGCGGCCCGAGGCTGCAAGACCTTCCTCGGACTTCAGGCGGTCACCTCGCCGATGAACCTGGTCGGCCGCAAGGTCCGCGTATTTCTGGGCTTGGATGGCTGTGGTCAGGCCGAGACGAGAAGGCCAGTTGGACCGGAGAAGCCACTGGAAGAAGCGGAGAAGTGGGACGTGGCCCGAGGCGTAGCCGGCGGCATAGAGGAACACGCTCATCTGCTGGAGGCAGAGGGGCAGCCAACGCCAGGTGAGGGTATGTAGCATGTCGAACGACTGGCCGAATGCTATCGTGCTAATCACGTCGAAGCTGTACCACGAGGTGACTGTTGTAACATCCACAATGCCGCCATGAGTGTCGACTTCATGTTCTATGACGTCTATCAGTTGCCGGGATAGCTCGTTGATGTCGCGAAACACCTGATCTCGCGGAGGGATGGCCTTGTCCAGCAGCCTACGCCGCGCGGAATGGGCATCGTTGTCAGCAATCATCTGCACGCTCTTGCCGCCGGCTGGTCCACCATCCTGAAGCCCATAAAACTCGTCGCCTTTGAACACATTTGCGGACTTGACGTGGAGTGTTTGCAAGGACGAGAGTGTGTTGAAGATGAGCTGCTGCTTGGTCAGCTAGGTTTGCTCGAAGTAGTGCCGGCCTTCGGGCCCAGGTTCACTGACCGAGTTTGGACCTGTACGGACAACCGATCCTAGGAGAAGATGTCAGGGAGATTTCAATCATCCATAGTGTCATTACTAGCACCTACCATACTTCTCATGAGCCTCAGCTTCACATAGATATCTGTTGCCAACGTAGCACTGCCATATCCTGGGTAGACCCGATATTCGTTGGATCAGTGGCCCAGGGATCCCAGCAAGTGGATGGAAGAATAGCCGGTATACAATGAGGCTAGAGATCTGTGGAAACAAGTAAGGATCCGCCATTTACCAACAAAGCCATCGTCTACTCATGATATGCGACGGCGACATACCCACAGAATAAAGCAAAACAGTCCACCCAGAATTAGTCTCTCACTTGACGACGTGTGTTCCAGGCCTTCCGAAAAATACATCTCGGTGCTGTTGACAGTTGAAACTACTAGTAACGCACGATAGCGCAAAAGAGTAGTCAGTAAGCTAGACGAGAACAAAGAGAAATATTGGAATCAGGTCCCGGGGGCGCAAGAGACGTGAACCTCGTGGGGAGCTTACAAGAGAGAAAGAGCCCCGCTCACTGCCATCACCCAATACAGTTGAACCAATTTGATAACCAAGTTGCCAAGGTCCCATGCGGGACTAAAGGCGCCTGTAAGCACGATCAATATCCGTACCACCATACACGGCGGCAGGAATGATAAGAACCCGCCTTAGTCTCTGCAGGCAGTAGACATCCCAACGTCACATTGCATGGCGGAGGCAACTGTCCTTCACCCAATCCAATTGAATCTATCGGCTCCGGGTCGTCCATCGAACACTTTGTAACCCAATATCAATATACACGTATTCACGCGCATGATATCGAGTAGACGTTCCGTGCGGGGACGGCAATCACTATACCATTTGGGTTTGACTGGCGTGTCGAATATTGATTGAGTGGTTGCCAGACAAAGAGCTCGGAGCTGCTTGTAATCCCCAGAAAGGCCCTGTAAGATTGAATCACCACACGCATCATGTAGATAAACAAGGTCAAATAACGATGTCAACTCGGCTTGATTGTGTCAAAAAAATATGGCATAGGCAAATAAGGCAATTTACTGATTTTCCAGGTATCTGCAACCGTCCACAAACATCTCCGAAAGGTCTCCATTATCAATCCACTCCGCTGGATCCTCGTGAATACAGGCTGAGGAACGTCCACTGGTTTGTGCGTGGACAGTATGTGGCTTGCCGATCTTACATCAACCTCTTTGCGAGTATAAGCTCCGCACATTAATATCCTTAGAAATCGTCGCCATTTGCTCGGCCGTCTTGTGACTCTTGTGACCGCACTTTCTATTTTTGTCTCCACCAGACGCAACCATGAGTTTTAATCCGGAGCCATGGCCCATTACCATTCTTCAGTTGAAGTGCTCAGTGGCCTGAGAATATCTCGGAGTCGTCAAGACCTCGCTAGGTGCTGTGTCCCGGTGGGACATAGGTACCCGCCATGTCCGTATGTGAGTACACAGCAAGCGGTTGACAGCTCTGGTACCCTTAGATTCTAGGCCGTTTCCTAATCCTTTGATTCTGGCTGAGGAGCAAGACGCGCTAGGAATCGAGCAGAAGGACTAGTAGACTTCTTGAAAATGGTCGTGAGAATGAAGTCCACGCTGCGTACCTTGAAAGAGATCACTGCGTCGTCGGTACAATCCCGATGGAGTCGTGGAATGAGCATCAGACCCGGACCCAAGAGGATGAAACTCAGCTTGTGCCCGAGACTCGCCAGGCGCCAGAGGCCCTTCCGGGTGACTTCAAGCTGGCCCTCGACGCCCTCAGAGAACATTATCGGCGGTTTAATATTGAACCCTCCATTCGCATAATTTGTGTTCATGGCAGCAACCTCGATCGTCCGTTCTTGTAGCTTGAGAAGCGTCCTTGCTGATTCTGTTGGCTTTTTCAGCTGACCGAGGATGCTTGTGATGGCAAACAAGCCGGTGCTGGTTGTCAGGAGTAGGGCGTAGGATCCAAGCTGGGCCGCGGTCGCGTCGTTCTTATCCATCGAAGTCCACGGCGCCAGAGCGGTCGCAAGGCAGATGGCGAGGAGGGCGGCAATGTTGGCGAGCATCTTTTCGGGCGCTTTTTCGGCAGGCTTTTCATATGCCTTCAATTCTGCGTCGAGCACCGGCTTCGTGAACTTGTCGAAATCAGATTCGGTTTTGTCTGTGGTGCGAGCCTTGGGGTGAGACTCGCGCCTTTTGTCATTGTCTCCGCAGCGTACCCAATGCTCTTTGCCGTCGGGCCCTGATACAAGACTCCCCACATCATCCTTTCCACCAAACAAGAGCTGATAAGTGTACGACCGTTCTGTTTTACCGAAGAGTTCGAGGTCCAGGGGTCACCCACACCTCTTTCCGAAGCTCCTGCTTGTAGGGCGTCTAGGTAGTAATCATCTGTGCTGCGATATTTACTGTAGCCACCGCCGTTCAAAAATACAAAGTCGTTGCAGATCAAGGTCCAGCATGCCTGAAAGACAGTATATGAGAGGTTGCGATAGATCTGGGCCGAAACATACAGCTGAGACACAAAGTTGGCCAAGGCATATATGCAAACCAAGATCGATCGTAATTTACCGTCTTGAGTCCAGTTGTTGGTCGTAAACCCATTGTAGACGATGGTATTTGTAACCATGACCAGGACCAACCAGAAACTGACGGAATTCCATACAGCAACTTGGACCAGATTCCTTATAACTGGTGAGAACGTTCTGATCTTAACGGAACTTTTTGTGCTAGGTTGAATGGGTTCCGGTGGAGACCGTGCTGGAACCTCGCTGTAGCCCTGGATCGCATAGAACTTGGCACCCCGGCCGGTGGGTGGGTTTTTTAATGTTGTGTCTGCGGAAGATTTGCGGAAGAGTACCCAGCGCAACTTTTGCACTTCCTCGGGGAATTCCTCCGTCGAAGGTCCCATGTACTTTTTCAGCCAGGTCTTTGAGAGAACGGCGGCGATGTTATCCTCCAGAAATTTCGGAGGCAAGGCGATTCCGTGTGACAAATCCGGTGTAAATCTCATCAGGATCCAGTATGTCGCCGCTGTTAACAAGAAAACGGTACCGGCCAGGGTGGTGTTGACCTTCTTACTGAGTTCCTTGGTTTGAGGAGTAAGGCTGCTGGCATTGCTCGAAGGTTGTGCCGCCAACACAAGCTCAAGTGGCGGAGTCGCCGGCCAGCAGTCCACTGAGACAACTAAGACGATACAGACAACGAGATGGTACGAGTGTATTTGGAACACCATGGCTTCTTGATGACTTCTGTAAAGAATGCCTCGACAGAGGTATGCGATGCACAAGGGGGACTGTGGATGCTCACGTCACGATTGTGGGAGCAGTGCTGTGATATAGTACCTCGTTTCACTCCCATAAGCAAAGAATATGCGCTGTATGCTTGATTCAACAATCCCTTGGAACGAACCACGTCACGGGAAATACTCCCATCTCTCAGCCGCATTTTGCACCTATGATCATTGCAGCAATTTAAATGGTTCGCTTTCTTGTGGCTTGGGAGGGCATGCAGTAGTCATTCAGCTTTTTCAGCTTGTGGGACGTTGGCTTCTTGTAGGCACTGTCATTTGCCAGAAATGCAGTGCAGAGTGGCTTGACGACTCGTATTTCGTCCAGGTACCTATCTTCAGCCGTAAAATCAACAGAATTCTACGAACTCTGCTCGGGTGCCCGCTACGCGACCGCTGCTGCTGTTTCAGGCGGTTCAAAGTGCTCACTGCCCAAAATGTAAAGATTCCTATATGATACGGTCTATAGGGCAAGCAAATGAGGAATAAAATTTTGTGGGGGAATCTTCTATGGAAGAATCTTCTATGGAATAATCTTCTATGGGAAAGACTGGTAAGCTTCGCTTGGGTGTCCGCTATATGGCCACGGCATACGGTACAAATCAATCCTGCAACTGGATGAGGCTGAGTGGCCCAATATATCACCCCCATTGCCAAAGATCTCAAGAGCGGCATTCCTCCTCCTCCACCGAATCAACGCTCAACTCGAAATGTTGAAAACCAAGTACTTTTCCTCGACGGGACAGCAAGAATGATGGAGAATATGATTCAAATAAAGAATATCGAGAAATGAGACTCGCTCTCCTTCAAGGGACCTTGACTAACGTCAAAGTCAACGATCTCAAGCAAAACAAGCAGACGCCACGCAGCCTTGTTGCCTGCGAAGTGGCTGTTCAAGAGTGGGATTCTCCAACAGCAACGCTGACTTATTGTATTCTACCAAAATTGCATCCCGGTTTGTAAGGTCTTTCCAAATGTCTAACATGATATGGTTCGGGACGGAGACAGTAGTACAGTCAAAGTCCAGGATCGCTATAAATGTCTTCAAAGTGAATTTGTACCTGCACTATGCGATTTTCGAAACCTAGAAACATCAGTGATGGGAAAGAAACTCGCACGCCGGAGTGCAGTCTTTGTATGTTGCGGACATCCTCACCCTCAAACCGCCTCCACCCGGGCGACGACTTTGTCAAACTCGGCCTCGACATCATGCTCCGTCAGCCAGCTTAGATCCGGCCGGTTGGCGATCCGGGCCCTAAGCAGCTCATCCGACTCCCCTTTGCCGTCGACAGTCTTCTTCTCCGCCATCCACCTCCTCTTCTGCGCGAGGGCGTGGACACCGGCTAGGAGCCTGTTCACGAGCGGCCGTCGAGTCTCGTCGTACAACTTGAGAGCCCTGTCCAGCTGTTCTACGGTGGGCTTCGGTGGCGCGTGAGTCGTCGTCGAGGTACCGTCGGTGGGAGGCCAGGCGTGGGTCAGCGCGAGGGCGAACGCGTAGGCGTCGTTGATGGCGAGGGAGCCGCCGATCGCGACGCCGCCGCCGTGTGCGTGGGCTGCGTCGCCGAGGAGGGCCACGTGGCCGTCGAAGATGAAGGAGTCAAGGGGTGTGACGGCACACATGGGGTACGTTTTGATGTAGGGGGCAGCGTTGGCCACGCCTTGGACAATCGGGTTCCAGTCCTTACTCGACGTCAGTAAGATGTGTGATCGCAGGATTGGGTTGCTTTCCTACCCTGTAGAGGCTTCTGAAGAGCTCCAAGTTGCTTGTTTGGTCCCACTCCGCACCGCAGAAAGGGTCTCTCGGGTCATTGGGGTCGGCGTTGTGTAGTGCAACAATGGCATACTTGCCCTTGCCTAGACAAGAATTAGCAAAGCTGCTTCTTGACCGGGGTCGTTTCGAATTATCGTACCTAGCCTTCCTGAAACGAAGTTCCTGTCATCGGGACCACTCCACCGGACAGCATCAGCAGGCAGACCTTCAATGTCCTTGACCAAGGCAGCGTCAAATGCCGCCCGGAAGGCGATCATGCCGAGCCACTTCACCTCAGCATCGGGAACGTAGCTGCTCCTGATCTTGGAGTACACGCCGTCTCCCGCAATCAGCAAGTCCGCGGTCTCGCTAGTACCGTCCTCAAACGACAACGTGACGGGGTCGTCGCTGCCCGGATTGACGGTCGTCCTCACCAGCCTCGTCGCCAACCTCAACTCAACATCGCTGGGGAGCGCCTCGATGAGCACTTGCTGCAGGTGGGCCCGGTGGAATCTGGCCGGGCGGTACTTCTCCTCCACTCCGCCCTCGACCTTGCTGTCCTGCATGCCGAGGACCTCATCCGTCAGCCAGTGCCGGAAGGCGATGGGCGAGCCGCTGGACTGGCGGATGCAGATGGACTCGTCCAGGGCGGCGTGGACGCCGAGCTTGTCGAGGATCCTGAGGCCGCTGGTGTGGACGCCGATGCTGGCGCCGACCTCGCTGAGCTTGGTGGCCTTGTCGTAGATCTTGATTTCGACTGCCTCCTTGGGGTAGAAGTGGCGGAGGGACTTGGCGGTTGTCAGGCCTGCGATGCCGGCACCCACAATGGCGACCCTAAGGGGCTTTTGGGATGTGGTTTCTGTCATCTTTCTGCCTAGATGATAAAGTGGGTAAGTATGGAAACGTGGACTCAGTCTGGATCGCGTAATTAGCACGCAGGGTCTCGTAAAGGTGTTGAGTCCGATGCAGAAGGTCCGAGATGGTTTGAGAGATGTCTAGATGCAATTAAGTATTTACACCTCCTCCTCCCTTCTAAGCCACGACGAGTGTGACCTCATAGCACTCGAGCAGTTCGTGCCATGCCCATGAGGCACGAGATGCTGACTGCCGATCTTCCAAACTCGTCAGGGTCGCATCCTGGTAGACGACGAAATCATTCAGGAAGTCGCTCTCAAGTTCTGCGTTCATGGTGTTGCGAAAAGCTTGGCAACGTTCAACTCATACTCCAGGTGGCGGCGTGGCTGACAGGCACTCCGAATTGCTGACACCGGGGGCCATCCTCCCGGCGAACCCTACCGCCACGCTGTTCGGAGTCGTCGCCACCAACTCGAGCTTCGCGCTTCCTGAACGAGTCTCCCGCGAGAAATTTGAAGTGCATGACACAGGCTTATAGCGGATAGGTGCCCCATATGTCGTGCCCCATGTGTCAGCCTTGCCACTGGTTCTGCTTCAACCAACAGCAAGAGAACTTGACGGAGTCTTGCGCCCCTTGAGCCTCGACCTTGTCCGGCACTTGACTTTAGAGTGAGCCGATCGTCTCCACCGAACGGCAGTTGCAAACGCGTGGCAATACCGGCAGATTGAAATCCAATTCTAAATTCTCCATTGTTTACTACTCGGCTTGAAAGTTCATGGATCATGATATTTTGGAATCACCAAGCCGCAGCCCAGTATTAAGACAGCTGGTTCTGATCTGAGGTCTGGTAGGATTCTCCTGGTCAAAACATTTCCCCACCCGCGCGGGAATCCCTTCCCTTGCTCTATTTGCTTTGTCATCCCTTGTACTTTCAAGTTCCATCTATGAGTGTGGGCGAGGGCAGAAATTAGGTAGATATTCAAGTCCAGTCTCTTGAACTACATTGGTGATTTTGATACATAAATCAAACTGGGATGTGTATCATGTTCAATGTTTTCCCTTGGCTTTGTGACAACACCAACCAGCAAAGAATTTAAGCTTTCGAAACATCTTGGTCTAAAAGCCTACAGGGAATTTGGCAGTGTGGTTCTGCCACAAGCTCAAAGGGGCAGCCTTGATGTTTTGCACCTCCGCCTGTTCCCATGAGGGCTTGTGAGATTTCCCAGGGAAGGTAATTGAGGATGGAACTCGCTCATCTGATTTGCTCTGGGCGTACCATGGCTCTTCAGCATGTTCAATGCTGCGCAAGCCATGATGGAAACTTCCAGGTGTCATGGAAGATCTCTTAGCCATCACCCAGCCACCATTCTTGGCTTGTCAAAAGAGAGCTAGGTGCGGAGCCCATGTCAGTGACAGAAGGACACTCTACCTATGAGGCTTTCTTGGGGACAATCTAATGGCTACAAAACATTTTCACCTTGGAAGCGTCCCGTCAAAATAGTTTATCGACAGGCATCAATTCTGACTTGACTGGACTGGTCTCAGGTTCCTGTGACAACATCTCCCTGCTTAGCAGTGTTCGCTGCAGCTTGTACGTTGCCTTTCAACTCTACGAAATGGTTACAGCAGCATGCAAAGACACAAATAGTAGAAACACATACGAGGCTCCTTGATAAGAAAGCGTGACTGAAACCCTGTGGGAGCACATGTGAGAAATTTCGGGGAGCTATTGGAAGAGGCAGGAAGAGATCACTAGGCAGAGAAAAGAAGAGGCATCCAGTACTACAAGCCACCTCGTATCTGACCCACCAAGGTGTTTTGCAGCTTCCTTTTGTGATGAGGCAATCATGAGTGTCTGCCCATTGTAGCTGCCTATTCTCAGTTAGGTAGTCATGGCCCTGCTTCATCTGAGCCGTGTTTGCAGCACCTCTGCCTCCTGATCACAGTTCCCATCCAATGTTTTCTTCCGTCCCAACCATCACGTCCGAACCATCGCGTCCCAACCCATTCTGCCCAGATATGGCCCTCTATTATTGCCCAGAATAGGCCACAAGAAGTTATCGTTCTTTTGCGGAGTCACCTATTGTACCATTCATCATCAGGCAAACAATATCTGTGCCTCTATTCGGTTGGCCAAAGTTCGGCTGCCTGCATAGGTGCCGTCAGGGCTTCCAAGGCTTCTTCTATTGACAGCCCAACCCTGCGAATTCGGCGGTCTGATTGTTCAGCAGTAAACAATCAACTCCTGCAGCTGTGGCCCCACCAAGCTCGACGCAAACGAATTCTTGTCAATTGAGTGCCAGGGAAGCTCTCTGGGGGCATTTAAACCCCTCTGATCATTCCCATCCACGGCGAATCTTGGAAATTCGCCAGCAGTCAGGAAGCAGTCAGTGCGACTGCATGAAAGAAAGGTTGGTCCAGCCCCGTCTCTCCCTAGCACCTTCCTCCCACACCTGTCAACATTTTCCAGTGAGTGTTAGGCCCCTAATAGCAAGGAATTCTTCTGCTGCCCCTCTTATGTTTTCGTCTCTGCACCGCTCACTTTCTCTCCCTTTGTCTCTCTTCCTTACACATACGGACGCACGCACGCACGCACGCACTCGTCTCCTCCTCCCTACCGTATTTCTGCAGTGTGGCCCTCCCCAATCTGACGCTGACCAACTCGTCGTCCGCAGGCGCAGACCACGACCGTCACCATGCCGACCAACCCAGACGCGGTCACGATCATTCGTGACCACGTCCTCTACGACCCTCTCCAGGCGCGCGACACCGCGCCCTGGCAGCAGCTCCCCGAATTCCCAGCAGCCGCTGAGCTGCTCAACCCAGCTGCCACCACCAACGACCTCCCACCTTTCCCGGTGGACCGCTCATTCGACTCCAAGGCCCAGTACCTCGAGGCTCTCTACAAGATCCTCCGTTTCGAGGCCGTCGAAGGGCTTCGCTTCTCCGTCAACGAGTTCAGATCGAACCCCAAGATGAACGACGACGAGAACACTTGCGTCTACACCAAGGTGCGTCACTTGCTGCCTTCTGTTCGTATTTACGCTCACTAACATTGGTCGGCAGGTCTTCGTTAAGGGCTATTTGATGGCGAAGCTCGGCCCAATTTGCCGAATCAGCTTCTCGACCCGTCGGGCTGGCCGCAAGATCCTGTGGAGGCAGGCCAAGCGCCTGACCCCCGGTCGCATCGTTGCTCTCTCAAGCGACAACTTCCAGAGCGATTGCCGTGTAGCCATCATGGCCCAACGCCCCATTGAGGGCGGTCTCGACCAGAACCCACCCACCGTGGACATAATCTGGGGCTGTGCCGAAGAGGCCATCGTCGACCCCGACCAAGAGCTGGTCATGATCGAGTCTCGCAACGGCTTTTTCGAAGCTGCTCGCCATGCCCTGCTTGGGCTCCAGCTCGCCGCTGGTGAGGTCTCTGCCTTCGACAAGTACCTCCTTGACCTGGACGACCATGATCATCTATCACGATTTATCGCCCACAACCCTCTCCTCGACCTATCCTGCCTCATAACACAGCTCACGCCCCAACAGAAGCAGACATCAGGTAGCAAGGACCTTGAGCAGATGCTCTTTCAGCAAATCGCTGGCCGGTACCAAGAGTGCGACGTAACTCGTCCTCTGTCGAAGCAGGGCATCCAACAACACACAAGCCTTGATTCTTCCCAGCTTGAGGCTCTGCAACGGATGGTCTCGAACGAATTGGCTGTCGTCCAGGGCCCTCCTGGCACCGGCAAAACCTTTACATCCGTTCAAGCTCTGATGGCTATCCTTGCAAATCGGCGACCAGGTGACCCCCCTGTGATCGTCGCCGCCCAAACCAATCACGCCCTAGATCAGCTACTTATCTACTGTCATTCTGCTGGCGCCAATATCTTGCGCGTGGGCGGTCGCACCGAGAACGAAGTAATCAAAGAACGCACATTTTACAACCTTCGCAAGTCACTCGGCAAGGATGCGCCGGGGGACGGCAGGTCCAAGTACAGGTCACTTGAGAAAGCCCGGCTGCAAATCATCGACACTTTCAAGACCCTCGTCGACGGCGTCTTTGGTGGCCAGGGATTGTTGGACCCTCAGGCTCTCGTCGATGCCGGCGTGATCAACGAAGCTCAGTTCGAGTCCCTATCCAGTGATGGGTGGGAAGGAAACGACGAGGAGTCAGCAATGCAGTCCTGGCTGGGCGAAGAGCTACTTGAACGCATCCGCCAGCCGCCCGAGGATCTTGGCTTTACGGAAGAAGAAGCCGTTGACGAGCCCGACTTCGAGGTGGATCCTGATTTGGATGATGACACAGTCGAGGGCGATGACGATCCTCTCCATGGCACTTGGATCCCATTGACAAGCCACTACAGTGGAAAAACGCCCCGTGTTCCCGGCTGGCAGGCCAGATGTGCTGCTAATCTTGCCCGCAGTGATGACCTCTATCAGATACCGGTTCAGCTTCGCGGTGGAGTCTACCAGCTCCTTCAAACCAAACTGAGAGAATCATCGGTGACAAAGTTCCGCGAGATCCTCCAACAGGCCGTTACCCACGCCAAGCTGCAGAAGGCCAACAAGTGGTTCAGCGACCTCAACATCCTTGAGAAGAAATCCATCAGCATCATCGGCTGCACCACAACTGGATTGACCAAGTATCGTGGATTTCTGGCTGCCACTGGAGCACGAGTGCTTCTGATCGAAGAGGCCGCCGAGACCAGGGAGCCGAATGTCACGTCCGCTCTGTTTCCCAGCCTGGACCAGCTAATCCTTGTTGGCGATCACCAGCAGCTTCCGCCACAATGCGACATCGCCCGCCTCGGGGGTGAGCCGTTCAACCTCAACATCTCCCTGTTTGAGCGCTTGGTTCGAAATCGGCTTCCTTACACCATGTTGAACCAGCAACGCCGTATGGCACCAGAGTTGCGATATATTGTGCAGAAGTACTACCCCAACCTGAAGGATCACCCACTCGTCAAAGATGATGCCAACCGCCCCCTGATCCCAGGCATGGGTTCGCGTCGCAGCTGGTTCTTCACACATGAGTGGCCGGAAGACACAGATGCCGACAACAGCAAATTCAACTCCCAAGAGGCTCTGATGATTGTTGCATTCATGAAATATCTGGTACAGAATGGCGTCAAGCCTTCGGAGATCACTGTGCTCACCTACTACCGTGGGCAGCGGAAGAGGATTCTTCAGCTCCTCCGACGGGATTTTGTGTCTTTAGGCACTTATCACTTCAATGTTGCGACGGTAGACTCGTACCAGGGCGAGGAAAACGAGATTGTCCTTCTATCCCTTGTCAGAAGTCCGCGCACGCCATACGACGTCAAGCGGGTTGGCTTCGTAGAGAGCCTGAACCGCGCAACAGTCGCTATCAGCAGAGCCCGTCGTGGCTTTTTCATGTTTGGCAACAAAGAGAACTTGTTCAAAGCCACAACCCAGTCCTTCGACACCTGGGCCCCCGTTTGGAACGGCTTTGCAGAGCAGCAGCGTGTTGCTATGGGCAAGGGGCTGCCTTTGGTGTGCCAGAATCACAATGATGAGCAGAGCACGAACGAGATCTGGATGAAGTCACCGGACAGCTTTGACGGAAATGCTGGTGGCTGTTGGATCAAATGTGATGCTACGCTTCCCTGCGGCCACGGCTGCGTCCTGAATTGTCATGTGTAAGCTTCCTGCATACCCTTGTGAATTTGGATGCTAATGGGTGCCAACAGGGTCCCCCACGAGAAGCTTCCCTGCTTGCAGCCCTGTACCAGGATCCTTGCCTGTGGCCACAAGTGTTCTGGAGTTTGCACCGACCCCTGCCGCTGCTGCGAGGACTGTGATCAGTTCAAGACTTTCGAAGCTGAGCGGCGGATGGCCCAGCTTCACCTCGAGGCGGCTCCCTTGCCTACCTGGACGACACCTACGACGGTTCCGGGGCAGAGACGCGACACCAGTCCGGAGAAATGGGTTGAATTCAGTCAGAACCCTGCGACCCATGACGATGCGATTCGCAAGGCCCGACTCCTGGCGTTGGACGCTCCACCAACGACTGCGGCAGCGCCGAACATAATAAAGGAGCGGTTCATTCCTATCTCAAACCGAGACGGAGTGCGAGTAATTGAGAAGCAAGCTCAATCTCGCGGACAACAGGTTCCCAAGGTTTCTGCGCAGGCTAACAACCAGAACGCTGGTCGCCGTCACAGCAGTGGCAAGCAGCAGCGACCAGGTCCGCAGACACGCAATCATGCCCGCGCACCATTCAATGGCAACCGATTTGGAGGTTCGTCGGAATTGCGAAGCCATGGACACAGCAATGCTCGGGCCAACGGCCAGCGAAGTCAGGTTCAAAGGCGTCCGACCGTGCAGCAGGGCAGACCCAACCAGCGACGGCAGCAACAACATGCACCTCCCGACAACAGCCCCATGGCCCCCGGCGGAGGCGGTATCCAGTCTCTGATCAACTTTCTCGATGCAGTCCCGCCGGCTGGAGATCAAGTCGCAGCCGACTCGATTTCGTTGATGGGCGAGTCTGATCTCGGGTTCGAGGCCGAGGTTCTGGGCATCCGACGAGGAGGCCACCGGACTGACCAAGGCACTGTCAACACCAACGCCGTCCCTGATCGAGTTCAGGAGCACATGGGCATTTATGCCGAGTCATTGATGTCTTTTGGTGTCGACGGCGCCGATTCCCCGGCCGAGGCCGCCACAACACCCAAGGATGAAAAAGAAGAGGAGCTTCTCATCGACATTTGATTGATGCTGGGTTGTAACGTACCAGTGCAGCTTTTGAGAGAAACATGGGGTTATCTTGCTTGTGTCGCGGTGGGGGGGTAATTTGAGGAAGTCAGTAGCCCGTGCTGAAGCCTTTAAGATTCCAGGCTTCATACCCTAGCACGCACATAGCACATTTTGAGGGTTCTCAGAAGTCATTTGGACCTTCAAGCTTAGGATGAGAAGGTTTAATTTTACACACACTTCGAAAACTGCCTTTCTGTATGGTGACTTGTGATGACTGATTAAGCCCTCCCGTGTCCCTCTTCGGAAGAAATCAACTTTCATGAAGACTTGGTCCTACCTAGGCAGCAGCAAGACTCCGTTGTGAGCTTCTAAAGCCATCGTGAAACGTTCATGAGCACTATACTCTCCCTTAGTCTACGAAGGTGCTAGCAATTACAGTCAAGACGGGGAAGCTCTGTCTTGGAAGCTGGAGAGTCACGAATTCATCTGGGGGGCTGTCGGAATGGTTTTTCCTATCGAGGTGGTCGGACCTAAAGCCGAAAGCATCTGTATTGTAGCGGACGCAAATGCAGGGGATACGGAGCTGATGTCCGGTCGTCAGGTTTTCGCTGCTTGCTCACATGTTATCCAGTGTTTTTGGTGGGCTTTCCCTGACCCAGCTGTCCTAGGCGACCATCAGCACGATCTTGGCGTTGTGGTTTCTCAATGTTCGTACCAATGATGCTGATTGCTGGCCCTGCACGCCACGCGGACGTCAGAATGTTGCAGGTGAGGTGCTTACCTTGTGGATGCGTAGTATTGAGAGAATCAGCTAAACTTGGGAAGTCACAGCCGGGACGACCTGGTGATCTGTTGCAAATGGGAGATTCAATGAAACTATCCAACTAGATCCAGAGCAGATAATCATAGAAGAGGACGTTTTCCCAAATTCCCCGGATGTCTTGCCGTGGTATTCCTGAAAAGAAGCAGGATGGCTATGATTGTAAAGTCAGCAGGCAATGCTGCAACATAACAGGCTCAACAACCAAAGCAGTTTTGTCACTGAGGATGCGTCATCATACATGCCAGTAGTCAAAGGATTATTTTTCTAGTCATCGTCGAGGTCTCAGGCAAACCTTGCGGCCCGATGTTCACACATGACCTTCCAGTTCCCAACACTGACGTTGGAAAGTCGCATAGAGCATTCAAAGCAGTGGTGCAACTGATTGAGGCGACCGCCGGGTGAGACATGCAATTCCACGGATGTCTCCATCTCGTAGTTCCTATGAAATTGCCACAACTTGTCTTTCTGACCTTGCGTCCGTCGCCAGGCTCTTGTGTGACCAATCGTCCGTTTGGATAACTTCAAAAGCCCCAACCACCAAATATGATCTGGGCACTCTCGTGAACCTCATCAGAGCCCCACGAATCCCTCGACAAATTTAACAATCTCCACTGCCAATTCCTTGGGTCGACTGACGAACGGCATACGGCCGGCCTTGAGCTCGGCCACGTCCCAGTGGACCCCTGTTCTCTCGCGCCACACGTCCTGGACAAACGAAGGGTTGCAACAGTCGTCCAGCGTGCGTACGTATGCCCTCCTTCCGTCGAAGCCTTGGTCTGCCCAAGCGGGTGCCGTGGACTTGGTCTCGAACGCGGCGTACGCGTGAGGGACCATGCCGCGGCTCAGCCCGGCTGCGTGTGCTGGATCGCAGTCGTTGTACAGGACCTCCTCGGCGGGTTCGATGAGGGCTAATCCCTTGGATGGCTATGAGTTGGTTCTCCAAACGAGTCGGCTTGTCGAGGCCCTTGGCCGCATCGCTCGCAACAATCGCCCCATACGGGTGCGCGAGGATGACGACGTCTTTCTGCTGCTGGTCGAGGAGGGGCAGGAGGACAAAGTCGCGGAGTGATGCGATGTCGTTCGCGCACGTCGCCGCGGACGGGTCTGGAGGGTTGCAGCTTGCGTATGGGCCTGGGTGTGCATGATATCCGGCCTCCTTCAGGTGTGGCAGCAGAGGGCCGAAGCTGTCTGGGGTCCCGAACGCGCCGGGAACGAGGAGGATCACAGGGGGGGTTTTGTAAGGGCACGCTAAGGGTTTGCAGTTCGTTTCCTTTCGAGATACCGGCATAACAGCCAGCTGTGAAGGGGGAATGGCGATCGAGTTCCCGGATGCCAGGAAGACTTTATTGAATTCGAGACTTGCGAAAGTTGACGACGATGGAACAGTTGAGTAGATCGCTGCGCTTGAGCAGACCTTTCTCGTTCCGAGCTTCGGGGTAGCTATTGGATGATGTGACATGATGTGAGTTTTAGACAACGCTCGAAAGTATGACAGGGCCCAATTGATGGAGAAATCTGAAAGTGTGAGGCACTTGCCCCATGTACAGGAACGGCGTCGTTGGTTGGAAGCCACATCCCGCCCAATCACCACCACCACAGCCGTGCCAGGCCTCCACGATGGGCCCACTGTTTGATACAACCAACAGCACCAAAAAAAGTCGATGATGGCCTAATCTCAGTGGCTAGGCTCCCAGTGACGAATTATTCAGAATGACCACGTCCGAATTACAAGGACCTTCATGAACCCACTCCAGTTGCATTATCTTTGCACACAACTTGCCGGAACGAGCAATGTACACAAGGATGTATAACGAAAGCAGCTCATCATATGTTGGCTTGGACAGTACCCACGTTGTAGACTTTCTTCAACATATACAGCGCTGGCCCTGGAGATTCATGTCACACGGCATGTGAACCCATGATTAGTTGAGTTCCAAAACTTTCGTCTAAGCTGAATTACGGCATTCCACTATGCGTATCAATGCCCCAGCCCCCTTCCCTTTTGTGCCAAAAAAAAAAAAGAAATTGTAAACTGGCCGTTATGGCATTAGTCCACAAAAAAAGGGGAGGGGTCTCGCCAAAAAAGAAAGAAAGTGCTATGAACTGGCCGATCCGGCGTCAGTCTACCCAAGGGCAAGAACCACACCGCAACTCCCTGCTTGCTTCATCATCCCCGGTAAGAGTTAATCCTCGTCGGATTCATCGTCTTCGGATGAGCTGGCGCCCATGAATGGATCCCCGTAAGCAGGCTGGTCCCCTGCCAAGGGTGGATCATACAATCGACCACTGTCTTGACCGCCAGGACGTGGCAACTGCGCGGGTGGCATGCTGGACGGGTAGTTGTGCCCGACTGGTGGGAGTGTTGTACGCGCCAGGAGCTGGGCCGGATCTATGTTGGTCATGGCTGGCGGAGGGAGTGGTGGCATGTCTTGGTGTTGTTGCACGGGCTGCGTACTGTGTGGGAAACTGGGCGGGATATTCCCTTGGCCGGATTGGGCTGCAGTCGGGTCTAGAGGCTCGGGCGACGCCACCCGTGGGGTATTCTCCAGAATAGACCGGTCATTTCCTCCCTCTGGCGGGACCGCTGCCATGTGTTGAGACTGCCGGGGCAAGGCAAAGTGTCCGCCGTGCATGGCCGGCTGTGTGGGTGGAAAGCCGGGCGGGTAGCCCCCTCCGCCTTGAACGCTTGAGCCCCTGGATGGAGGCACATTATGCCCCGAGCCACCAGCGTAACCGCTGCCGGATTGTGCATCCAAAGATCCCGCATGGCCGCGTTGATATGAGTATTGCTCAGGAGCCGGCCCGACCGGTACCTGTGGCTGCCCTCGGTGCTGCGGATTACGGCCTTCATGCGCTGCAAACTGCTGCGCATGTTGGACACCCACTCGAAACTCTCGCTGCGGGGGTCCTTGAAAATCCGTTCTCATATGCCCAAAGACGTTGGTCGGCTGGCCATAAGCTGGAGTCTGCTGCACCTGACCTGGGCCCTCATATCCATGACCTGGGATCTGCGGCGGAAAACCTTGGCACTGCTGTCCATGTATAGGAACCCGTGGTTCATATGCCCTGCCATAATGTTCAGGAGCCCAACTCGCCACTCCTTGAGCTCCGTCCCAAGGTGAGCCCGCAGGCGGCGGTGCCACCCCCTCCGGCAAACCCTGAATCGGTGGCTGAAGTGTTAGACCGCCAACGCGTGAAGCTGCAGAACCAACACTGCCTCGCGAGCCCCTCGATCCTCTCCTACTCTGTTCGTAGCGAAACATGTGCTCGATGTTCGTGCCTGGTTGACCGGGGCCCACGGGCGGCGGTGGACCCATGACCGGCTGGCCCCAGCTGGCGACTGACGGTGAGCTCAAGGACGACTGCGAGCCCGAGCTCCAATGGGAAGAACCCGTACTCTGCCGCTTGAGACTCGGGCCGATCTCCTGGCTTGCAGACATCTCTAAGCTGCTCCTCTTTCTCCGTTGATGTCCCTGGTTATGGAATGTTCGCCTGCCCTCCCTTGGATCGCGGAGCCCATTGTGTCTGAGAAAAGTCAAATATAGACTTTCACGGGCAGTGTATGCCCGCGCCGATCCACACACCTTGTATCTCCACTTCTGTACTCGTCTGGCGCGCATGTCTTCCGGCGCATGAGAAATCTGCCACTCAAAAGGGATTTCGGTCGACGCCATGGATCCTCGGCCTATGACTCCCGCGATTGGGTTCTCGGGGTCTGCCTTCAGAATGGCGTTTGCAACTGCGTCTAGACAGGCCCGGACGTCACCCGGGACGATCCTGTAGTGAAAAGCGTGGGCGTTGTTAAAAGTCAAACTCAAGTCGCAAGGCAGGAATTGATGGGGGGGGGGGGGCTGAACAAGAATTATTGTAGTTCCACTCACGCAAGTCTGTGGCCTCCACCAGAATCTTGCACTGGCCGGATCGTAAGATCAACGCTTCCACAAGCGACGACACAGCGAAAACCATCGGCATTCACATGGTCGTTGTTGTCGAGTCTACCGCCGAGCCAGAGAACAGCCCAATATCCTGTCTTGGAGTTGAGGCCGTTGGCAAACTGCTCCAAGTCGTTGAGGGCTAAAGGCAGCATGCCAGGTTGCGCGCTGTAATGATACCCAGTGATCCTGATATCATCAGGGTCAATCGAAATAAAGTTGGGGTCGTATTTCTCATTCGGCTTCCAGCGTGATGTGTTGATGATCCCCAAGTGCGGGTATACCTCCTTATCGTCTCCTGCGAGGGCGATTCTCTCGTCGTCTGAGTTGAAATCGAACGCCATAATGGATCTGGGTGTCGGGTGGTAAGCCTGCTGGTGTTGAATGCTCTTGATCTCTGGTGGATGCGTATGTTCTGGGATCAAGGGCCTTGGTCCTTTTGATTCCTTTGCCTAGGGAGGAAACAGAATCTGAGGAGACTGTCTTGGCGACCATCTTTATATATCATGGATCAATGGTCAGTCACTGGCTTGTTCACAACCTATGATGTGGGACAGGAGGTGCAACTCACAACATGACGTTACTGGCCCCTGTGACGAGCCAGATTATGTGTTCAACGCCTCAAATCATCCTTGTTGGTCTCATTCTGCTGTATTTCAGTGAGCAACATAATGAATCGTTTGACACCTACACCTGCAGAAAATGGTAGCCACATCATATTATTACCATGGGCCACCAAGGACTGGCGACATGCTGTCCGGAGATTGATAGAGCCCAGCATCTGAAGCTGTGTGCGTAGCGCAACCACAGGTCTAGCAAATGTGCGGTGTTCGTACTTTTCAAAGGACGTACGCTCCCCCCTCTCAGCCCCTTCACCGTGTCCCCCATTCACTGCCACAATTACCAGGCTCACAAGAGGAGATGTTATGTCCTCATCGGTGTCGATTTCTTCAATTTCCATTCGAACCATCTCCCTGTGGTTTACCTCATATGCTCCGAGAGTGAATAAGTGGAGATATCCCGCTGTCGCCCGCATCGTCCTGCAACTTGTCGAAGGCGGCAAGGTTAAAAATGTTGTCCCTGCTAGAATATTTCCCGGCGGGATTCCGGCTGAAACGTGCATTTTCACAAATATCATTGGTCAAAACGTTGTTTGTGGGTACGAACTGTGGAATTCAGTGACGGCTCTGGCAAAACGTGCGGTGGTTGTATTCAAAGAGGGCAGCGAAAAGCCAGAATCCGATTGTAGAAGGAGCTGGATAGAAAACCTTTTCAAAGACATACGGACACTCCATTCCGTACTCCTCATTCACTGCAACACTGGAGATATTTGAGTACCAAAATTTATTCCTGTATTACCCATTCCGTTCTGCTTGCCTATACCCTACCTCCCGACCCATATGCACCAAAAAGAAGAAAAAAGTGAAAGTATGATAGACTAGCCCATCCAGCGTCAGTCCACCCAAAAGATATATAATGATAATAATCGAACCAAAATCCTCTGCTTGCTTCATAATCCTCAATGAGACTCAACGCTAGCCGGAACCCCTACTACCCCCATATTGGCCTTGGTAACCAGACTGGTCCCATCCCTGCGGCTGGTTCGAGTGCATATAACTTCCGGCCTCTTCCCACCATCCGGGTTGCGAGCTGGGTGGAGGGGCTTGGGACTGGAGCACATTGCCCCCCGGGGACGCCATGGCCGGCGAAGGGAATGGGGGACTGATCGCGTAACCTGGTCCACCCGACGGCCTGGATGGAGGGACTTGATACGAGACCACATTGCCCCGCGGGGACGCCATGGCTGGCGGAGAGAATGAGGGATTTGGCCCGTGGCTTCCTCTGCCCCACGTGCCCGGTGTCATTCCTTGGTACGGGCTTATTGCTGGTGCCGGGCCTGGGACGACGGGCGTGTAGTTCCCGGTGCCTGGGGAGTATGAACCGGGCACAGGCGAGGCCTGCTGCCAGTAAGAGGTGGAAGCACCGCCGGGTTGCCCACGCGCGAATCCCGAGCCCGGCGCCGGGGCATGCTGCATGAGCACCGACGCATATGGCTGGCCCGTGCGCGGCGATGCGGCCGGGAGGTTTGGCTGGTAGCCGGGATCTGGGTAGGACGGCTGTGCGTACTGAGGGTTCGGCGATGGAGGCATCATCGTCCGCTGCCAAGTGCCGACTGGCGTTCGCCGCCCCATCTCCGGTGAATACGAGAAGGACTGTCCAGACTGCGAGCTTCGGCTCGACTGGGAACTGACACTCCGCTGTGTATACTGTGGGTTCGGCGGTGGAGGCATGCTTGTCTGTGGCCAATCGCCGACTGGTGTTGGCCGCCTCGTCTCCGGTGAAGACGTGTATGACTGCGACGTGAATCCCGACTGTGAGCTGCGGCCCGAATGGGAACCGACACTCCACTGTGTATTCTGTGGGCTCGGCGGTGGAGGCATAGTCGCCTGCTGCCAAGCGCCGGCGACTGGCGTTCGCCACCCAGTCTCTGGTGAAGACGTGAGTGACTGCGGCGCGGACCCTGACTGTGAGCTTCGGCTCGACTGGGAATCGACATTTCGTCGCTTCCTGCTCGGGCCGAGCTCCTGACTTGCGCTCATGTCCTTGCTGGTCCTCTTTCCTCTTGATCTAGGCCTGCGCTCCCGGTGGACCGGAATCGGGTCCTGCTCCGGCCGGGCTTGTGGAATGTATGGTCGGAAGCGAAGTTCCGGTTGAGTCACCGCTGGATCTCGCGCCTGGAGTTGTTGGTTGTATCTCTCTCTCGCCGCGTGCGCTTCAACCTCCTTTACCTTCTCGCGGTATGCTCCGGTATTCTCGAACGCACTACGGTATTTCCACTTGTCCACTAGAGAGGTCAACCTGTCTGGATGGGCACGGTCGATTCTCCACTCAAGTGAGATCTCACGCTTCCCCTCTACCACATCCTCCTGGCCTCTGCGTCGCTGATCCATGTATGCCAGGCCCGTGAAAGTCCTCATGGGACCGGGTCGTTCTAGGGCCTGCCTCAGACACTCCTGGAGGTCGAGCCAGCCGATACTGTGGTACATATCGTAAATATCGTTACAGAAAATTCAAATTCCAGACTTAGGGAGAGGCTTGTGACGGAATGGACAGGACTTGTGATTCTTTTACTCACTAGAGTCTCGGCGGTTCTAGGATTGCATCAGCGCGGTTCCTGAAGTCCGCAATAGGTCGTATCATAAATTCGATACTCCTGAAAGTCATGACACTGCGATATTTATCGGGATAAATGACATCGCCCTGGGCTTTAGTTTCGGACGCCCAGTAGACAGACCAGTATCCACGAACTGAATCGAGACCGGTTTTGTAGAAGGCCTCCAAGTCATCGCGGGTGAAGGGTATCGTTTCGGGCCGCTCCGAGTCGTCGTAGGTCTCTGCTGAAGGTCCCACATACGGGCACGTGTAAATAAAAGAACATGCTTTTTGACGGTGAACCCGCTCGTCGTCGTCTCTGATGAGCTCTGCGTGGCTGTAGCCTGGTAGGTACGGGTATATCTCCGTATTCTTTCCGTGGATTGCGAGCCTCTGCTCGGGTGTGTCATATATCACCTCCGGATTATCCATGACGCCTCTGCATGCCGGCTGGTATGCCCACAGAATTCTGGCTGTTCTTAATTGTGGTGGATGTTTCTTATAATAAGGAAGTGTTTGTCCTAAAATCTTTGCTGGAGTAGAGGGAAGAAGAACGTCTGAGGAGACTGTCTTCTGGTGATATTTATATACTGCAGATCCATGATCGAGTCACTGGCTTTTCCACTGCCCATAACATGGGACAAGAATAAAGGCATTCACAACGGGCAACTTTCGCTGGTAACCAAAGCCATATGAGATATCGGCTCAAGTGACGGAGTCAACCCGTGCCTAAAGTTTTCCAAATCACACTTTATTTGTCTTTGTTGGCTATGGATTGGTGGATCCTGTATTGAGCCCTTCAAGAGGCGTGCCTGTGGAAGGTTGGCGGCATTACCTCGCCGCCTATTACTAACGAAAACGCCAATGTCGTAGTTGTGCATAAGAGTAGATACCCTCAGGTATTTGGATGGGTTGATACGAACTCGTCACCACTTGGCGTTAATTTTCAATGATAGAATGGCTCATGGCTCGAAGGAACTCCTCTGTTAAGCTCGCTACTGCGATGCAGAGTGCATATCGTGTGGAAACCAGGGAGGCAGTAAGTAGTCATATCGTAGAGAACGGTCAAAGTGGCAGCCAGATCATACACGAAGCAAGGTAGGCGGAATGGCTGCTTGGTTTTATTCAAACAGAAGACTTGTCCTCGCCAAAAGAGACTTGAGAGTTTAAGCAAATTGACAAAAAGGTAATACGATCACAAACGGAACAGTATCATGAAACGTTGAAATGAAATCACCCGAAATGAGCTGGCTTTTCCAAGGTATTGTCCACCAGGTTCAAGACATCGAGCTGTCTCCAGCGCAAAAGACAGAAGCAACATACAAAACGACAAAGTCATGCTTCACGATAGAACTTCTTTGAAGTATTTTCTTGCCGAACACATTATTCAAGTATAAGAATAACCAGGGGTATTGATACCGAAGTTTAGAGTATGAAGCGCCATCCCCAATTCCACGCTCACGGCCCCCAAGTGCCGCCTCGTAAAGATCCAAAACTAATCCACCGTTGACTTTTTGTCTCCAACACCTTTTGAAAACAAAACCCAAAATCAACCTGAAAATTCCGCTGACGCCTGGGACTCAAGCGGTTGTACGCAAAGCCAACAACACGTCCACGTCAAGCCCCGTATTAAGGGCTCTTGATCCAAAATGCCGTGGACAGCAAGCAACGATCAATCGTTGACACACCCGATCTCATACCCAATCAAGACCTCAGTGCAGCTCCCCTCCCAGCCCCTCGTGCCGGCGGCAGTGAGCATAAACTGCGATGTGGGGTCGACATACATCTGCGAGATGACGCCCGCCCTAGGGGGCCCCGGTATGATCAGGAAGGGCACGGCGCCGTGCTTGAACGCGCGGTTGTCCCGCAGGTCATACAGCCTGAGGATGTCGTGGCTGGCGCAGACGAGGTGGCGCCCGTTGACCATGGTCCGCACGGCCGAGACGGCGCCGCTGCCGGCGGGGAACTTGAGGGTCCGCTCGGGCTGCCAGTTGGACGTGGCCTTGTGGATGTTGAACTCCTCCACCGTGCCGTTGCGCCGCCCCGCGTAGATGGTGTTGCCGTCCGGGGACCAGCAGGCGCCCATGCACCAGGGCGGGACCCCCGGGCGCGTGCCTATCCGGGCGAGGGGCGCGGGCACCCGGCGGTCCCAGATTCGGATGGTGCCGTCATGGGAGGCTGAGAAGAAGGTCGAGTCGGAGGTCTGTGTGGGGTCGAACTGCGCCGGCGGGGGGTTGTTGAAGACAAGGGTCGGTGAGTGTATCGACGGCTGCTTTGAGTCGGCGTCTGTTTGGGCTGTTGACGGTCGCTGAGCGTCGGTTTGTGACGCGTCTTGGGGCTTGTGTTGGTTGCTTCCGGCGTCGGAAGCGAGTGGTTGATCTGACTGCGCTTGTGCTGGGTCTTGCGTCGTACCCGGCGCAGCGTCTGCCGGTGGATGGTCTGTGGTTTCGTGGGAGGCGTCCCCCATGATCGTGTCTCCTCCCATGGCGACATCGCCGTCCGCGTGGGGGGCATCATCTAAAGGCTCCAGCATCGCGTGCGAGTATCCGTCGTTGTCGTTGTCTCCGCCAAATGGATTGTCCGCGCCCATGTTGTTGTTTCCATCGCCAAAGAGTGACCCTGCGGGACTGCCGAAGAGCGACTCATGATCAGACCCTTCGCCATCTCCCATGCTGTCGCCGTTGGGCATCGCCCCTCCATTGGGTATCCCTGAGTCGGGACCGCTGCTGAAGAAGCCATTGGTCCGAGTGCTGGTCCGCATCGTGTCGCTGAGAAACGACTCTTCTGCTGCCTCTGGGGGGACTGGTGCACCACTCAAGGGCCGTGGCTCAAGGGCTGAGATCTGACCTCCGCTGCCCCCGAAATTCCGAATCGACTTGCCAGTGTTCAGGTCCCAATCGAGGATGTTCTTGTCCCAGCTCCCACTCAGCACACTCTTCTCGTCTGGTGCTAGCTGCAACACCGACACAGCATTCTTGTGTTCCTGCAGCACGTGTATGGTCTTGCCCTCGTCATGTCTCACGCTGTGCAGATTGATCCCGCCGCTCTCCAGACCAGCAAGCAGCCACAGCGCGTCGCGGTGGACTGCCAGACTGTAAACGGGGGACAGCACGCGGTCAGCATCGCTGGCACCACCTCTGGGGTTCGGTGGGGCTGGCTCAAGATTCTCCCAATATGACATGAGTATTCCGGCTTTTGTGACGCTGTCCACGAAGGGGTGCCGCTGGGCGACGGTCAACAGTTGCTTGCCGTTGATGGTGCCTGGGCCGTCGTATTTCCGGATGTACCCGTCTGAACCACCCGTTAACCAGTATCGCAGGTCGGGCGTGATGGCGATAGCGTTTATTGACGTCGCTTGAGGGGCGGCCATGGTCGGCACGATATCGTACAGCCTCGCGGTGATGGCTTCCGGTCGCACCTTTGGTCGGAATTTCGGTGTCTGAGGGGTGTCTACCGAGTTCGATTTCGAATGGGATGGTCTGTCGACTCGCGTTGTGGTATCCTCCTCCTGGTCGCCATCGCCTTCTTGTTCCTGATCCTGATCTTGGTCCTGATCCCCGTCTTGTTCGCCATCTTGGTCCTGCTCTTGATCTTGGTCGCCGTCTTGATCCGCATCTCCGTCATTGTCGCCCTCGTCTTGATCCTCGTCTTCCTCGTTGAACGCATCATCCTCGTCTATCTCCATGTCATCCCCATCATCCATCGTGGCGTTATCATCTTGCTGCTCCTGGTCGTGCTCCTGGTCGTCGGAGCTCGCGTTGGAGTCGTGGTCATGGTCATTGTCGTAGTCGTCCATGGCGGACTGGCGGCCGGCTCTAGAAGTGGCAACGGGTTCCAAATTGGTATGAGATACGCTATAAATATCCAAGAAGTAATGATTGACTGGGGCAGCACTGGTGGCGTGGACCTTGAAGCCAAAGAGGCAGTATTGGGTGGGTTTGGATGCGCAAAGGAACCTCGGAGCTTTCGCAAATCCACCACGGCTGGAGCCTGCATGTCGTCAGAGCTAGCAAGGTTGCGTCGCGCCGCGCCTGGCCCGTGCTGCAGCTGGAAGATCTAATCTAATCTAAATCCGACATGATCTGATCTAATCTTCCCTACTTATCGCTTACTGTACATAACACAGACCAAAGATCACAAACCAACGCGATCAACTCATTCTGAACCCACCATTCGATTGGGACATCTTGTATTGTGGAGGAGAAGGAAGTTTCAAGCAGGCGGGTAATAGGTGATATGAAAATTTTGTCTGACCACACGTACATTTGACCTGTGATTCCACCTGGAGACGAAAGCAGCTTCACATCTTCCGGCTGCCTGATAATGTAGTCGGCCCGGGTGGATAAGGCCCAGAGTTTCTAAGTAACAGCCCCATCGGACTTTATTGACAGTAGCACAATTTTCCCGGCACAGCTCAGCACAGGTGACTAAGTATGGAGGGATGAGCCGCAGTCGGCGAACATCTACAGCGTAGCATCACTTGTCAGGTTGGAAGAAGATAGGATGTGTTGCTTAATGACTCGCCATGACAGGACTCACAACAGTGAAGAATGTATCGCCCGTGAGTGCGATTCTGCCCTCAATTCCAAAGAGGCATTACAATCGTGGTAGATCAGCGGCGGTGACGTTGGGCTCAATGAAGTTCCGCAGGTGGCTGGTGAGAGTGACAATATCTCGCCAAAAGGCTTGTTCCGGATAGAAGCAGTCGGCCAATGTCTCGACGTCGCTGCTAGCTAAGGCTACGTTAAAAGCGTCCAGATTTGCCCGAGTACGAGTGGCGGGCACATCATCTGTCATTGAAGCCGGCTCAACAGTCCCGGGAGGGATATTCGGCAGAGACCTGTAGACATTCTTGCGGAAATCGGATCTTGGAGGGTACTCTGCGCCCGGCGGAAGTGTTTCTTGACAGGCAGGAATGGCAATCAGGATGTTCGACCTTGATTAATCTGCACACCGCTACAGTGAAGTACGAGAGAATTGCGCAAATGTCTGCTAACACCACGAGTACTGCGCCTCCCCATACATTACTTCAACTTCTCCGCCCCCACCATCACAACCTGTCGGCTGGTTCAATGTAATGGGCCTAGTCCAACAGGTTCCAACACTGGTTGGTGGTGCAACAAGCGGGATGTTGTTGATCCAACTTGCGAGTAAAGTCACTGGGGGGTCACATGACCTCCGTACGTCTTTAAACAGGGCGTTCAGAGCCCCTTCTGCACTCAGAACCAAGCCACCACGCCCACTGTGAATACAAACAATCGCATATTTGCTAGACCTAGTCTTTTGCCACAGCCTGGGTAGGAAGATAGAACGGTAGAGACGATGGCCTGCCCCGCAAACCAATGTATGAAATTCATATCCTCGCTCCCGTACCGCTGCCGTGCTGCACGGCAGATCCGATCTCGAACTTGCGTCTGCAGCACTACATCCAGAATTGATTTCGAGAGGTAGGCCGACGGCAAAAACCTTGGATTTCGTTTAATAGCGCATCATGAACATTTATACGTAGAATTGGTGATTTTCCCTCTCAAATCTCAAGGGATAGGTAGGCCAGTGAATACTTTTACTTGTCTGCCTTCAAGACCCTTGCGACTTCCCCTTCATCTTCCTCTTGTTGTTCAGACATTGCCGCTAATTCCTCTTCCTCCATCTCTGCCTCAACTTCCTTTTCCCGCCTGTCGTCGATTTCATACCTGCGAGTCAGCGCTCTCTCCAAAGACCTCTTGAAGTCAGCCCAAGAAGGGTAGTCCATAGTGTTGAACGCGCAGCGGTGCATCCGAGGATCCCCGGCCCTATCGCTAAGGGGCTTCCGCTCCCAGGGGTCGCGATAAATACCAGTCTTGCGGATAGGCTCCTCTGGATCGATGCGAGTGAGGTTATTTTGGTCTGGTAAGATCGGAAATGGATTCGGAGCGCCGTTTGTCTGCCCATTGATGTCGTTGTCCGACAAGAGAAAGTCCAGAAGAAGCTTTTTCTGTGTGTCAAGAAGCCGCCATATTCGATAGGTTATGTTGTCTGCATAAGAATGAAAATAAATGGCGTCAGGCTGAATTGTGTGGTTTTTAGTATGATACCAAGCAGTGAGAATGGATTCGATCTCTGCAACGGAGGCGGACGGGCTTACATCTTCATGATCTTCCCTCTGACTAGGCTTCCGACGGTCGAACAGAACAACACCACCGAAAATCCGTGTTTCAGCCCAGTATCCGACGATGTCAGCCACCCCGTCTGGGTACTGATCGTAATCCCGATAGTGCTTATGGAAGAAAAGACTTGGAAGTTTGCCATCAGGATAGAATTGGTGGAAGACCATATCGTCTGTAGGTACTTCCTAAGTGAAGTAGTCCTGGTGCCCACCTAGATTCAGATTGAGTTTATGCAGGTACACTGCAATCTGATGAATCGCAACAGCAATCATTTCGATCAAACGAGTCTTGAAGGCCGCTGAGCCTGGCTATGCGGCATGGTAACTATGCAGAAGCTACTAATACATCAGAAGAAACTCGTCTGTGTGAATGTGGGAAAGTTGAAGTAATACCTACCAGGGGGAGGGGGGGTCCCTGACTGGGTTACGCAACACAATCTTGTTTTAAGATTTAATTAAAATTTCGTAATTATAGCGAAATACTAGCAAAAGGCTATTAAAATACTATTAAGAATAAAATATATTAAAGCTTTAAATTACATTAATATTAACTTTATATTAATAATAATCCTATATTAGCTAATATTATTATAATTTTATATTAAAAGCTTTAATTTAAACCTTATTAATATTAAAACTATTTTTTTTTAAATATTTTTATAATTTTATAAACTCTTTAATAATAAACAATTAAGCTAATAAAAAGTAAATAAGTAATTAAGTTAAGGATAAGGGAAAAAAAAGGTTTTTTTTTAACCCTTAATTAAGGGTTAATATTATATTATTATATATTAGGAATAATCTTATATTAAAAACGATTATATATTAATAATAAGCAAATGCAATATATATAAAAAAACATAATGTTAGAATATTAATAGCATATTACTATTATATTGCTTTCCTTTCAACTTGCTTGCAGCACTTAAACAAAAACCCCCCCTCCCCCTGGTAGGTATCATACATACCTGGAAGTCAAATTGCAATACTTGTATATCAAGTGTGGTACGGATGTCCCTGGTCCTCTCTAGGACCCCGGGACAGAGCTCAGGGTGCTGGCTTCGCACAGGGTGATTCAGTGGCAATATCCGGTTTCGCACCTCGTTCGCAGTCTGACTGAGTGGTGCACCATCAACGATCTCCGCAAACGCAAGCTCAGCAGCCGGCGTGGACAACACATTGGAAAGTGCCCGAGTGAAGATGTCGCGATGCTGGTGTCCCAAGTGGGCAACCGATTTCTTACGGGCCGCCTCATCCGTTTCTGGCGTCTCGAGAATCGATGCCATGCTCAACAGAAAGATGCAAGATGCGTAGTGAAACGTGTTCAAATTCCACTGAGATAGACATGGCGGAGGTCTTCGGCGTTGGGAGCAACAACAGTGGGACTTCTGTCATCTGAAGCTTAGTAATACTCCAGAATATATTCAAACTAACTAGAACCCCTTCTTCTCCAGCCAAGCCAACAGGTCTGCTTCCGCCTCCCCCGCAACTCCGCAATCTTCTCATCTTCTACTCCCTCGAGAGCAGACGCGCTACGTAGTTGGTAAGGGCACAGAAGCCTCTGCAATCGTATCAAGTCGCGGATCTCGTTCACGCCCTCGACCTGGCTCGGTGCAAGTGCCGTACTCTCCTTCAGCGGGCCCTTATACCGCCTCCCTAAGCATCCGCAAGAATTGCCTCGCTGGCCTTCTCCGACAGCAGATACGTCGGCAGCTGGATAAAGAAGCCCGGGATGACGGGGAACGCAGAAGCGTCCACGACCCGCAGGCCCTTGACCCCCTTCACGCGGAAGTCAGAGTCGAGCACCGTCCCGATGGCCGCCGTGCAGCACGCGTGGTGCCCAAACGAGTTGGTCCGTATGTACTCCTTGACCTGCTCCTGACTACTAACATTCCCCCTCCCGGGCTTCGTCTCCTCGAACGACCCGTCGAGCGGTATGAGGTCGTCCATGGCGCGCCGCGCAAACTCGACGCCCTCGAACGACGCCTGTAGGTCCAGCTCGCGCGCGGTCGCGGCCCCCTCGAACGTGTTGAACGCGATAATGGGCGTATCTCGCGGGTCCGCCGACCGCAGGCGCACCGTGCCGGCTTCGTTGGGCGTGCTCGCCCGCAGGCTGACCCAGACCCAGTGGCGGTGGTCCGAGTGCAGCGCCAGCTCCGACCAGCCGGGGAAGAAGCCCGGGAAGTTGGCGGGGCCGCCATAAACAAAGATATCCGGGTCGTCGGGGTTGGGCGCCGCGCTGGTCCTCACGGCCACGCCGACCGCGAGCCCGTTGGTCGCGTACGCGCCCTTGGCCGCCTGGCCCAACCCGGACTGCCACCTCTCCAGGCACGGGTCCGGGACGCCCGGGTAGCCGTACATGAAGGTGCAGCCGCTGACGAGGCTGAAGTCGGTGGGGGCCTCGCTGATGACGGGCACCTCGATGTGGTCGCGGAGGTTAGAGCCCACGGGGAGGTCGGCGACCTGTTCGATCCCGTGCGCCGATAGCTCCTCCGCGGGGCCGATGCCGCTGAGCATGAGGATCTGCGGGGTGTTGAAGGCCCCCGCCGCGATGATGACCTCCTTGAATGCCGTGAGGGCGCCCGAGGCCTCGACGGCGGCGCTATCGGAGCGGGTGTCTGCGCGATACAGCGCCTCCCCCTCGAGGTACTCCACGCCCGTGGCCCTTGGACCTTCCGACGAGGAAGTCGTGTCAAACTGGATCTTGGTCACGAGGGTATGGAGCTTGATGTCGAGGTGGTAAATCCTGTTGCCGTCATCGTCCGTCGCAGTGGCCACCTGCAAGATGCGGTCCCTTGCGCCGCCGCGCGTCGAGTCGCCCATCGACAGCGGCATCTGGTACGGCCCCGTGGTGATGGTGCTCCCCGGCGCATTGATGTCCTTGCTCAGGATCTCGGCCAGCCCCGCGACAGTCTGGTACAGGATACCGATAAGGCTCATGCCTGACGCCGACGCGGCCGAGGCGATGATGCTGATCACCTTCAGGTCCTGCACCGCCGTGATGAGCGACGTGAGCTGCGTCCAGAACCAGCCGTGGAACCCGTGGCCGACGATCGAGTTGGGGAGGTAGTCGCAGTGCTCGATCTCCTCAAAGTACCGCTGGAAGGTGCTACCGTTCCACGACGTGTCCCCCGTGACGTCTGCTACCGCCTCCCAGTCGCTGTCGAACGCCCGGATGGCCACCAGCGCGTTGTGCCGGCTGCAGCCGCCGAGCGTGCCCGCCCGGGGGTAGAGGGTCCCGATGGGCACGGCGTCCGCCGGCGGGTAAAGGCCCGTGTAGATGGTGCCGTTGGGCAGGCGGTAGGAGGTGATCTCGTTCTTGGCCTCAACCGCCGGGTCCGAGCTGCGCGTCACAAAATAGTTCCACTGCGTCGTCGGGTGGTCGTCGGTGGCGCGCGGGAACAGCACGGGGATCTGCTCAAAGAGGTTGTCGCCCGAGTCGCCGCCCGCGTCCACGAGCAGCACCTTGTGGCCCGCCTCGGCCAGGCTCGCCGCCAGTGGTCCACCGCCCGGCCCGGAGCCCACGACGATGTAGTCGTAGGCCGTGTCGTTAGCCGCTTGCCGCTTTGGCAGAAACGGGTTGTGTCTGCGCGCATGTGAGCTGGCTGATGCTACGCCCGAGATGGTGAGCGCGGCTGCAGCCAGGGCGGCCGCAGAGACGATGCCTTTCGCATACATGGCTGGGTCCCAGCTAACACCGGTTTGGTAGAGACAGCCCTAACTACCTCTGAGCTCCGGAGGAGGCTCAGCAGCAGCTGACATGCCCTAGATATATCTGCGCAAGCGGTCAAATTCTAGCGAATACCGCTTTCCCACAATGCAACCCGACTTCATGACCATCCCATAGTTGCTGTACTACGCTCCCACCAAAGGATTCGCCTCCTTACCGATCCACGGCAAACTTTTCCCGGCTTATGTGTAGGGGCTGCTGTCATCGTGAACACGTGTGGACGGGAGTGGAGTTTCCCGCTTACCGTTGCATTGCGATCGTCTCTCAAAAGGCCAAATATGGTTGCTGATGGTGGGCCAGCTCCAAATGTTTTCTCGCGCCAATCGAGCCAAGTTCAGCCCACGGCTGTAACAGGCAAGCCATTCGCCGCTGATCGCCCCAATGTGCAAGAAACCGCCAATCCATTGAACTTTACAATGTACACCATGTGCTCCTCCAGCTGCAAGTAATGCGGTCCTGCATCATGCAGTGTGATAGCCAATGACTACAGTCTTTGGTGATGAGATGAACACCCTCGTTGCCGAACGTGGCCACCATGTAAGACTCGACCTTCGTGAGCCAGGCACAGGAGTTCAGAGCACGGCATGGCTTGTCATCGGATCTATGGTGTAGTGGCGCTCGTGTCGCCGACCCGACCAACCGTTACAGTCAGTTTCAGAGATTACGAGAACTTTGGCGCGTTCGTCCCACCTCATCATGGATGCGGTATGTAGAGAGGCTGCGTCTGAGAAGTCCTGGGCGCTCACGGCCCAAGACACGTACGCTTCTGGCCTGTGCGTGCCAATACAGTACATTTTCGTCATAGCCTTGTAGCACAAATTCTGAAGAGTGTCAAGTCTCTCCTGCTCGGGTGCGCCGCGGCAACCTCACATGATCAGCGTGCGAATATGCGGCGCCCTGGCAAGATTATCCGCATCCTTTACTGTAAACTTTACTCAGACGTATAAACTTCATAATATCTATCCGGACACGAAGACACTCAGACTCCGTATTTATGACAATCGCGGAAATAAGACCGTTCTGAGGCCGGTCAGGACTGAGAGGCTCATGCAAAGTGCGGACTCGCGCAGGGGAAAGACAAAGGATGTCAATTCTGTGACTCGCAAGGCTAAGTTACCCTTGCCGAGAATACTGTGCCACAGATAACTCAAATTGTTGCTGGTCATGCCTTCAGTTTAGAAGTCACACGATTTCCCGGTTTCTTGAAAGTTGTAGCCATTGAGCTGTGTGGCGGAACCGTGTCTCGCCGAGTGTCCTGGAGAACTCCAAGTTCGGTAGTACACACAGTACCATTAATCTATATTTACATTTTGCAATTCATCTTGATGCGCAGAACGAGGCCGCTGTTTCGTGGTTCAGGGCGGCTGTCAAAGCGGTGCGTAACTGAGAGTGTCTATTTGATAAATAAAAGGACCCTCCTAAGAAGAAGAAGAAGAAAATGAGAGAAAATGAAAAGAACTCGCTAATGATATAACAAATTTAACCCACCACTGGTGAAAAAAGGTACCGGATCTCAGCATTCTATCCTCATCCAAAAACTGCAAATTAGACTCTTACTGTGGCTAATATTGGTGAGCGAGTCTTAGGCGCATGATCCGATGGCTAGGCCACTAAAGAAGAAGGCATCTGTAAACGAACGCATGAACTTGGCCTGATTAGCCCGTATTGGTGACCCTTCGGGGCGGGTTACTATTACAAGAAACCGTACACTAGGTACTCTCAATTATGAATCCGCGAAACTGGCACTTTGAGGTACTAAATTCTCCATCTTTGAAGGATTTCTGCGATATCACAATGTGATGTCTACTCAGAGAGCAGGAAAGAACCGAGTTGGAATGATTCGAGCTCCTTCTCCGAGCTGGGCTCGAAATTGTTGAGACAGGGCAGAAAAGAGGCTTCTATGAGTAGGCATTACGGTGCTGCTGGGCACGATTCAACAAACTATACACCTCAACAGTCGATGCAACTATCGCGAATCAACAAGGAGAAATGACTCAAGAGGCCTGCTTCCGCCAAAGCTCTTCCACGATGACCGTTTCACGCCCTTGGCTTGCATCTTAGGATAGCTGGAATGCGCAGTATCAAATAGCAAGTGAGATAGGAGAGTAATCAAGGCTCATGAGCTCTACGACAAGTACGCAGTGTTGTCAACGTGTTGCGAACGTGTTGGGTTGCCTTGGGCTCGCCCGCTATTCTCTTTCGGGGCCGCCTCTAGCTTTTATGTATATGTTCGAGTATGCGTAACCCAGGATCGCATCAGACTGTCTCAGTCTCGACACTATGAGTCCGAGGGCAGCTCGCAATGATATCCGACTGGCCGCACACAACGGAATCATGTCTGCCACATAAGACTGATAGTCGCCAAAAGGTTCATTCGGGCTTCGAGTCGGGTCGCGAGACTTTCGCTGCTTCACATTGTATCATCGTGCCCTAGCTTGAAGGATGCGCAGATACTCGCCATCCAGCTACTCCACAGACAGAGCGGGAGAAAACATGCGTAAGTTGAATCAGCAACGACAGCCACAGGGTGCGCGGAAGAGATAACCGTTACCTACTTCACTTTTACAAAAAGCGCGGACGAAGGAAATAGTAGGCTCGCATTCAAGCTGGTGGGAACGCGACCCACAGGTGTCCCAGCGCAGGCTGCAGCTTGCATATATATAAATACCTCATCTTGTGCAGCAACAATGACGAGCCTAGCCAAATAATGCCGCCGGCATTTTCCTTCCGTCGTTGGCCAAGCTGGCCGATGCTACATGGACGCGAAGGAGCGGAATGTTGGCACTGTTCAATATTGATGACCTTGAGACACAACAGGTCAGGAATGCGATCCGGATACCCAGGTAGGGCCTGCCAAGTTTGGCTGGGACGACTTTCCGGACTCTCCAGAACTGTTCGTGTTTCCGCCAACTATCACTGCTTTTGATCTGCGTCGGAAGACATGGAGTAGGTCTGCCTTATCAGTCTTTCTATCAACCTATCACTCTAGCTTCACCTCTAACCTAATATTTGGTACCAGCTGATCTCGATGTTGACCGCATACGCGAAGTCACGTGGAATCTTAAGGCATTCGACAGCCTCGCAATCGACGACGACGAGAAAGTGCTGATAGAAGCCCTCGTTACGACGCAAATATCGGCCTCAAGAGGGACAGATCTCATTGCGAACAAGGGCAGTGGCCTAATTATGCTCCTCCATGGCGGTCCCGGAACAGGCAAAACATTCACCGCGGAAAGCATCGCAGACTTCGCGAGGAAACCGCTTTACCGCGTTACCTGCGGTGATAGTAAGCTCCATTCAAGTTGTTGTCCTTTCACGGATCCCCGTCTATCTTGTTCTGGAATGTTCTAGAATGTATCACTTCAGGATCCGTAGCAGGTGATTAACAGGTACTAGTTGGGACAAATCCAGAACAAATTGAGGTATACTTAGAAGGTGTGCTCAATCTTGGCACCCTTTGGGACTCCGTTGTCCTTCTCGATGAGGCCGATGTTTTCCTAGAATCTTGAAGCCAACATGACTTAGCACGGAATGCTCTTGTGTCGGTATTTCTACGAATATTAGAATACTATCAAGGTATTTTGATACTCACTTCAAACCGAGTTGGCTCCTTTGATGAAGCCTTCAAATCCCGAATCCAATTGGCCACATACTACCGAGACCTTTCATCGGCGCAGCGTCGCAAAGTTTGGCGGAATTGCATTGAGAATTTGAAGAGCCTAGGAGAGATTGAAGTGGACTACGACGATATCGACGACCATATGGACGAGCTCGTGAGTCACAATATGAATGGGCGGCAAATACGCAACATGATCACCACCGCCCGCCAGCTAGCCAGATTCCATGGAAAAGAAAATGCGGTTCAAGGATCTGGCACATGCGATCAATGTCTCGTCGAGGTTTGAAACCTACATTAAAGAAGTAAATTCCAACATGACGGATGCGGAGCTCAAGAGAATGCATGGTTATCGCTGATTGCTGGGATTGAGCCACTATGGGGATAATAAGTTACTCTAACTTTTCATTTACATCCATTGTCGCCTTGTGCACCATCCGCACATCTTATCTTTCGTTGCGCACTCACCGAAACAGATTGAACATGAGTGTCATTGTCGCACACATTGCTCAAGTGCTTGTTTTCCCCAGCGCCCCTCCGCCCCCCCACCCGCCAACACCTGGCAGCGGGTGCACGGAAATTGTCTTTCGTACTCAAGGATAGAAGGGCTATGCGACTGTGATGAGCCACGCACCTATTGGCTTGGATGCTATGGTTGGTGCAGCAGTGTCGCACAACGTATGTCGTTGTTGATTGCGCGCAGATTCTGGACTCGGTTCAAGACTCGGCCTATCCCAAGACCAGCCAAGATCTTCAGGGCTGTCTTCAGGCCCAAGATGCCAATCCAACGCTTGATGACATCTGTGTTCGCAATGCGAGCGACGAGATGAGGCGGGCCGTACGTAAGATATGCAAGAGCGGATGTTGGAAGCACAGGGTTCAAGGCGGCGCCAGGAATGATCTGCAGCGCTTTGATGGGTTGTTCGATGAGGGTGGCCATATTCGCGATCTGGCAAGAAGAGGAAGCAGAAGCTGTTAATGATTACAAGATTTTCAGTTATGAATGGTACATGTAGGTCAGACATTACGGCTGTATATGTGTATTGGTTATGTTTGCTTTAATTTATATATCTCCTATTTTGGCTCAGGACTGTGTCAGGATCCTATAAATTGACGACCTACCTAGATAAAATGCTCTTTACCGGCTTCTATCAACTTATGAGACGCCTTCAGCACCAGGGGAATTTTACTACTTTTTGCATAGCGCCATCTCGTAAAAGACCTGCTTGTGTAAGATGTAGGATTTAGTACTACATTGAAGGACGGTAAATATTCTCTTACGCATTTGATTTAAAGACACGAAAAGAAACGCCGTGTTTTCATTGGATCAGGGATTGAGAGCGGCTAAGACAGTTGGCAGTTCTATTTCTGCTAACGTGCAATTAGTACATCACCTGGCGAATCAAGACCTGGACAAATAAACCAGTTCAGTATTCATACTACTAAATGCGGATAACCAAATATATAAAGAGACCGGTGTTCACACGACCAATCTGTTTCCCTGCAGTAGCTCCAGAGCCTCTTTCATGCTCGTATACGGCCCCACCGACGCGATGGCCTCCGATGCTTCCTTGGAGGCGATCTTTGTTTGAGACGACCGAGAACCCTTCTGTATCTCTGAAGCCCGCGGTCGACGGACGCTGTCCCAAATTCGCAGGAGATCGGGTATCTCGTCCCGTTCAGTAACGTTCGCCAAAACCACATTCAGGCCTTCCGCATCTTCGAAGGCCTGGTTCGCACCCTGCCCTTGGTATGGAACCATGGCGTGAGCAGCGTCGCCAATCAGGACAGTCCGGCCCTTTATATAAGTCGGGAGAGGTTCTTGGTCGCGTAGCTGGAATAGATGGACACGAGAGGCACATCTGGTTGACGGTTTTGTTAGAAACGAGAGACGCCTGGGTTGAGAATGTCACTCACCTGGCTATCCGCTGAAGCCATTCGGGAAATCCACGAAGAGCCTCTACCATGGCTTCCTTGTTACCTGCGGCGTTCCACGAGTATTGGAGCTTGTTCGGGTCTCGCACGATCCCGTCCGGCACAGCAAAGGCAATGTTCATCAGTTCGTGCCCGCGGCAAGGATACATGACGACGTTGCGATTGCCTCTGTCACCGGCAGCCATTACGTTGACAAATGCACCTTTGCTGTAGTCGCACATAGGCGGGTATTCATGGCCATGGCCAATGGCATTCTTAACAATGTCAATGGGGAGGACAAAGCGGTACATGCTAAGTCCGCAGGGGGCCGGTACTGGGTGTGTCGAAGGAATGACTGCGTTGCGAACGACGGAATGAATTCCGTCAGCGCCTAGACGTAAATGAATGTATCCATCATCAGTCATCCACCAGCAGCTATATCTCAGGCGTCATTACTCACCGATGATGAGGTCTGTTTCAACAGACGTTCCGTCGGCAAAATGAAGAATCCCGGCCTCAGGATCAACTCCCACGATTCGACTGCCATGTACCACCTTGACAGGCTGCCCCACGCCTTTTTCATCCCCAACCCTCCTGAGAAGTGCGTCTCTCAGATCTTGTCTGAATACGAGCCACAGGGCACCTTCACCATCCGGGCCGTCCCCTTCTAGGGACCTACTCACCTCCTCCTCCCTGGTATTGTACGTGCGGAATCCAGCCCCAATCACGCCGCGTACCTCCTCTCTGTCGATACCCAACTGTTTCGCAATGGAGATTCCATCTCTCATCACTCCAATTCCAGCCGAGGTCTCCGGAAAACCTGCTTCTCGGCGTTCATAGATTGTGACACTGAGCTGGGCGTGCTTGCGGAGGAACGCTGCAGCAGAAAGACCCGCGATCCCACCGCCTATGATGGCGACGCGGAGTCTTTCAGCACTGGCAGTACTGTGAGACATTTGGAAGGACTTCAATACAAGAGCTGGTTGCGTCCACAGCGGAATAAATGTCGAGCTGGATTCAGGCTTTCGAACAGGTTCTGCCCCCTCGGACTCCAGACTAAATGTAATCCTCAGCGAGCTGTCCTCTTCTTTATAAGATCCGATATGCTTCTCTCTAGAGTAGCTAGCTGTCACACGTCAGCGCGGAGAGGGCAAACAGATGCCTTCTCACTGGTTGGGTCCGAAGCAATGCCACGTTGAGAGTCACGATGTTACACTGCGCAGTAATTCCACAGCAGACTCGTCATCGCAACATTGGACACGGCGGCAAATTCGGGTCCTTTGCATTAGCGTGTTCAGGTAATTGGGTCGTCAAATTGACGGAGGTTTCACACATCTTTGTCGGAATTTTATATCAACCAAGATCATCAGATTCGGGCGTCGAATCGGTAACCGATCACTGTTTCACTATCATTGCGCGGGGACAGGATGGCAGTGCGCTGGCTTGCTTACCTAGGTGGTACGCGACCGAAACAAGCTTTCTGCGGCCGATCTTCATACCACGTAACCTCCAACCACTACCTCAAGGCAGCCAGCTCCGGCACGGTCCTTCTGCTCGGGTATTCGCCTTGTTGGGCCGGTATATCACGGTTGGCCAGCCTCGTGCGGCTCTGTTGGAAGACTGGAAAGCCTTCCTCTGTTGCGCATCGGTCAATGCAAAATGCCGGTGGAACGTAGTCTCGCCCTTGCTGCATATAGTGTAACGCCAGCAACTTGGTCCTCAGTTTGGTTGTGTGGCGGTCCCCGAGGTCAGATTTCTCAGCGGTCACAAAACAAAAAGCGTGGAGTACGTATTTTCACGACATTCTCGGGTTTTGTAGCCATGTACGCGCGTTCTCAACTGTGTAAGGTCATGACCATCTTTTGCTATCACGTCAGCCGTTCCAATGTTTGCCCAACGACCGCAGTACAATATTGAGTTGTAATCAAAGTACAGGTCTGTCCGGATTACAAAACACTGGTCCTCATATGTCCCTTCAAGGAATGCGTGGAGCATTACCTAAATGAGCTAGCATAAAACAAGTGATTCCCAACATGCTTCTGGAAGCACGAATTTAAAAATGTCATGGACAATCTCACAAGTCACGGAAATAACGCTGTCGCCAAACTTTGTATTACTGTTCTAGCCTTTCCTTCAAAAACACGGGATTGTATTATTCCCGACGCTGATTGTCAATCTATGGATTGGTAGTTCAGCACTCATCCGTCACGGATGCTTTACGGCCAGCCTCGTCGCATGATAATTACACATCTCAGGCCTAATCCGTATTTTGTTTCGAATCGAGGCATTCTGGCTGCTGCCCCCATTCCAGAGCCATGCATACATACACAAAGGACAGGCTCAGAAAAACAAAACCTCCAGCGGTCAAGCCTAACCCCATGATCTACTCGCTCTTCCGACGTCATTCAAGGCATATGTTGAACAAAAGCGACGCCGCAATTGCCGTGCAATTGCGGTACCTATATACTTCAACAGCATACACTGCATCCCAGCCCGCTTCGTGAAACACTTCGCCACAAATATGTCTCACACAGATTAAAGACAGCAGGCCCAGAAAATTTGCCACTGCAAGATCTCAGCCAGTGCTGTACGTGGATAATCGCACATTTCATCATTTTCAATAATCTTTCTGCCATGGATGGAACGGCTGGTGATCGAGGGGATGACGAAGACCACCATCAACCTTACAAATCCAACCTCGAAATGCTTGAACGGAGGGCTATTCTATGTAAAGATTGCATTCCAGTGTTCGAGAAGCAAGACAGCGTCAGCAATGATGAGCGCTCACTACATGTCCGCATACCAGTACCGCAGAATCACCGGTTACATGAATATCTATCCTCATCCGACCCGACTACTGTAATCCGGTCAATCAATGACTGCCAGTTCTGCTCGGTGGCAGCCAGACTGCTCGGGAGCGAGAGTCAAAACAGCGAGAACGGCCGGACAACTGGATCTAGCGACCGCCCCGAGCAAATAGATCTCGTTGTTTTTTTAGTTGGCCGGAATCTCGCTTTGAACTTATCATTGACGTCCGGAGGGAAGAAAATAATGCGGAAACAGCAGTCCTAGAATTATTCAGCCCCATCGGTGAGTATACGTACCTTTAGCTTGAGAAGAAGTCCATCAAGTTAATGAACAAGTGCGACTCAGATCCCAAAAGTGCGACAATCCGTGGCTTGGACGCGGGGTCCACGAGTACTTCATCAACCCCCACGTTTGCTGCGTTGTCCAAATGGATTGACACCTGCGTGGGTATCCAGACGACTGCGTGTGGTGGCTCGGGGCAAATCCCGTGCAGCAAATGAACTCGTTTCTCTGAGACTTCTTCGACAACAAGACGTTCGAATTGCCCTTCTCGGAAAGCGACACACCATACGCCTGGGGAGGCCTCTGGCTCGTCAAACTGTACCACAACGGCACCGCGAGCATGGACACGGTCGGCGCCTTCATGGACGGCCTCGTCTGGTCGGTGACTGCTGCCATGCGGCAGACCTCCAATTCCGAGGATACTCCCCGGGCGCTGAGGGCAGTTTGCGGGCAGACACATGTGATGCAGACGTGCCTGACTGTCCGGTGGGCGTGGCTGAGCCTGCCGGCTTCGTTGCTAGGGCTACAGTTGGCCTTCCTGGTCGCCATTGTGGTCATCTCCGGGTCGGCGAAACACTGGCGCGGAGGCTGGAAGGACTCGTCGTTAGCTTTGCTGTTCCATGGGTTGGAAGGGTCTGCAAAACCGCCTCATGAGAAGGTCGAACGTGAAGAATTGCGCGATAAGGGCGGCATGTTCAAAGTGGCTCGGGCAATGAAAGTACAGTTAAGACAGGGTAAGGACAATTGGCGGTTCCACACAGTGCCGTAGGTATCAAATGAATGAATCGGAGTCGTAGAGCTAGCTTTTGACTTGGAAAGTCGTTGCAAAAGGAAGTTGAATGGGCGCCACAACCGTCTATATTGCGATATAGTTCTGACACATAGGAGCACCTCTCTGGCTCTAAGCCTAGACGACAGGCTACTCACGTCTCCTGCTGATAGAGATATCACGAAGAGCCGCACGCTGTATCTTTGACGTTTTCTGGACCCTTCGTGTACCCTTCTCGCTCTACACTTTGCCCGTACTGCAGCGTTCCCGGAAAATGAGTCGGTTGTACACTGGTCCCAAGATGGGCACTGCTGCCAGACATAACCCCCTTACTACTTGGAGATATGATAAAGAAGCTCCAACAGCGAAACTATTTACCTAGGCATCGTGTTCGGGTAGTGGTTGCCCCCACCCTATCGATCATGTGCATGGTCAGCCGCAGACGCGATCCTGCCTAGCGAATCGCGCAGGCGTAGAGGAGGCTACGCCCAGGATAACGACGCCACGCTTACAGCTGGCTGAATGCGGCTGAAGGCATGTAAAAAGGGCTCATGCCTCCGTCCTGGTCCAGGAAGATCTGCATGATGCGACAAGTCATCACCATGGTTTCTACGGAAGATCAACATGCGTACTGCCCAAATTGCGTCAAAGTGGTGGGTGAGATGAGAGCTCTCCTGCGAGAGGGTGTCTCGTCTCAGCTACCCTCTTCACCACAGTGGACAACGGCTCATCTCTCACAGCACAAGTCCTGCCCTCTCTGCAGCACAATTAAGTGGGTACTGAGGGACGTCAATCCTTACCTGCACCCCAGTAGCAGCCGTGTTGTCAAATTGAGAACGCAGCGGCTCCGACCTCAGCAGTACGCTATAGCATTCGACCTCGAAGTCCCCTGGCGGCATGCGATTCAGAGCAACTACATTCTCCTCCCCCTTGCGTCGGGCTGGATGCCACCGGAGCTGCGGTTCCCGGTTCTTTCACGGCTCGTCAGGGACTCCGGGTTTGACGCTGAGGAGGTCAAGAAGTGGTTGGTCCAGTGTGACATATCACACGGCCTGCACTGTTGCATCACGCCCGATCAGCGTCTAGCTCACATTGGCATGAGGCTCATAGACATAGAGCAGAATTGCCTGGTGCGCGTGACGGAGCATTGTGCCTACACTGCTCTGACCTACGTCTGGGGACCTGTAGATCAACCAGTCCTCAAAGAGGGTCTTATCGCGGAGTGGGAGACACCAGGACATTTCGACAGAATGCATCTTCCAAAAACTATCTCTGATGCGATAAAAGTCTGCCGGATTATCGGCCTGAAGTATCTGTGGGTCGACAGTCTCTGCATAGTTCAAGACGACCCTCTCGCAGTCCAGGAGCAGATCAACAACATGAGCCTCGTCTACTCCCAGGCTTACCTCACCATTGTTGCCGCCTCGGGCGACGACTGCGACAGCGGCCTGCCGTCCGTGCAAGCACGACAGCCTATCCAGAAAACCTTCCAGGCGGACGACCTGAGCATGGGCACGGCGTTTCTCTCCCTGAAGCAAGAGCTGGTCAAGTCGAAATGGAACTCCCGGGCCTGGACGCTGCAGGAATACACCCTGTCATGCCGCTGCCTCGTCTTCACGCCCCGCGAGATCTTCTTCTGTTGCGCCGAGGGAATCCGGCGCGAGGATGTCAGCGGCTATCTGGTCGAGGGCATCCCGCGGCAGGACCTCTTCATCATGCCGGTCGTCCGCGACTCGTTCCTGTCGAACAACCTCCCCAGCAAGATATTCGCCAAAGTCTATTGGCCCCTCGTCGAGCACTACGCAGCACGGGAAGCTTCCTACGCCTCGGATATACTCAAGGCATTCTCCGGGATTACTGGCGCCCTAGAAAAGCCAATTTACCTCGGAGAATTTGTCGCGGGCATACCGGAGTCATTCATCGGGGCGGGCCTTGCGTGGTCCTTCCACGGGCAGTGCTCAAGGCGTGCCGGCTTTCCGAGCTGGTCCTGGGCGGGCTGGACCTTCGAGCCTCAGACGCGGGAGACCTTCATGACTCAGACCTTCACCGGCGAGGATGACAAGGGATTCCACTACTTCCCCCAGCCGGAACACCTGCAGAACCCTATGAGGATCGACCGGTGGACGTCGCCCGATTCTGAGAAATTCATGTTGTCATCCAGTTACGAAAGCTGGAAACCGTGGTCGGACCGATCCGGCTGGAACTCCGGTGTAAGGCAGCACGCACAGACTGTCATCCTGGAGATGGGGGGCACATGGTCTTCGAGCGAGTATACGAAGCAGCTCGCGCCCAAGAGCATCCCCGGAGGCGAGATCCATCATGTGCTCTTCTTCCGCTCCTGCTACGCCATCCTCGACACCTCGCGATATCGGGGCTTCCGGCTGAACAACCGCCCGGCGGGCAAGGAGTCAGCGAAGCCGTTTAGGATGCTTTTCATCTTGATCTTGATATACCCGCCCAAAGTCATGATTCTCCCCGTGGAGCGAGACGGGGATGTGCTTCGCAGGGTCGATAACCCTCAGCTCATTCATGAGAAGGAGTGGTTTCAGGAGAGGCCACGGAACTGCTTGGTTCACCTCGCCTAAGGATAATACCGAGAAATATGGCAAAATTTGGAGGACAAGTGAGCAGTCTTGCGGTTGGCTGTCAATTCTTTCTCACAGAGCACAGCCGGGTCCACTCGGTCAACGACGAGGAAGGAGAGTCGACCGGGTTAGTCCCGGGCACAGCGAAGCAAATGATGATCTTGCGGGTGTTGCGTTCTTAACGGAAATCCCAGGATCACAAAACGCTTGGAGGACTCAATTACTAGGGTATCTCATCGGTAAGTACAGTCCTACCCAGAGGCTTAATTACGGGTCACCCAGCGCTAATGGCTAACATGAAAAAGCTACAAATGTTCCTCATATCCTGTATCTTCGCCCTATTCGACGGAAGCTTTACCAACCAAAAAAGCCCCTACTAAAACCAAAGGCCACAATAAACGTGCAGCTTATTCATCCCCACCAGCCTGCCGGCTTTTTAAACATCCCCTCCTAGCCACTGCAAGCTCCCCAGACCCCTGACCGTCAACCGTGGAGTACCCACCTTGACGCATACGGAAGCTCGGAGAATGGCGAGGAGCAGACCGTGGGGCTGGCTGTCGAAATCGAAGGACGGAGCGTGCAGCAGGGGCATGTGCACGTTGAACACGTCAAAGTAGGTCCCGAGGAACAGTCGTAGTGCAGCTGGCGTCGGGGTCTGGCGGTCTTCCGGGCCGAGCGAGGACCTGAGGCTCGAGATCACGGCGTCCGAGATTCGGACTGTGGGGACTTCGGGCCCTATGGTTGGAATTGGTGGAGGCCATGGCTGGGGGATGTTTCCACGGAGCTCATTTGCAGGTGAGGGTGGGATCCAAGACCCGTTGCCCGCGAGCGTCGTCTAAGTAGCTATGTCGCTGGCTGTGTGCGGAGTCTGGTGAGGAATGGGTGGCTCGGTCGGCATAGAGCAGTTGGAAGTAGCCAAAGGAAAGGCACCAGTGGCGGAGGAGGCCAGGAAGGTGAACTCATTCAGAGAGCCATCGTAGGAAAAGGGGTCGAAGCCATCCAGTCCGAGCAGCGCAGTCCATGCCTCGGCCTCTGAAACATTCTCGGCAGGTTGAGATGTCGTCGCCGTACTCGCTTGGCTCTCAACCTCTCCCACCACCTGCGACGGCGACGCTGCACTGCCGGACGGCGGTGAGTCCGGTGACAAGGTCTGTGGTCCGGTCAGGGGGCTTTGCTGCTGTGTGCGGTCTGGCGGGCCATATTGGTCGATATGAAGTGTTTTCTCATGCCGCGTGGCGAGGTCTCTATGAGCACAGAAGGCGTCAGCAATAATTCGTTTGATTTTTTAAGGCTGGATTCCTAGATAGAATCTCCCTCTTCCACACGGCCGCTGGTGAATGTGCTTGCCTTCGGCTGTGGCGGCGGTCGCAGTAGCGACATGCATACGGCCGCTCTTGGGTTTCTAAGAACCGCACACTGCGTATTTAGTCTCCATTCAATTCCCAGGTCATCCGAAAGACTGTGTGCAGCATGAGGACTAACGTCTCCGTGAGTGGCGCCGGCAATGTATGGCGGAGGAGTAATGGAACATTAGGAAGAGCGGTGGAGAAATGGTCCCTACCCCGTGCATACCGTGCGTACCTAGGTACATGTAGGTACGTTGAAACTGTCATGCGCACGACTCTCAGCGGCAGTTCGGAGTCTTGTGGAACACGAACAAGTGGACCAATCCCGGAAAATACTACTTGCTTCAAAAATTGTGTCCGGCCACTCCCTTTCGTCTTGACATCTTCCTGATACCTTCACCGTGGTCGTCTGACAACTTAACAATATGTGTTCTACCGATGGCATTCCCTCCTCCGGCAAAGTATAGTGGAAGACCTAACAGCTCCTACCACACCATGCACAAATTCTTGTGAGACATTCTGCAGTCGCAAAACCTCCTATGGATAGTCTGCAACTGTAAAATTTCCTATGGAAGAGCCTCCTGTAGGTCAACTTCCAATAGGATGGTCTCCAGTGGGATAACCTCCTGTAGGTCAATCTCCAATATAATAGTCTCCAGTAGGATAACCTGCCGCGGTAGAACCTTCCATGGGAGACCCTCCTATAGGATACCCTCCTGTAGAATACTGTCCTCTGGGATACCCTCCTCGGGGACACCGTCCTATGGGATATCCTCCTGTGGGTGAATCGCCTGTGGGATAACCTCCTATAGGATACCCTACTCTGGGTTACCATCCTGTCGGTTACCCTCCTCTGAGATACCTCCCTGTGGGATACCCTCTTGTGGGAGAGCCTCCTTTTGGTTAATCTCTAATAGAATAGTCTCCAATGGAATTGTTGTCTAGTGTCCTCCGTTGTTAACTGTGAGACATTGACGATACTCCTATTTTCCCAATGAAATTGGGCCGGATTGATGCTGAATATGCTTGATTGTGCTTAATTGTGTAGACTTGACTAGAGCCTAAAGTGTCCTCTGAATGTGAGTAGGCCCATAGTAGCCGAATTCATCGCAAAACTAATGATGTCTCATCCTCGCCGCGTGAGGCCTGTGAAATACCAATAATCCATCGCATGAAAATCATCGCAAAACACAACGCAAATCCAGGATTCAAGGTAGTCGACAAGTCCAACAAGCAAACCCAGAGACCAGCCGCCTAGAAACCACCGACCTTGTCCAGGCCGCTCTTCAGAGCCCCCATGACCTCCCGCATCTTCGCAACCTCGGCATCGCAGCCACTTCCGACCTTGTTCTTGAGGTCCTCCACGATGGCCTCCAGCTCGTTGACCCGGTCCACGATGCTGCCCAGGGACGTGTTGTTCAGGGCGTGCACCACTCCCTCCAGCTGGCTGACTCTGACCTCGAGGTCTCCCACGCGGCCCTTCTCGATGCCCATCCCCGCCTGGACGTTGCGCAGGTCGAGCTCGCGGATGTTGCTGTTGGCAGCCATGGCGTTCTGGCAGATGGTGCGCAGGTGGCCCACCTCGATCTGGAGCCTGCCCAGCGACTCATTGCCGTCTCCCTCCATGGACGCGAGCATCGGCTCCGGACTTATGGCGAACGGGCCGGGCGTGATGGAAGCCTTGACGCCCTGGCCATTGGCGGGGGTCGGGAGGCCGTTGGCAAGGTGGCCCGAGTTGCTGGGACCGGCAGTGGCGGCGCGCTGCTGTGGGGCCCTGCTAGGGCGCGAGGGCACGAAGCCGTTGTCCTGAAGGAAGGCGGAGATTGGGACGCGGGTCTGCGGACCGGTGACTCCCTCACGGTCGCGGTACGTACCGGCCCGGAACGCCGCCATCTTGGACATGGTGTCCTGGCCCCGGGCGCGGCTGTGGGGGTTAGTGGGCTGGGACCGTGGGCTGGGACAGTGGGTACGTACCGCTTCTCCATCGTGTCTCTCATGGCTTCCTCGAGCATGGCCGACTTCTCCGAGTCAGAAGCACTAGCGTACGACGGCTTCTGCTGGACGGTCTTGCGAGCGTAGAGCATCGCCTTGTAGTCGGCCGTGCGGGCGGCGTCCTCCACCTTCTTGGCGCCGGAGAGGTTCATCTTGCGAAGGCGGGCCTTGGTGGTGCTGGGGTTAGTCGAGTACTCCGGCATTCTGTCGATTGGGTGTGGGAGTGTGGGAGTGTAGACCGTGGGAGTGTAGACCGTGGGAGTGTGGAGTGTGGAGTGTAGAGTGTCGGAGTGTAGAGAGTGGGAGGGTGGAGTGTAGGAAAGTCGAGCTGTTGATCTGGCAAGACAGGGGCAGGAGAGGATGGTCAGTATCAAGAGGAAGGCTCACCTGTGATATCTGAGGAAGGAAGGGGGTTGGATCGTAGTTCAATCCAATCGATGGGTGAAGGTCTGCTAGGAAGAAGGACGAGTCCGGGAAGGTGAACCCGAAACGAAAGGGGTCAAAACGGCACTCAGGTGCAAACAGCAAGTAGTAATCAAGACTCTCCACCCCTTATGTTTGTAGGTCGGGTGAAGAGAGAAGGAAATGAGCTGGCTGGTGAAAGATGGCAGAGGAAGGAGGACCAGACGGGTGGAGGAAAGCAAGCTGGAAGGTGGTTAAGCAGAAGGGTATGGTGGGGTCATCCCAGAATGAGGCCGTCTTTGCTTGGAGAAAATGCTAGATGGAAAGAACCCTCTTCAGTAGATCTGACGATGTGGCACAAGTCTGAAGAGAGACAGGTGCCCTCTGCTCGGACTCTGAAAGTCCCAATGTTCCTTCCAACAGCTTCGTCCCAACACCACCAGGTCGAGAAAGAACAGACGAAAGCCAGTACCATCAGAGCTCAGGTCAGCATCAGCAGAAGGCCACATTGGACATTTGAAAAGGACAAGAGCAATCCGTTGACCACCGAGAGCTAGCTTACTGCAGCCTAAATAGTTGATGTCTTGCCATGATGAAGGCCAGACAGCGTAGGAACGGTAGAACACGGAGGGCACACTGTGAGACAAGGCAGGATTGGGGGAAAATGTTTCTTGTTCTCTATTTCGAGTATCTGATTAAGGTCCATAAAAATAGCCTCACTCACCAGCGAAGATGAGAAGTCATGGGAGGCAAGACGTGATTACAGGTCTAAGATGTGTCCTGAAGCTGTGGCAGCCGGCCGAGCTCCCTGCACCTCTTCCTGGGTGCTCGCAGCCAAAAATGCGACGATGGTCCATAGAGATGCAGTCGTCCCGCCAGCCAGCTAGTCGTGAGAGAGACCCTGCCGCTCCAGTCTCCGCAGGAAATTCTGCATCTTGAGGCTGCCAGGGCTCATGGGCCGGCTCACGGGATGGCGTGGGGAGTAGTTGACAGGGAGGTCCTCTTGGGCGCGCTTCTTCTTTCGTGGACTGGGCGATTCCTCCGCCACTGGAGACAGGATCGCCTTCCAGTGCGTCGACGATTCGCTTTCCTTTTGAGAGTCTGATGGTTGCTGGGGCCCTCGATAGGCCGCCGCTGGGACTTTTGCGACGTTGACAGATATTTCGCTCAACGGCGTGACTGGGGCTCCGCTTATGTCGCTCGGTCGCGCCGGCTGTTGTTGTTGGGGGCCGGCTACCGCCTCTGGCGGCCGTTCGTTCTCCGCCAGGGGGCTCCACGTGAGAGGCCGGTGATCCTACTCCACCCTCTCCGCGGTAGCCGTTCCTCGTTCGCGCCAGAGGCCGTAGTCCTCTTCGCAATTCTTCCACATGCGGATCGTTCCGTCCTCCGACCCAGTCGCGTACAGCTTGCCGTCGGGGGAGAACTGGATGCACCAGATAGGACCGTGGTGGCCCTTCATTACGTCGATCTCTTGGCCCTGCCAGTCGTAGACACGGGCCCAGGTCCCGGGCTCTTCACCCACAATGAACTTGTGGTTCTTGAGGTCCAGTCCAACACTGGCAACCCCGTGTGGGAGGTTGAACTCATTGATCTTCTGAGTGCAGTCGGCGCCGCCGTAGAAGTAGACATTTTTGCCAGCAGCAATACTCAGCACAGGCAGGCCGCCGCCGACATCATTTGGCGATGTGTACTGGGGTGCCAGAGAGACAAGCTCGCAGGCTTTGATCTCCGCATCGAAAACCTCCTCCTTGTAGTGGTTTCGGGTTGACACGTCGTGCCACCGCAGTGTCTTGCCAGCTGCGGTGATGATGGTGGTTTGCTGAGGCCAAACGATGAACTTGATGGTATCAGGGTGGACGTCACCGATCTGGTGGGCCATGTCGGGCGGAATGTGGTATGTCGTGTGCCGGGTCTCCTCGTCGATCGTAGAGGTAACCCTCTCGTCCTTGTGATCCTCCGACTTGAGATCCCAGATGCGGAGGATCTTCTCGTGGCCGCCGGTTGCCAGGATGTCGGAGATGTTGAGAGGGAAAGCGACGGCGCGGACGACGTGATCGTGCTTGAGGACCAGAAGCATCTCACCGGTGTGAGCATTCCAGACCTTGGTGGAGAAGTCGGCGGAGGCAGAGGCAGCAATCTTGTTGTCGGGACTCTGCTTGGCCTGCCAGGTGGCGCCCTTGTGTCCTATGAAGGTACCGATCCAGTCGCCAGTACGGCCGTGTCGGAGCATAGGGTTGCCATCTGGTAGCTGAGTTAGTCGTCATGCCGGGACAGCTGGCTGAGATTTTCGCGCGGCGCATGGAATGGGGATGAGGGCGGACGTACCCTTGCAAGCAGAGATAATGAAATACTCTCCATCCTTCTCGAGGCTGGAGAAGCTGATGTGGGGCACAGGGCGTGAGTGGCCGTGGCAGGTCAGGGGCAGGTATTGTCGAGAGGCGCCGTTGGAAGCCATGGTGGTTGTGAGTAGAGGTTGGAAGTGCTGACGGTTGCTTGACTGTTCGGTTCGACTGTGGCGGCGAAGCTTGGGGAGGCAGAGCTCGAAATGACGGGTGGGTATCACTGTGGATGCGAAGTCCAAGACTGCGCAATAGGTCGGGCGCGATTCGATGCGACGCGGTACGGTGTGATGTGGTGCGGTGCGGTGCCCTGCGCTGCGCTGCGGTGCCCTGCGAGGGAAGTATTAAGAGCTCCAAGTTTGGCAGCAAGCTCAAGGTGGTTATTTCCGAATCGAACAGTGGTCAATGAAACAAAACGAAGGCTGCTGTTCCCATAACAAGACAGCAGGACAAAAAAAGAGAGAAAGGAAGGGCTGAATTATGTGGTACAGCACTCTCTGGTCATGAATCGTATCGTGTCAATCATCAAAGGGTCTTGGTGACAGATGGACGTTCTCCCCGGGAGGAGTAGGAGTCAACCAAGGAGCTGAAGGGGGAGTGCTGGTGGGCTGGAACGCGGGAGGTGGTCGGTTGTTCCGAAGGTTGCACCTGTAGATCTGTCGTCGAAGTCTGCATGAGGTGGAAGTGGCAGATGGAGGAGTCCTTGGCGTTTTGGAAACAGAAGGAGGGACCCTTGAACCGCTCTGAGCAAATCAAAAGCCGCTACCAGTACAGAGGTGGGGCAGGGAGCCGTCAAGCTCATGAGCTCTTGGAGATGCACCAGTTCAGGTTCGTCCTCAGGCTAGCAGTTGGGTTTCGGCAGGCAGGGTGTGCACAGACCACTTGCAGCCAGGAGGCCCTCAGCTTTTAAACCGTGACAGCCACTAGAGAGATCCTTCCCTCCCTCTCCTTTTTCTTAGCCGAAAGAGGTTTTACTTAAAATTCTACAAATTTGAGCAAGTCTTGAGAGCTTCGCCTTTCCTATGTCCCTCTCGTGACGAGCCTGATGAATACTGCGGGACTGGTTGTGTTCTGCGAGGGCGTCATTTGACAGTAGTAGCTGTCGATCTGGGCATGAACTCCCAAGACGGTCACGATGCCTACCAGGGGGGAGGGGGGTTTCTGACGGGGTCACGCAATGCACCCATGTTTTGACATTCAATCGAAATTTTGTAATTCTAGCGAAATGCTAGTAAAAGACTATTAAAATACTATTAAACGTAAATTATATTAAGGCTTTAAATTATATTAATATTAACCCCATATCAAGGTTAATTATACATTACCATTAACTTTATATTACTAAAAGATTTATATTAAAAGCTTTAATTTAAACCTTATCAACTTTAAACTTATTTCTATTTTTAAATATTTCCATAATTCTATAAATCCTTTCATAGTAAATAGTTAAGCTAATAAAGAATAAATAAGTATTTGGGTTAGGGATAAGGAAAAAAAAAAGGTTTTTTTACTCTTATATTAAGGGTTAACATTATATCATAGCATATTAAAAGAAAAACTATGTTAGGAATGAATATATATTAATAATGTATAAATAATGCAAGGCATATAAAAAAACATACTATCAAAACCTTGACAGCATGTCACTATCATATCACTATCCCATTGGTTTGCTTATAGCACCCAAACAAAACCCCCCCCTCCCCCTGGTAGGTGTGGATGTGTCTCACACCAGATGCTCTGCTAGCCCTTGCCGGGCACACGCTCTGGAACTGTTTTCTGATTGATTGAAATTGAGTCCTGGAAATTCGCACTGTATCTTGAAAGGTCTCCTTTTAGGAAAAAAAAGAATTCACAAGGTCCTCCATGTCAGAGGCGGCAACACAAGAAGTCGTGAGCGCCCCTCGCAAGGATCAGGTCACTCCCAGCTACGCTTAATGAGCTTGAAAACTGGAAATATCTAGCCCTTTTCGACGTTTACTTAACTTCTCCCTTTGCATAAAGAGGGCCTCCTCGGTGTGGCGTTTTCAGATAATCCGATCGCAAACATCGAACTCCTGGACTTGGTGTTTGACCTCCTGTAGACCCATCAACCACATATACGGGTTCCCACATACGAAGCTAGAATACTGACGCAATCGCGAATACTACATTGTGAATGTAGGATAGAACAGTGTAGTACAGCACCCTGATCATATTGATATAATACGGCACCTGGTTGAGGCCACCCTTGAGGGGACGGGTATTCAAGACCTTGCGGCTGTTGACAATAGCGAATTGAAGAGAATCGTAATACCTGTTAGGGACTGGGGATAAGGGTGTTAGCAAGACAATACGTGCTTGATAGTCAAGTGGACCTGTAACTTACGATGGTCTAACACCATTATCAGACTTGGAATCAGGTACAGAATGCTGTAGATGGGGTAGGGCTTAGGGTTTGGCTGGTCCACTTCACTTGGAAGCTGTGCGGGTTCCTTATAAGGCCAGATATGGACACCTGTGTCGATGTGATGGAAATCCCGCTCCTTAGGCTGGAGAGTAGTCGGAGGCACCTGAGGGACGAGGTCATGGTTGTTCACTATCCGCCAAGACCGGCCTCGCTGCACCTGAACGAGCTTGTTGGTCAGCCTGGACCATTCGTTAGAGCCGATGCGCGGAGCCCCGAAGGTGTACTCGTCACCCATCATCATCTCCCCGGCGCCAGGGTTCGACGGTGCAACATCGATCAGGAGCTGTGTGTAGCAAAGCGTCGAGTAAGAGCCCCCGAGGGAGTGGCCTGTGACGTGGGCAGGAATCGGCCGGCCGCTGGTGTTTGGTAACTTGCTGGCAGCGTCCCGCGTCGCACTGAGGATCTGGTTGTAAGGGACCCCTTTGCCAGGAAAGTTTCCGAAGAGGCCCGTATACACCCCTTGTGATACCGGGGCCTGTGTGCCGTCGAAATATCCTTGAGCCGCGGGGATGAGCTGATAGTTAAAGTCCACAGCCCAGTCCTGGATATTCACGGGGCTGGTGCCTTTGAATGCGATGCCGAGGAACGGCCTATCTTTCTGCTTTTTAGTCGTCAAAAACATGCCACAATACGGGCCATCCCAGCGCGCTTGTCCGTTGGGCGCGAGGTCGCACAGGTCGCAAAGCGGGACGAAACGCATGCCCCAGACTTGAGCAAGCATGTCGATTTCCTTGTGGGCATCGAGGTACAATTCAATGGCCTCTTCGGCAAGCCCCATTGGACCTCCGTCTTTGAAGGTTCGGTACATCGCCCAGGCATCCGTGTGCGCTTGCACGTCTCGCAGGTACATGCCGATGCTCTCCATAAATGGCAAGAAGGAGGTCTGCCAGTTGATTTCTCCTTTGCCCCCAAAGACCTGCGCTCGTTGGGCGGCGGCAATGTTTTCCATGTTGTCATGGCTCCATTCCGTCAGGAGTCTCGAGGCTAAACCGAAGTCCGTGATGCGAGGGGCGCCGAGCACCGCTCCTATTTCTCCGATCCATGTTGCGAGCCACTTTGCGACCCAATGCCTTATTCTAGACCGGAGGCTTGGAGGTTTAGTCTCATTCAAAGAGTGGGTGACTGCCAGGGAAAGTTTCTCGAATTGTGTTTTCTCCGGCTGGGCACCTGGAGACGGCGGTGGAGGCGGTGGAGGCGGCGGCGGTGGTGGTTCGAACAGCGATAATCGTTCTAGATTTCTCTTGGCATGTTCACGAAGAAGACTCTCGTAGCTATTGTTGGAGACATCATTGGCTAGGGCCGGCATGCTGAACTTGTAATTGGTCTTTTGGTAATGTAGTATTGAAAACCGTGATTTACTTCGAGTCGGTGCGATTGAAACGTAATCCCGAAGACAAAAACAACAAGTGAGCAGAGACATTCCGTTGAGAGTCGCATGTTGGGATATTTAATAGTAGTGCAGCTGTTCTGCTTAGAGCACATCATTCACATGCCATACCTGTCATAACCGGGATGCCACATTTAGTGTACCTATAAAGGTCTGATCACTATAGACATATTTCAATGAAAAGGAAACATTTGAGAAGCAGCATTCATGTGACAACATGTGAAGATGGAAATTTTGTATAGAAATGAACCTTATCGCCTCAGTCTCAGAAGTTGATACAAGTCCTACATAGGTCTAGACTTCAGAGTCAGGCACAAAGAAAATATTTATACTAAAGCAATTAGTATTGTCAGCTCTTTGTCTCTCATAGAATGTGGCGCTTAGCCTAGCGTTGGGTATAAGTGGATTATTGAATGAGGACTACTTGCCTAAAGAAATGAGAAGATAAGGATAAATGCTTGTTGCCGTAATTTGCCTACTTGTTATTTTAGTAGCAAGCTATAATTATGCACCTAGACAACAACAGCACCAGATACTTAGCTGGACACATAGAGTAAACACTTATGATATTTTGGTCCCCCCCCCCCCTGGCCCCCCAAGCATGATGTTTGAAGCCAGCAACTCAGCCATCATGGACATGGGGCAGATATGGACAAGGAAGACTTCAGCTCTACGAGGATATGTGTATCTGCTGTTGCAAGTACCTACCTAGGTCGTGCATTGATGATTCTAACATAATACACTGAGCCACAAACTGCTATAGAATCCAGCTGGGTCATTTGTCTACCAAATTGTTCATCATTCATCTCTGCTTCCTCCGCGTGTATGGCATGCTGCCTTTGCAACCTTCAGTGGCACGGGCCACATGAGGAACCTACCAATGTAGGGAGGGGAGCCTGGCGGTACTGTACCCCCATACATTGCTGCCCCCGCAATGACCTGCTGAGGTCATCGGTACGTACCACGCCGCCCGCCACTCCTCCAGCTCCCCTCCAGCTGTTTCCTCCAACAAGACGATTGCGTAGGCTGCCTAGATTACCTGACAGTGTGGAGGTAGAGCTGGCGCATCACAGCAACCTTTTGGGATCAGCACTTCGGGCAGCGCGTTTGTTTTGAGCGCAATTCAGTTCAGGCTCAGCACGATCACTGCTGATACCATTGTCCCCAGCCTCAGCTTTGGGGCATCGTGTCTGTCTGCCCACCTGAGTTCTCGCCGTCGTCTTGACTTGCCAGGGATCTTTAGGAGCTCTGGCGGAACCACAAACAGCTCTCAAGATGGAGTTCAAGCTTTCAGCCCAGCTGCCTGGCCACGAGTCTGATGTTAGTACCAGACAACTCGTTGAAACTCGCTGCATACTGACATCCACCTCCTTCTCCTCAGGTCCGTGATGTCCTCTTCCCCAGCCCCGACATTGTCATCTCTGCCTCGCGCGACCACACTCTACGACTTTGGCGCAAGTCCTCGCAGAAGCCACCCTCCTTCGATGCCACCATCGTCACCCAGGGCCAGGAGTGGCTCAGTTCTCTCACGTTCCTTCCCCCGAACTCCGAGTATGCCGACGGCCTCATCATCTCCGGCGGCAAGGACACCATTATCGAGGTCAAGAAGCCGTTGTCAACCCCGTCCGACAATGCCGAGCGCCTTCTCATAGGCCACCAGCACAACATCTGCTCCCTCGACGTGTCGCCGAAGGGTACCTATATCGTATCAGGCAGCTGGGACAAACAAGCCATCGTTTGGCGTGTCGGAAAGTGGGAACCCGAGCTGCGTCTGGCCGGCCACGATGCGAGCGTCTGGGGGGTCCTGGCTCTGGACGAGACCACAGTCGTGACAGGATCGGCCGACGAGAAGGTCCATATATATGATCTTCGCACTGGCTCCGGCGGTCTGGTCGAGCCCCGGTCCACTATATACACCTCCAACGTCGTACGGGCCCTGTGCAAGGTTCCCCAGGGTCACCCCTCCGGCGCAGACATTGCCAGCGCACACAACGACGGCGTGATACGGCTGTGGAAGCTCAACGGACAATCTGTTGGCGAGTTACACGGCCATGAGTCCTTCGTCTACAGTCTAGTCGCATTGCCTGGTGGAGAGCTGGTCAGCTCGGGCGAGGATCGGACCATCCGGGTATGGCGCGGTCTCGAGTGTACACAAACAATCACTTTGCCCGCAATATCGGTCTGGTCAGTCGCTGTGAACCAGCAGACCGGTGACATTGTCTCTGGCTCAAGTGACGGTGTCGTGCGCGTGTTCACACGGAACGCGGAGAACGTCGCGGACGCCGAGACCCTCGCGAGCTTCGACGATTCTGTCAAGGCTTCTTCCATTCCCGCGCAGCAGATGGGCGGCATTAACAAGGAGAAGCTGCCCGGTCCCGAGTTCCTTACGTCGAAGTCCGGAACCAAGGAAGGCCAGATCCAGATGATCAACCAGCCAAACGGCTCTGTCACTGCACACCAGTGGTCCGCTGGTAAGATCGCACGCCGCTCCCACATTGTGAATTCTTGGCATTGTGCTAACTATTTCACCAGCTCAACAGCAATGGATCGAGGTCGGTACAGTTGTGGATGCTGTTGGAAGCAGTGGAAAGAAGGTCGAGTACATGGGCAAGTCCTACGATTATGTCTTCGACGTGGCCATCGAGGATGGCGCCCCAGCCTTGAAGCTCCCATACAGCCTCTCTCAGAACCCGTACGAGGCAGCCTCAAAGTTCCTGAGCGATAATGAGCTGCCCCAGACCTACCTGGACCAGGTGTCAAATTTCATTGTCGAGAACACCAAAGGCGCGACGATCGGACAGAGCTCAGGCCCGACTGTTGACGAGTTTGGTACCGGTAGATACCAACCCGGAGACGAATCCGCGTCACAGGCACCCCCCGCAAAGAAGCTTCTGCCCCAAGACAAATACCTTACCTTGGCTACTGCCAAGTTCGATCCAGTGGTCAAGAAAATCCTCTCCATAAGTGCCACGATGATCTCGTCCGGCAGAAAGGACTTTGCTCTCAACCCAACAGAGGAGGCTACTCTGGCCAGACTGGCTGAGAATCTCAGCAAGACGATCCCAGGCGTACCCGCAACAGTTTTGGGCACTGCCGCCGCCTCGACTTATCAGCCTCTTAACCTTTCGGAGCTGGACCTTGGCCTTGTGCTGAAGCTCGTCAGCCAATGGCCCGACAACGACCGCCTCCCAGGTCTAGATCTTCTCCGATGCGTGGCCACCTCGCCACTGGCGGCCAGTTTCACCGACCCCAGCGGCAACTCCCTCATCGAAATCGCCCTGAACGCCGCCTTCCACCCCAGCAGTGGCTCCAACATCAACGAGAACTGCGCCATGATGGCCTTCCGAGTGATCGCCAATCTCTTCACAACCGAGCCGGGCCGGCAGGTCGCCCACGCGCACTCGGAGAAGGTGGTCGACTACATGGAGGCTCGTCGGCATATCGGACACCCCCTTCAAGGGCCCCGTGGGCTTCCCCCGCAACCGCAACGTCCTGATCGCAGTCACCACCGCGGCGCTGAACTACGCGGTCCTCGCCTACCTCATATCCAAGAAGAAGGTCCAGGTCGACGGCAATGCCGTCACGCCCGAGGTCTTCGGCCTGTTAGCCAACGTGCTTGCCAAGATCCTCCAGGACCAGGCGGACGCCGAGGTCAGCTACCGCGCCCTGGCGGCCCTGGGCACCATCGCCGGCGCCGGCCACGCGGAGGTCCTGCGCACGCTGGGCGCGGACGCGGCCGTCCGGGAGGTGGCGAAGGCGGGTGGTGAGGAGAGGGTGACGAACCTTGCGAAGGAGGTGCTTGGACTTCTGTAGTCGCCTTGTTGATAGCAATCAGTCATGAGAGCGGAAGCGTACATTGCCGCTGTCTCCAGTATTTAGGAGGCCCTTAGATACCGTAATGATCCAGAGTTCTAGACCATCCCTTACTCGCCTTTCTCGAACGTAATGACCTTGCTTCGCCGTCTGCTTCCCCTTGCCCAAGTGATGAGCATGCATTGCCTCTCTCAGTCTTTCCCCTAGCTTTTCGTGTATGAAGTTTTCCCCGTTTGAACTGCCACAACCGTGCCTAGCCTTGATTTTGACAGGCGGGCTGAATCAGGTGACCAAGAAGCACCAGGGCCATGTTCGCAAAGGAAAACGCATGTGGTTGGGTTTGCAGCCTTTTCCCGGCTTAGCCATCCCAATCATACAGACCAAATGTCACGCAATAGCCCTTCAGTTTTGTATGTTGCATTTATTGCATTGCATTAGACGTATAAACCCGGAGCCCTTTTCCTAGACAGTCACAGGCAGCCCCAGCGAGATATCACACCCTTCCCGTTTGAACGCCACCCAGAAACGCCCACTCCTAAACAGACCATGCCCACCCAAAAAAATCCAAAAAAGCACCCATCAACGGCTACAAGGTCCCTCAGAACAGCGCCCAGGCCAGCCCCAGCGCGACGGGCGCGAGGCCGACAAGGTTCCACACGGAGGTGCCCCTGCCGCCGTGGCGGCCAAAGTACCAGAAGACGGTCTCGATGGCCTCGGCGGCGCCGGACGTGCGCGCGGAGATGTCCGGGTCGGCGTCGACCTCGCGGGTGACGATGGTGTAGACGTCGGCGAAGCCGATGTCGTTGCTGTTGAAGCAGTTGGTCTCGTTGACGACCTCGAGGCGCTCGTCGCCGGGCTCGACGAAGGTGATGTCGACGCACTGGAGGATCTCTCGTCAGCACCGTGACCACTTTCTGCCCATTCTCCTCCAGCAAAGCTGGGCAGGGGCTACTCACGGAAAACAGCGACGCGCCGTGAACGGCCAGCTCAACGACCTGGATGGTGGCGTTGTCGCCGGGCTGGACGGTGGTGTTGGCCGGAAGCGGCACCTGAGGCAGGCAGACGGTGCCCGGGTAGGGGTTCTTGCTGGGGCCGAGGATCTGGAAGGGCGGGACCATGGGGAAGCTCATGTTCCAGGGGCCATTGTCCGGGCCGTCGGTGCCGAAGCCCATGTTGACGTAGAGGAAGGCCGTGGCGTGGCCCTGGAACCAGCCCGGCTGGAAGGCGAGGGCGCCGCCCGTCGTGGGCCAGTAGGTGCGGTTTGTTGTCGTTGGGTAGCCGCCGCCTGTGGGGAGATAAGTATGTCAGCTTTTGTGTCTCCAAGGGGGCTTGCGCTGGCCGTGAGGCTGGCTGGGGGTTGGGCCGGTATCACGGAGGCGGGAGGAGCTACAAGTTGGATAAGGATCGTGGGCGTGGCGACTTACATGGGTACATCCATTGCATGCCGAAGGGGAATGAGTCGTTGGTGATCAGGTTGTCACCCCTCCATCCGGGATATGTGAGGACGGTGTGTGCTGATGATAGTGTTGCTGCGCTGATGAGCGCCAGTAATGTTGAGGAGAACATTGTGTTTGTGTGTGTATGTGAGACCTCGGGAGGTGAGTTTGTGTGCTGCCGCCGATGATCCTCGAATTTCTCGAGCTTTATTTCCCCCGAGCTGTACTCCTCGGCCTCGTTACTCGAAGTTCGGCTCTTTTGCTCAACAGCAACTTGTTCCCAGCCTTCTTGCCCAACTTGTGCGGGCCCTAATTTCAATAGATGGCGATGCTGGTCGACAGGTCGCGGGTCAAGCCTTTGCGGTTGCTGACGAGGAAATGGACAGAAAGATACTTCTTTCTGATTATATCGACATGTGATATTGGGTATCTCAAGGTTGAAAAAGTGAAAACAGGAACAGGAATGACAAGAGCGAAATGGGAGCGGCAGCCAAGGGTAATATTAGGCGCAGGATACTCTGGGAATCTCACCTCTTTCTCACCTACCTGCATGGGCAAAATCCGGGCCACGGAGGGGTGGACTGGGACTGAATAGCCACCCAGTGATAGCCGTCGAAGCTGGGGGGGGGGGCGTGGTGCGAGGTGCGGTAGCAGTGGACAAGGCCCCCATCAGGTCTAGCCCTGTCACCTCGCGCATCCAGCCGCCGAAGCTGATTTGCATCGTGCCATCCAATCCGGCGGGTGTGGGTGGGCAGGCGGGCGAGCGAGGAGAGAGGAGAGGAAGCCTGCGCTGGCCTGCACTTTGGCTTGGACGGCAATCTGGGCCAGATGCAACCCGGGCGGCTTTCTCCACGAGGCGTCGGCCAGTCAGGTCGCAGGAGAGGTGTGCACCCAGCTGCAGCTCCACAGCCCCTGCCCCTGCCACCCAGGTGAGCCCAGCCAATTGCAGCGCCGGACGGCCCATCTCCAGCAGCTCGGGAGGGCGACTCGCTGGGCCGCCCAGACTTGCAAAAAATCCCCCGCCCGTGCAGCAGCTCCCCCCCTCGAGCCCCCATCACCAACACCAGCAGACTTGCATGCGACCAATCGAGCGGCCGGCCTGGTGTGACGGCCACTTTCAGGGACCGGATCGCGAGATTGACGCTCCTGGATACAGCTTCAGGCTTGTGTCATGGACGTTCGAGAAGCCGTTGAGCATTGCGATACCCGGCTCGAAGGGAGCCGATGAGGAAAGCCGTTCAGGCCAAGTGAGACCTTCTCCGTGTTCGACACCTGGACGGGCTGTTGCGGCAGCTAGCTCCGCGGCAAGCCGTCGCGGGAGCTTGGGTGGCGGGTCACTCGGCGAGCCAGTTGCTGACGGCGATTAAGCGCCCGACATCCAGGGCACCCTCGCCTCTCCGGTACGTACCTGTCCACGAGGACCCCGCGGCCCCAAAAGATCTGCACGCACTCTCCAAGGGTAAATGTGGGGGCTATTTTTGGCAGGGGAGGGGAGCATCGCCTGCCTGTGTGCTCCCACAATGGAGCGATGCAGTGCGACCACCGAGTGGGTAGCGGCCTCAGGATGGGATAGGGGGTTCGTGGCTTCTGGTTGATCTGTGCAGCCTTATATCAAGCAAAGCACGGGGCACATTTTCGCCAGGATCGGTTTATCGGAATGTCTTGTAGTATCGTCGTTGCGTGCCACCGAGCTCGAAACAGTGACACCCTCTCCGCTGACCCTCCTTTTGGTCGACAGACGCCAGCAGTTATTTCTAGAACTCTAGTAGCATGCAACTTTATTAGTGACAGGCGAAAAAGCAGCCTCTTATAAAGGACCACTTTCTAAGCCATTGCGAATCTTTCCATACTTGAAATACAGCAACAAAATTGACACCAGTAGACATTTACGACCGCTCTTGAACCAATCATTATTGATAGTACAGAATAAAGTCTACTTTCTTAATCAACGAATAAGTAAAAAATTAATCTACCATTAACATGTAATGTTGTAGTAGAATTTTGCTATTTTCTCAACCATAGCCCCTGTTTCCATGAAGTCGTATTCATGAGCTTCTGAGTGGGATATCAGCCTGTGGCCCACTGCACTGTCTACGATCTCTCAAGAATGCTCTGGCGGCTCGAGCGACTTTACTTCGCTTCCAAGAGGACATGATGAAGAATGCGATGATAAGTGCCACCACAATTACCACCACGGAAATCGGAGCTGTGCGTATCGATTGTCAGCTTCAAGTCACTCCAAATGGTAGGTAAGATCCTGGAAGGGCGAGTGTCCACTGACCTCGTACTTTCCAAACCTCGCTGGCCGTCGGGTTCTTCTCGTCCCCAGTGAATTCCACTACATTCTGCCCGAAATAAGAAGTGAACAAGGATAGAGGGAGCTGTGGGAATTAGTTGTGCGCGCACAATTAGTGAGGAGCGTTGGCAGACGAATATGATGGTGATGATCGTGAACAGCATCACGGCTTGCCCCTGCTTGCTCGTCACACGGGCTTCTCCGAGACTGGCTGCCTTTTGCTCCAAGTCCAGCGACTCCAAGAGCTGTCGGCTATGTATTGAGCGACTCTTCTGACCGTTGCGTGTTCTGGTCCTGGGCAACTCACCGGCTTGTGAGTTTGTGGCGCGTCGCTGTGAATTCGTGCCGTCTCTACTTTCTTGGCTTCAAGCAGATCATTGGCTTGTTCCATCAGCTTGCCAGATTGTTCTTCGACAAGTACGAACATGACGAGTATCACATACCTTGTTCGCTGCTGCCCACCTGTAAATAGAGAGCATGTCGACAAATCTATTATCGGATTCCTCAAATATCCGGTTGATTGTGCGGTGAGCCAGCAGCGCAAGTAAGTCGCCTATGTGCTGGCAATTCAATAAATTCGCGTTCGTAAATGCTGAGACCATGATTTCCAGATCGTCTTTACTTGTGAAGCTTCCTTCGCACAGTGGTTCGTTGGTCGGAAAGCAAGTTACGATGGTGCCTGATGTCTTGTTAGCCCCAGAATCATGGATATTAGACAGGATCATCCACAGTCACAAGAACCAGGTACATCCTACGATGGTTACACCCACTATCATCCAGAGTCCACATCCAGAGCAGATCGACCATGACAACGAGACTGTCTGCCACGCCTTGGTCCGTCCATTTTCTGGCATAAAACCGCTTTTACCCGTTTACCCGTCCATTTTGACACAGTTTGCCCAGCATTCCGCAACTTTGTGTCTTGGAGACCGGAGTGGTAGAACTCGTCTAGTGTTCTGCGTTGGTGCCTCATCTCGGGTTTGCTGACTTTACCAGTCCCATGTTCGATTTTCCGAAAGTGTTCCCAATTCAAGTAAGGGAGCTAAGGTGAAGGTGTCAACAAATGATGTCAGAGGTAATAGGCCTGCGGCCTATCAAACTTCAGAAGAGACACTCACAAATAAGGTGAGACGTGTACTCCATGTTGACTCCTGTCCATCGTGAATCTGTGCGAGTCCGGAATGCGTCTGAACCGAAGGTTCCATAGACCATGCATGAGCTGGAAGCTTTACAGGCGAATCAGATATTGCCGGCCGAAGCTTCTGCCTCCATGTATCACGCAGGCGCTGGGCCGCAGCTTCGTCGACCATTCTTCTGACGCATACCTAGAGTCGTGTAAGTGAATGATGACATAGCGGGGACAACAAATATGTCATACTCACTTGTGCAATGTAGATATCGTTGACGGGTATTTGCATCCATCGACAAGTTCTCTTAGACCTTGAATATATGGGTAACGGCAGTTGGGTATGGTGACCCTCGGATTCGAATTCGGAGATAGGGAACTTGATCGTAGCAGGAACTTCTGCAGGTTTCGTAGCTTTGCCGCCCTGAGGAGCACGACTGAAGTCAATGACATGGATGAAGCTATCAAGGCAAGATTGGTTCCATCAGCTCAGTTGAAAATATTGGGAATGGTATAGACTTATTGAGGACCGGAGCACTGACCCCTCTTGCGCGAATTTCCTCCAGACTTTCGACAATGTGCTTCTGAACATCGTGCCTGAAACTCGGAGGGTTTATGATTGTCCGACATTTCCGTCGCCTCGCAATAAGCTTCCGTCAGGAAGCACAGATTGATGGCTAAAGGCGCAACCCCTCAGAAAAAGCTAAGGAGTCTTGCAACTGAATGTATGGGAGAAGTTTAGGCTCGAAGGTTTATCGGGAATACAGCACACGGTGCTGACAATTTGTAATCGTCCTGAACCCAACCAGCTGAAGCCATTTGGATGCGGCTGCAACTTGCAGATAGGGGAAATGCAAGGTGATTGAAATGCATGTTTGTCAGGCCCAAGATTTCATTTGGGCTATATTGGCGGTATGCGGGGCGAAGCGCATTCGCATATGCGCCTCCGGACCAGCCATACCTCGCCCAAAGCGCCTGCCTGAATGCCAAATGCGCGAAGACTGCGCTGGGGAACCGCAAAGAAGTCGTCCCAATTTTGTGGGTGGAGCAAGCCAAAATATTACGGGTTAAATCCAGTATGAATAGTTGGTCTACTGTTGCTCCTGTCGACCCGACTAGGTATTCACTGGCCAGTCTGCCCACTTGGCAGCTGAGACGCAAGCCACACGTTCAGCACTTTCAGCTCCGTTCGGTCCAGAAGAAACAGCAAAGATGATTGAAGATCACTTGACAATTGATAACACGAGAGACTATACTTTTGGCGGGTTGACTGGGGCAGCTGCAAGTCAAACTGAAGGGGTGGCTCCCACTGCAGGTGGTTCTCTTACTGTCCTCAAGTGCCGGTTCGACGATAAGCTAAGTCGAGACAGACATATTGGCAGTATGGAAATCAAATATTGAACTGAAAAAGAAGAAGACGAGATGGAGACAAAAAAAATGGAAAAGACCACAATGTCAGCAAGCTTCAAGCCGGGCTAGGCCGGGAGCTGTTGCCTTTCCGAGTGTCGGCTGCATGATGTCTTTCGTCTTTCGTCAGGCGCCGATGCCATCTAAACCCTGCAGACAGAACTGATGCCGTCAGTGGAAAATCGTTAGAAAGCTGATTTACAGCCTTCAACACAAAAAGAGCACAAAAGTAAGTTAAAGACAAACATCATCGCGGACAGTTGTGGGCAGTCTTGCATGGAGCAGGAGTGCACCGTCATCCTTGTCCAGTGATGATGATGACTCAGCAAGCCGAGCACACAGCAGTTGGCCTGCCTTATCGGAGCTCCCCTTGTCTCTTATCGCTGCCCCTTGAGAACATCAAGGCTCAAGAATTTCCCTTCCTCTGAAGAGTGAGGCGGCGACTGTACATTTCGCGCATGACCTATCACGATGATGGCTTCTTCAGCGGACCAAGAAGATGACCCTTCACAATGGACACGCATCGTTCGCAAAGGCAAGAAGCTAGGCCGCAAGGAAGAGAGCCTGCGCCTGCCAGTCGGCGGCCCGCCTGAAAACTTCCACCCAAACGGGTCGCCCCAGCTCACCGTCGACGACATCAAGGCCAACCACCACAAGGTTGTCTCTAAGTGGCGTGCAACGAAGTGTTATGAAAATATCCAAAATACCATCAGAGACAAGTCTGCCTCTCATGAAAAGGTCACCCGCGCTGTTTGTCTTGGTCTCGGCGCCTTCGATCCCGAAGATGCTTCGTGGTCTGCTCAGCGACGGTCTCACATCCAGCTGGCGGCCTTTCTTGCCATGGTAGAAGCTCTAAGTTAGTTCTTGTCCTATGTAGTCGCTTCATCCATGGAAAATGACTAACCAATATGACAGAGTCGGAAAGTGGGCAGGAGATCGAGACCATCTACCAAGAGCCGCGTTTTACCCGGCCAGACAAGGACTTTCTGATCGGTCTGGGTGGAAAGGCTGTAGATTCCCCCGGTGCCTACGAACTGATTGACAAAACCACTCTGGTCTTTGGCGTGCATCTGTACCGCGATATCTGGGCAGCCGCATTGAAGGAGAGTCTACCCGCGATGTGCGTCGGCACCGGCTGGGACGTTTGGGAAGAGTAAGTCTGCCCGCTGCCTGAGGCTTTTGGTCATGATGCAGCTAACACGTATGTTAGGAATCCTGGGGCAGACAAAAGCCCTGATTTCGGCCGCGTCAGAGAGATGGATGCCACCTTTGACAAATTCCCTTTCCCTCAGGACGACTACACCTCCTTTTCGAGCACCTGCATCTACTGGAAGAAGCAAGAAACGAAAGATGGCACCCCGGAACAAGATGTTATAGAAGACCTGCAGCGTCTGCGCGTCAGCTGAGACCCTGCGACCGTTACGCATTGAACAAACGGCAGTCCTGGTTCATAGCCACACGGATCGAACGGTTCTGCGAGTTTGCCCGACTAGGGATGCAGTTAAAGATGGCCGTCTTGGAGGCTCATTGTCATACCCTGTCTCGATTTCAAGATGCTGTGGCTCTGGTCCCGTGCAAAGGTCCAGCTGCTATCACGAACCAAGAGGCTACATTGCTGCGTGACACGATGTGTCTCGGTACAACTCGCAGGACATGGGGATGTCTAGGATGAAACCCGTGAGACAGGGTCTCGTCAAGGACACGTCGGTAGTCGAGCCCCGTCTGATGATGAAATCGCCCGGTGTCAGCCTGCTACCATGATTCCTCATGCCGTGAGGCAAGTCACACTACGCGGTCATCTTGTTCGTCTGGCTGACAATCCTTGCTTTCTCAGGCTACTCCGGACTCGTTTTGCTGCAAGTCGGGCTGTTCTGTTGCCGCTGGCGTCACAAGCGCCACAGACGGGCGCACATCGCACGCGACTTTCCCTTGCTTTGTTAGTCGCAGGTGTCAACTCTACCACCCTCGCTTGTCATGTCGTCAATAAGGCCATGCGTCTTTTCAAAGTACAAGACACGCATCGTGAACCTCCTGATGTTGCTCGCATTCGCGCAGTGGGCTGTCACCTCTCTCAGCGCTAACTGCCCTGCACTCATCTTTTGTCCGTGACAGGGATATGTTGGCCAATGGAGAGTCTACAGGTTCAGGGAAACTTCATCTGGGAAGAGACAGTTGTAACTATCATGGAATGGCTTGTGCCCGTTTCGATTGGCAGTCTAAAGAGAGGGGGGAAAAGAGAACAAAATCATGAATGAAAGACAGAGAGCCAAAAAGGACAAGGCCACGGATCGAACGTGGACCATCAGTGCGGTGGTCTCCCGACGGGGAGACTCCTTAATGTTGCAACTGGCCGACTCTCCAAATGAGCCACCTTGTCCGCCAACCTCCCACCCCAGGCCTGCCATGTTTTCGAGGTCCAAGTACTGCTCGAGGGAGCACTTAGGGCCATGGCAAACTGGCACGCGCAGTGAGGTTGAAGTTCTGGATAACCTCCGTCCACTCGCAGCCGGGCGGCGCCGAGTAATTGGTCTCGTACACCCCCCAGCTCAGGAAGATCCCCGTGACGTTCTCGAAAATGTCCGAGCAGGCGAACCAGCTCTGGGGAGCCGCCGTCAGCCTGTGGTATACGAAGCCTGCGCTTCACAGTCAGCCGAAGCACGGTGTTTTGTTGTTCTTTGCTGCCACCTGGGCGTGTCTTTTCACAGGGTCGTGGGAATGCGTACCGTCGGCGACGTGGAAGTCGAACTGCTGCTCGTCTATGGTGCCAAATACATAGCTCGACAACCCGTGCGCGTCCCCCGGGTCAGACACGAAGAGCCCGTATGCCCCGGGGGCGACAGGGACGTCCGGGCTGTCGGTGAGATCCAGGTTCAGCGCGTCGGGGAAATAATCGTCGTCGGAGTCCGTCGAGTTGACGTACACTGTGTGCCTCGTGTCAGCTCGGTGGGAGGTTCCCGCCATGATCACGAATGCGGTTTAGGAGCGCACCAGGGGTTCCAGGGGCGTCGGTCGTGTTCGTCGCCCGCAGTAGCACGCCTCGGTTTTCGAGGTAGACGGCGTTGAGAGGGGCGTAGGTGCCGTTCACCCCATTCAGCTTCATTGCAAGGTAGAACTCGGAGCTTCTTGGTGGCGGCGTCTCTGACGGGGACCTCTGTGGGAGAGATGGGATGGCGTGGGTAGTGGCCAGGAGGCCAAAGAGTAGCGGTAGTGCTGCGAAATGCATGGTGGCCGCAATGTTCAGTTCATTCAGGCGGGTGCTGGTCCTGCGTGTCCATTGCCCAAGCCAGGTGGGCGGCCTCGTTGTACTTATCTCTGGTCAAATCCAAGGTCGAGTTCCACGCTACAAAAGGCTCGTCGTACCCGGACGGAAGATTTGGCAGGCCGGCGGTGTGCTCACCAACGCATCAGCCATTGTGACAGTTTTGGGGATCGGTTGATGATAATTCGCTCTGTTTCTCTTGTCAACGCTCCGTCTTACACTCTGGTCACGCCTGACAGGACGTACAGCCGGCCTGGCACGAAGTGTTTGCATACAGGAACTGTCCTCACTGGATTGTGAGACATGGTATGGCTTCCTCCTACCTTGTCTTGTGGGACTGGTTTGGATTACAAGCTCTTCTCTCGGTCTGTAATTGTTTGCGCATTTGTCGTCTGCTACCTGAGTGAGCTCATTGGCACAAATCTCATGACAGCTTTCGCTGAGAACGCTATTCTCTGGAACGCAAAACAAGGTCGAGAAATGCCCGCGTCAACCAAATTCTCACGAGAAGCAATGGTACTCAGCTATTGTCGAGTGGATTGTTCAGTTCAAGGCGGAGGTGGCATTCTGTGAGCCATTTTGCAATCGGTGCACATTGCTTAGGTTGGAACTTGGGCCCATGTGCGAAGCGAGCCCTCGTGCAAGCCCAGCCCTCAGTCTCTCTCAGAAGAGCACGATGTTGGTGAAATTAGGGAGCACACGTAGGTAGCATGATGTATTCGTTCTGTCGCCACTACCTAGGCGCCCGGTAGTACCCCAGTGCTTCCCTTGTGACTGTTTAGTACACCCTGATATGTTTACATTCATAGCTTGCATGGCTCAACTGCCAGCCGCTTCCAGTCCTGCCTCTTTCATAGCATTGACCGTGCCATGTCCTTGAACTAGACACCTATGAAAGTGTAATTCATGGAGCCGGTCCAGCAAAGAGACAGATCTATCTGTCTAGGGTGTCGTCCACCAACCAAAACGGCACAGCCACCACCTTCTTTGAGTACAAAGATGTCGCCCCCTGCCAGCCCAACGACATATGTTCCGAGGGGATCGTCGCAACTCAGTCCACGCCACTGATCTCAGATGCTCTTCGCAAGTCCGAGAAGTTCTGTTAGTCGCTGCTCCAGATCAAAGGGTTCGGAATGTTCCCACCCCTGATGTAGAATGATGCCGGCCCGGGACACCGTTGAGCAGAGTACCAGCCGTCGCGATGCTCGCTGTCAAACTCGTACCGTAGATACTTTTCCTCTTGTTCAGACATGTTGGTGAACTCAACTCCTTGGGGTTGGCAAACTAGAGAGGAGGAGTCCGCTCTGCCTCGTAAGATTTCAAGCGCCTCTGCCCAGGTGCCTTCCAACAAATTGACACCACTCAATTCCAGGTGCACCTTCCCAGGGACCTTGTCCAGAGCGTGTCTGAGTTCTCCGAGTTTGATGGACAAGTGTAAAAGACAAACACGTTGCAAGTTGTGCCAAGGCAGGTTTCCAAGCACGGCGCCGAAGCTTGAGGTTGAATGCAGATCTTGATATTCAACCCCAAAGTTGGAGTCAAGGGTAACCGTGTCTAGTCTGGGCGAACTGAGCATTGCGTCGAGCAGATCCCAAGTCTTTGTGACAAAGGCAGGTTTGAAACCCTCCGTTTGTACCGGGCGATGACGTTGGTTGATCTCGATCCGTACACGTCTCAGCTGCCGACAGGAGCGCCGAACATTCTGGAGGTACCCTGACAGGGCTTCAATGTGAGATTCGTCGAATGCGATGATTGTGATGTCGAGATGTGTCAGGTTTCCGTCTCCAATGTCAAATATCAAAGGCAGCTTGGACCACAGAGCAAGATCTAAATCTCTGGCCTCTGACGCTTTTGGAAACCGGTCGTCACCAGCATCAACCATCAGTTTCCGAAACGGATTTGGGCTCCTCAAAATGGCTTTGAACTTTTGTATATCCAATCGCTGACCCCACCCACTTCGGATAATGTCATCTGACCGACGGACAGACGAGTTTGTGAGGCAGAGTCTCTGGACTGATGGCATCTTGCAAATTGCGGCATGAATGTTGCTGTGTACGTGACAGTCTTCAATGAGGCTCTTTTGCTCAAAGTATTTTCGTTGATATTCTTCGTGGGCTTGCGTAATGGCTTTGCTGATCTTTGTCTCGAATCGATTGTGCGGAACCACTGAAGAATCATGTTGACGTCTCTGGAGTCGTAGTGTTTGCGTCACATCTTGAGCTTCTGCCAAAGCCATTTCAAGGCCGTTGATCTTCAAGTACTTGGGTTTGGGAGGGATCCCAATCATACGAAAGGCTTCTTCTACTTCTTTCTCGACCCTTGATGCTTCACGTTGGAATTTTAATCGTAAAAGTCGAAGTTTGAACATAGTTCTGCTGCAGAATCGGTCACGATCGTCGAGTACAGAGTTGCAGGTTCCGGTGTAGATTCGAATGATGCGCACGCCCTTCGAAATTGTCGGATGATTGGAAATTTTCTCGAGACGATGAATAGAGGAGGGTGTGAAAGAGATGTCGACAAGAGGAAGAAGAAGCCTCGAGCCAACGTCGCAAAACGTGCGACAGGTCAGTCGAATGTTCTTGATACTGGCGACATCGGGGCTGGGCAAAGTAACATCATCAGAAGCATCATGGTCGACTTGAACCTTTGGCACCGGAACGTCTTCAAAGTGAGAAAAGATCATCGAAATAATCTCGTTTGGCAAGTCCACGACCTTGAGAGGTCTGATTGTAGCTCGCCAGGCTGCCATGTGGAAGTCTCGCCAATGACGCCGCAAGGACTCGTTAGACTCCAGCAATTGCTTGAAGCCAGCAATCTCCATCTCCAACAGCTTTAAGTTTCCGTAAATAACACAGTGAAAGATATCTTCGTCGATTGCCTGTTGCTTGATCGCGCGTATTTCATGTCTTCTTTCCTGGATCCGTGCTTGGAGTGTCTGCGCAGTCTGCTCTGTCGCTAAAAGCTGCTTGAACGGGCCTCTCGTGTCGGCGAGGAATGCCAAACTGCGCTCCGTCGCTGTTGGTTGCGAGTCGATGCTGAGTGTCGACCGACACGATTGGCGCAAAGTTGGTCTGAACATGCCGAGGTTGTTCGTGATGACCAGTGAAAGCGAGGTTTGTAAGGCTGGTAGACAAGACACACACGCGGCGTGTACGCGGCGTGTAGGCAATACTTGGCTGGAAGAAAGGTTGAATGGCTGACGCTGTCAGAAGTTATCGACTGCGAGGATGTGATGCGAAAAAAAAAAAAAAAAAAAAGGAGGCCTGGGAAGGTGGGAAAGCATTGAGAAAGCTGCATGTAAAGTCTTCAGTTTGATTGAACCGTTCAGAAAACGTTGGCAGCTAGCTGTACCGCTTGTTTACTCTCATTTGCAATCAATCGTATCGTTTTGGCGCTAGTGAGCTGCACAACACACATCACACCCTTTTTTAATCGCACTTTATTTAAGTTTCTTAATATAGCTTTAATTTAATAATTATTTGTATTAAAAAAAAGCTGCTTTCTTTTTAATTTTTTTAATATAAATTTAAAAAGAGAAAAGAAAGTATTAAAAGTATAAGTGTGATGGGCTTGGGCTATTGCCCAAGCCGTAATGCATGCCCATGTCAGGCCCACACTGCACCCAACCCTTTTACGTAACGAGGCATATACTTAAAAGATAAATCTAGGGTTAAGCCCTTTTAAGGCCTAACTTACTTTTTAAATATTGCAATTTATAACTCCTTTTAAATACCTTTTAGTAAATGCTTAAGGCTAACCTATAATATTAAATTATAATCTTTAAATTACATTAAAAAAAATACTTATATTATAAAGATAAACAATCTTATACCTAAGATATTAACCTTTTTATAAAATGCATAGCTAAGAATTCCCTAACTTATTTTAATATTAAGCCATAAAAACGCTTAAAAAGCGCCTTAATCCCCTTAGCTATCCATAGCAATGCTTATTAATATTAATAATAATGCCACTATATCTCTCCTTATAGCAATACTTTATTAACTTATAAAGCTTAAAATGCATGCAAACCCTTTTAACTTACCCTTAATTTAATGCAAGCCACTCCTAATTAGCCCCTTATTTAATAATAGCTAGGATAGCTTCCTAGCCTAGAAAATTATAATACAGCATAAGCTATGAATTAATATAAACTTTATTAAAGGTTCTTAAAAATATTAAATCTTCTTATAAAGCTAGCTATTTACTAAGGTATAATTATATATTATAGCATTTTATAAGCAAAGCAAGCCTTAAAATAGCTTTAATATAAATAAGTTTTTTAAATACTTAAAGCGCTGCTATAAAAACTTATATTAATAAGTAATTACTTTAGCTAAGCTTAAGATATTTTAAATATAGAATTATAATAGCTTTACTTAATTTTATATTTAATTTAAATAGCTAATAATATAAATTAAGGGCCTTAAGTAATTAAGTAAAGTAAAGCTAAATTACTTTTATAATTAGCTCTTTTTATAGCTTTATAATAAGGCCATTAAGGTATTAATCTTATATATAGATTATAATAAGGTAATAAATGCATATTGTTAAATTGCTTATAAGCTAAAGGCATAAAACCTTAAGTATTGGCAATATATAAGCTTAATCCTGTGTTTTTTAAAGCCTTTAATTTAAAGGTAATAGGCAATAGATTGGGATATAGTAATAATAAATATAATTATAATAGGCATGATAAGGGGCTAAGGTGCTAAGAATAAAAGGCTATAAGGGCATTAAAGCGTCTTTTTCTTTTAGTTAATTAGCGGCTAAATTAAAGCGCTTTAAATTTTTAAATTTAAGAAGGAGGCTTAATAAAAGCATAAGGCATGCCTATATTATAGTTAATAAGGATACTTTATAGCAAATTATAAACTTCTTTTTATAGCTATGCTAATTTAAATTTAGGTTATAAAGCTAACTATACCTTATAAAAAGAACCTTATTAGCTTTAAGAGAAAAGATTAGCTCTTAGGTAAAGTTTTGCTTGAAAGCATAAGCCCTTTTTATAAGCTTAATTTATATAAAAATAATATTAATAAATATAAAATAAATTAAATAAGCTTTCTTTCTTAATTCTTATTATTATAAATTATAAGTATATTATTATTACTTAAATAAATAATAAGTATAGCTATTATGTTGTTATAAGCAAGCAATAAATATAAAAGGTAAAACTAAAGCTAATAGCTTTACCTACCTTAAAAGATTTAAGGATAGTTATTAACTTATTGCAAAGCTAATATATTATATATATAGTATGGCTTTTTTTGGATATTAATGTATAATAAGCCTTTATTTTAGCCTATATAATTTTAAGCATAGCTTATTCCCTTTTGCTAAGCTTACTTTAATTACGTTATTATAATATTTTGCTAAACCTAGCTTATAGCTATATAGTAGTTAATGCAGCTTAAAAGATAGTTATAAAGAAAGAGGGCTAGTAAAATATAAGTAATTTAGCATGGTTAATCTTTAAGATAACTGTAAGGGCGTAAATAAATTGCTTATCTTATAATAAGATAATAAATATTACCTTAATAAGAATAAGCTTAAGTAAGGTTATATAAATTCTTTAAGCTATAGCTTTTTAAGAAAGAAATAATAATAATATAAAGTAATATAAAACTAAGCTTTTATTAAAGAAAGTATAAAACTTTGTTAGCCTTTTTAATAAAGATTAAGTTTTTACCCTTTTATTATATTAAGATTAATTTAATTATTATATTTATTTATTATTAATAAAGAATGGATTTATATTAATATTGCTATAAGGCCTATTATATAATATACCTTAAAATTAGCTACTTAAGCTATAAAAGTAAGTTATAAAACTTTATAATAAGGGTTAGGTAAGGGCTAGCTCTTTATTTATAGCGGCTTTAATCCTTTTAATATATAAAGTAAATAGGGAATAATAATTTTATATAAACTACCATGCCCTTAATAAGATAATTTAATAAAATCATTACCCCTTTCCCCTTATTAAAAAGATATTATACTTTTTTTTTAATATTTAATAGTTTATAAAGCTAAATATTTATATAGCCTTTTATTAAATATAAATAATAAAAAAATAGGAGCATTTAATAGCATTTTAAATTTAATTTAAGTTATTTAAATAGTTAATTTATCCCTTTAATTTATTTAATATACTTATTATATTTTAATAATATATTAACTTAATTTTAGCTAATATCTTAAAAGATTATATAATGGCATACTTAAATAATATATTAATATTTTCCTTAAGCTTAAAAAGGGATTATATAAAGAAAATGTAAAAGGTTTTATGCTATTTATAAAATGCTAAACTAAACTTAAATTAAGATAAATATAAGTTTATAATAAAGAAGGTAAAGTATTTAAGCTTTATTGCTATAATTAAAATAAGCATTTAAGTGAATTTAAAAAAGATTAAAATAATTTAAAAATAAAAGGCATTATAAATAGTTTATAATGTTTAAAGCTTTATAAGGTTTATAAACTTTTATTATAACTTTATTAAGAACTTTTTTAAAATTATTAACCTCTTTCTTTATTTTATTATTAAGGGAACTTTTTTTTAATAAGGAAGTAAAAAGAATAAGGCCTTTTATTATCTTAAGGTAATATTTATAAAGATATTAATCTTAGCTAAATAAAACCTAAACTTAAGCATAATAATAAAGGTAAATTACTTAAAGACGGCCCTTAATATATGCTTATTAATTTAAAAAAAAAAGGCCCTTTACTTAATTATTTATTACTTTATAAAGCTCTCTTTAATATAATAAAATTATATTATTTATAATAAAGAGCTATTAATAATAATTAAGATTTTAAAGGCATAATTATTTATGCTTTAAAGTATATCTTACTTATTTATAATACTTATAAATTATAAAAGTCTTAAGTACTTTATTAGCTCTTAGCTTTTTTTAAAGAAGTAAGCTTAATAAGCTAAAACTTTATCCTTTTTCCGCTATAATCTTTAATATTGCTTAAGAATATAGATATAATATCTTAATGTATTATTATAGTAAGAATAAGATAGAATAATCTTAAAGGAGAATTGCATAGTTAAGATGCTTTAATTAATTTTAATAATAATCTTTAATACCTATATTATTATACCTATAAGGTTATAGCTATTTAATAAATTAATATTAGCTATATTTTAAAATAAGAAAGTTTAATAGGATTTATAATATAAAATTTATTATAAAGTAATTATATTTAGTTAATAATGATTTCTTAAAAAGGCTAAAATAATAGTTTAAATTGCTAATTATACCTTTAATGCATATAATGTACTTTAATTTTAAGGCTAATTATAGCTTTTAAGTTAAGAATTACTTATTATATTAATATTATAGCGAATTTATAACTTTTTTATAATAAAGTATTTAAGATAGGAAGAAACCTTTTAAGTCCTTTTATATAATTTTTATTAAAATAATATATTATAAGCGGTTTAGTGTTTTATTTAAAATTATAATATATATTGCTAAACCTAGCTTAATTAATGGCTATAGCAAAGCTTATTTTGCCTTATCCCTTTTTTAAATTGCTATTAATCTTAAATATTTATTAACTTTATAATAAACTTACTAGCTTATAAAAGCAATTTATATTACTTAATGATTATTATAAATTGCCTTTTAAAATAAGTTTTTTTAAAAGCAATATACTTTATAATTATAAAAGATTATGCATAATGCTTTATTATTTTATAATGGCGCTATTATAGGTTCCCTATGTTTATTATTAGCAATTAAGGCTTTAATTAAATAAAGGCGTTTTAAGCTTCTTTATGCATTTAAATAAGCATAAAATACCTTTTATTTATAATATACCACCTTAAAATAAATAATAGCATAAAGTAAATAAATTAAGAAATGCAAAAGTATTTATATAATATTATTACTTTTTTATAAAATAACTAAGTTAATTACCTTTTAACTTATTAAATAACGTTAAATAATAAGGATTTAATAATAACTAGCTAAAGCTTAAATTAATTAGTAAATGGATTTAATATATAGGTAATCTTAAGCCCCTTAAATATAATAATATCCGCGGCTAATTTTAAGGGCC